ATTTGTATTAAATAAAAAATAATTCAAGTCAACTCGTTATAGCATAAATACCTAAGTATACCTATTATACTTATACATTTATATTATTTATTCATTTGTTGTGTAGTGGCGAATTGGAATTGTTATACATTTTTTCATTAATTTACTATAAAATCCTCGATATCCCGAATATTTCATATGACAATTGACCAGAAAACAAAAATCCCAAAGGTCTTCGTCTAGAGATTTACACTTTATTTCAGTGTAGTCTTTTTAATTAATTCAATAATACATTTAAATGTAATTAATTCAAACTGATTGAAGTACTTATAGGTAAATATAAATTAAATAATTTATTTTTATATTTATATACATAAATATTTGTTTTTTATGTTTAAAACCGCACACATAATACAAGTATTATATACCTAGTTAAAAACTTAATTATATTTAAAACTTTTGTATGTTATTTTTACAAAAATCCACTATTTATTTGATATTTCAATATTTTTAAATGGTTTGATATAAATGTAAAAAATTGATATAGGAGCCTGACTACTATCTATACATATAAGTACATTACATTTATGGGATTTTTATATAATTATACATAATATGGGGGGTCGGCATAAGTAATATGCGTATAATATTTTTATTATTATAGCATAGCATGAGGTCCAAAAATGGTCCACTAGTAATTGATATAGTGGCACTTTCAGTGGAAACCAATAAAAATTAACGAACATTTTTTTTATAATACATAATTTTCTATTCGATTAACCACCATGCGTGGTGCGCGTGTGGGACCACAAGGTCTTCTGTTCTGTTCTTTAATATTCGATATTCACTAGCAATTAGTAACAATTTGTAATAAAATTGTTATAGGCATTTATAATAGTTAAAAATATCCTAGTCACTTGCTAAAAAAAAAAAAAAAATGAAATAGAGTAAGTTTACATATATATTATGTGATTTGTCAGATAGGTACCAGAATGTGTAGGTGTCTCGTATTATTATATTTATTAGCTTATACTTTATGGATAAAACCCAATTGCGGACGTTTTTTTAGGTAATGTCGCCAGCATTAGGTAATGTATATTTTTCAATCTATCGAGCCAATCTAGACTACATGAAATACATATGTTTTATCTATTAGTATATAAGTAAAAATAAATAAACACAATATATAGGTAGAGAGAACCGATATGTTCTATATATGTTCTCTAGTATAAGAGATATCTTATACTTTATAGTCTTGTTATTGCTAAACCTGCACATCAATTTTTGTCTGTACCTACAGATCCATTTAATACATCCATCTTTCAATCTTTGAACTTTACGCTTTTTTAAAAAAAGAATATTTAAAATTACTAAGAGAATTAATTTTTTACCTCTTTTGGGCATAATTATTTTCATTTTCCATAATCGACACAAATAAAGAACCAAACAGGCACAAACAAATCATGAATACTACTGCATGACTGAATGAATCAAGATAATTATTCAACAAATTTTTTTTTTTAAAATTTAAGGATAACTATTTTAGTACTTATTCTAAATCGTATCACCCGTCGTATAAACGGAAAACCATTTTTTGTTAAAATTAAATTATTAGATTATTTGAAGATAAAACAAATTTTGAACAAATAATATTAAACCCGTTTATTATATCCATAACAATAACTAGAGAGTTGCCCAAATCCAGTGCAATTAATAAACACTGAATATGGCAACGCCGCTTGACAAAAAGCAGGTAAAAACATTCGAAATCATACAGGGGAAAGTCCGTTCCCAATGTGTATCGCCGATACTTCATATCCTACCCTACTACAATATAAAGATACCTAAAAAAAAACAAACGGACATACTTCGCACAATGGGTAGGCCACTGTTATAGGTGAGAAGTTGAGAAAATTGAGGAGAAATGTAATGTATATCTGTACGCAATGGTAAATCTTTATTCATTTTTAACGAAACACGATTCTTAGCAGAATTTGATTATGTATGTTTTGAAAAGTCGTAATATTTACAATTTCAAAATAATACATTTCAATAATTTTTCCGATTATCCTACATTTTTGCAGGTTTTTTTCATTTATTATAAAAAAAACCCTGATTTCCTCCTTAAAATAACACCCTAGTCAAATTTCCATTCAGAAATGGTACTACACTTAAAAAATTGGAGCAAAATTTCTGTTAGAAAAATTGTTCACAAGAATAAAAAAGACTTCCTAGAATAATGGAGTAGGGTGCAGCTACTGTTATAGGTAATTTAATGATATCTGTAAGCAACGATAAACCATTGCTAACGAAAAAACGATTCTGAGTGCAGTTTAGTGATGCTTTATCAACAATATATATGTCATATTATGATAAAATAATTAAATAGGCGTTATGTATTTTTTTTAATAATATTTGTTTAATATTGTACCAATTTTCCCACTTTTCCTGAGTTTTTCCTGGTTTTCCAATGTTTTTTCCCAGTTTTTCACATTTGCTGGAAAAACTCTTGGGAAAATAAAATAACCTCTTTAAAATATCTCCTTAGTCAGATTTTTTTTAGAAAAGTGCTATCATTGTAAATCAAAGCAAAATTGCTGGTAGAAAAGTTGTATACAGAAAATAAAATCATAATATTTTACTAATGTATTTTGTAAATTTTCCCTTTTTCACGATTTTTCCCATTTATTGGGAAAACTTCTGAGAAAATCATAAAATGACTTCCTCATGTTATCATGGAGATAAAATTTCCTTTCAGAAAATAAGATTCACTTAATACATCAGAGCAAGATTTTCGGTTTAAAATGTTCGAAAAAGTTTGCACAACAAATCAAGGGATATTTTATTATTATTATTATTAAAATAGTTCGAGTGAGCAATGGCTTGGGTCTCTAAATAAACCAAAAATGCATTTGTTTTTCCTTGTTTAGGTGTTTTTTGTATCTTGTATCTGTTTCTAAATACTTTCTAAAAATATGTATCTATATCTTAGATACAAAATATTGTGTATCCTAACGAAAGTATCTATGATACTTTTTAAGATATAATTCTTACTTTTTTGGTTCAATAAAATATTAAAACAAAATGTTAAATTCTAAAATCTAATTTTGTTTAAATAAAAATATAGCAACAATTTATTGTGATATTATGTATTATTTTCTATTTTATTATAAATTATTATGTATGAATGTATGACTATTGTGTATTGTGGATAATACCCATTATGTAATTAATAGTTAACCAATATTTTAATATTTTATGTTATGTATTATAACTGACAATGACTATATTATAATTTATAACTTTATAAGAATAAAATTATAATTGAAAACCGACATAAAAATGTAAACACCAATTATTGTATTACAAATTATGTATCCATTACTTGTTTTGTTATAATTTTGTAATACTATATTTTTAATGAATTAAATAATTATGAAAAAAAAGATCTGTTTTCTTAAGTGTATCTTAAGATACTTGTATCTGTATCTAGATAGACTATGTGCAGTGGCGATCAAATGATTTTGTCATGAGGGGGAGATGAGGCTGATTTTTTAGAATTTCTATAATTATTTGTTTTAACAATTTTTTTCTTTTTATAGATATAAGTATAGGTAATATAATATACATTATCAAAAATATTTAAGGGAAAAAGGTCATGGGGGATATATCCTCCCATGATTCCTGCGTTAGTGTAGTAAATATAATTATTTTTAATTAAATTAACTTCATTATGAATGCATAATGTCATAGGTACTGAATATTTAAGTAGTGGCATTTGGGTAAGACTGATGTGAGTTTTAATATTATAGTTAAAGAACTTAGTCTAGAATCATTAGCTTCGAGACACTTGTTTAATAATGTTGCTTTTATTTACAAGTTTAATGGGCTATTAATTTTCCTCGATATTTTTAAAAAATATTAATTTTAAGGTACCTTCTTTTAATTCAAAATATAGTCCTTCCTTTTCTATTCCTTGTTGCTCTAACAACTTAATTGATAATAGTTCGGAGTATGGACTATTGATTAATGGTAATAGTATATTAAACTTTGATTTTTGTTTTGGTTCCCTTGTTGAGTTAAGGAATATTATATTCTAATAGTCTTAAATAGTTTTAAGTTGTTTTAAGTATTTATGTATTATATATTTATCTAGTACTCATTACCTCATTGGGGTATTAAATAAATAAAATAAAATAAAAAATATTATAAATAGTGTTATGATATAGAAATATAAATAATTATAATGTATTCAAAGTTCTAATTTATAGAATGAATATAATATTATCAATGCTATATTTAAAATAATATAAAATATAAAATTCTTAGTGTAATGAGAATTTTTTTTTGTTACTATAGTAGTATGTAGATCAGTTTCACTAGTGTTTTGTCTTTTTTACATTGTTGAACAACTATCACGATGACGATTTTTTTCATTTGATAAAATACTTTTAAGGATAGTTCTACCAGTAATCAATAAAAAAATATTCCTCCATTTTTTATTCTAATAAATAGGTATATTATGATGGATTTAACTTTTAGGCCTAGAAATATAGTTGATATAGGTACTTATTAATATCAGGGACGTCATTTCATGAGATGCAAAACCTACAGAGCCGTTTTTGACAGAGGGTTTTAAGGGTACTTGCTCCGGGCAGCAGATGTTTGGGGGGCATCCGGATGTCGGAATACTTTATAAACAATTTAAAATTTTTTACCCTTGGCTTAGGAAATATATGAAAAAAAAACATCAACTTCTAAAAATAAAGATTGATTTGTATTTTTGTGATTTTGGCTGCAAATTTTTTAATATTTCACTGCAATATTTCTCATGACAACATAATGGCAATGGGGCATCCAGTGAACATAAAATGTTCTAGTACATAGGTATAAACATTCCAATGATCAGCAAATATGAAAAACCGGGAAAAATGTAGGAAAATCGGTACAATATTAAACAAATAATATTAATAATAAATAATAATAATAATAATAATATTTTATTAAAGAAAATATATAATGCCTATTTAATTATTTATCATAATATGATATATATATTGTTGACAAAGCATCAATATCAACTGAACTCTACTCAGAATCGTTTTTAGTAAGCAATGATTTATCGTTGTTTACAGATACAAATTATTTTCCTCTCTATATCATATCCTATCTCCCATCTTCTCACCAACAACAGTTGCTGCATCCATGTGCGAGGTATGTTCGTCTTTTTTGTTTTGAAATAATTAATGTAACAGTGTGAATTTAAAAATTATAATAAATAAAATTTTATGAGATATACTTATTTTTACTGTTAAAATTATGATAGTTTAATACATTTATTATAATATTGCTATATCTAAATGAATAATAAAATTTGTGATACACGAATAGTAGTATTTCAAACTGGAAATAAACACATTTTAGATAGATAATTATAACGTGCAAGTTTGCATATTTTTAATTTTTTTCTTAACTATTTAAACATTGGGTATCTTAATTTTTTTTTATCTCTATGGGTCTCAAATAAAGATTTTTCCCGGGCATCCGAAAGTCTAAATCAAGCCCTAAAAACATATAGGTACTGAAAATTAAAATCAACTTGAAATCCACTCGCGAAACATACTAAGCACGAAATCAATAATTTCCATGCTTAACTCTATTTTTCAATCATCACATACCTATTCAAATGTATAATACAATTTCAAAACGTACTTCAAATTAATTACAATATTGATTATTTATTTTATTAAACTAAAATATGCATAAATTATCTACTTAATAAGTTTATTATCAGAACAAACAACACAGTAGCAGATTTATAAGTAATTCAAGGGGGGGGGAGACTGGGAGGGATTTTTTACATAAGCATACATTTAAAGTACATATTGTGGTGTACAATTTGTTGTATTATATGGATTAAACAATAAAGTCAAATTAATTTTCATGGGCCATAATTTTTGATAATCCATCCCTAATGGGAATCCTCTCTTTATAAGCCCCTGCACCACGCTCCAACTTAGCGGATTTTTTGGAACAAGATGACTAACCAATTTTCAATTATTATAGTGAATGGTTATTATTGAAAGGCCAACAATTTTTCATAAAATAATTTAAAATTTTGAAACTTATACTTCAATTTATAAAATAGTTTGACGTTTATGTTACCTATTTAATAAAGTTACCTACTTAGTTTCAGTGGCTTCATTAAGGAAGATTAGCCGTTAAATTCTTTGAAATCTTCTTAATATAGAAATAAAGCCCCTTAAATCACATGCATTTAATGGTGTTCAATATTTTCCAATATTTATGAGTTACTTGTGCCACTGGATTCCATACACTTTATTTTATTGACATTTAATCTCTAAAAAAGGTTGCTTAGGTCGATGATAGGTAAGTATTCAGAATCATGAAGTAAATATAGATATTAGATACTAATATTATGTATCAAGATTGTAATGAAGACAATTTTGAGGAATAATACATTGTATTGATGTAATCAATTTATGCAAATTACACATAAGTTTAGGGAACAAATCTAATTTACGGCCTAAGTTCGTTTTTTTTTTCAAAATGTGTGTTTCTACCTGTACATTATTCTAAAAAAAAAGAAGTCGTTTGTTTGGAAGTGATGAGGGAAAACTTCACGAAATTCGGGTTTTCCATTTCGTATATTTCTTAGTGAGAATAAACATTTTCAATTTTTTATTTTTTTTTTCTAAAATGTGTGATTTTTTAATGTTTAATCCATTGGTATGATTAAAATTTACCTATCATACTTACTTTTGAAGTTATTGTATATTAACAATGAAAAATAGCATTTTGGATGCAGCTAGTGGCCTGGCGGGGTCAATTACTCTCTTGCACTGTTTTAATCGAAAATAACCTTCGATTTGTCATGCAAAACCACGTCGTGTAGTTATTAGGGAAAATTGAATAAGCATTTTGGTTGCACCTAGAAACCTTGTGAGATCACTGAGGTTTGAACGAATTCTTAATCTAAGCTGATCGACTTATTCTTACTTCAATTAAAAAAAACTTTCTTATCAAAATATCAATAACTACAAATCATAATAATAATAAAAACGACCACATTTTAGATTAATTCCAAAAATGCTATGGTTCAAGGTTTATGTACAATAACTATAAAAGTAAGTATAATAGGCACGTTTTAATTATACCAATGGATTAAGCATTAAAATTACACATTTTGAAAAAAAAGATTTTGAAAATGTTTAACTCTCACTAAGAAATAGGTACGCGAAACAGAAACATGGAATTTCAAGTTTTCCCCCATAACTTCCAAATGATTAGATTCTTAATGTATAGACAAAAACACACATTTTTAAAAATGAGCTAGGGTCGTAAATTAGATTTATATCAAGTTTAGTTTCTACTCGAATAAGTTTAAAAAAAGTTTTTCTATTCGTAAAACCATAAAAATAACTTATGTTAAATATTTCTCACGACTAATTAGAAGCATTTATGTTTCATGAATCTAGATCAATCTACCACAACACTCATTATCTCAGTATTAACTCTATAATTTTACATTTATGTTATTTTTGGGGAGTTAAACCACTATCATAGCATCACTATTAAAGATATCTTTAATCATGCATAGCATGAATTCATGTAAACCTGGTAGTGTGAAGTGGTCTCTTATAATTTTTTGTAAAATTCACACAAATATATTATATCGGTAATATTCATAATAACATATTATGTTCCTTAATTTAATTTATTCATCTGTGATAGCATCATGAAATATTAATTTACATAGTTTTAAGCAGTGTACCAAAATCTGGTCCACTTTGCTCCATGCTACAGTGCTTTTGATTTTCAAATGGCAATTTATATTAAAAATTCCATAGATGGATGAGGAGTATTAGTTAAAATATATATTGGTGTTAACATTTTTGTTTTCTATCAATCAATTGACAAAATATTCCATTTTTAGGTTTGTGTTTGAGGAAAGAAATGGTACATTATTAATCATCACACAAATGATGCTCCATTACTCTCTTCTAACCCAAATTCAAAAGTTCCTAGATTACAATTTTAGTAAGTAAAATGAAAAATAATATGAAATCCATATTTCAATTTAATTTATTAAATTTCCACATCTCGCATAAAAATTCATAAGAAAATAAGTAAAAAAAAACTAGTAGTTAAAAAAGTGGTTGACATCTAAGAAAAAAAAAGATTTTTTGCATATGCACATATTTAACCAGTAGTAAAAATTCTAAGTGCATGAAAATGTGTATAAATACACAATTAATTTTTAAAAAAAAACTAACTTTTTGTAAGGATATACGGTTTAAATAAGCCTTTACACACTGTATATATAGTGCTGTCCTAACAAAAAACTTCAAATTGAAAAACAAATAAAATTATACTAGAAAAACATGTAAGACTATAATATTAAATGTAATACAGTAAAATGAAATTTTTTTCAATTGATATATTTTTCTTAGGACAGCAGTATATATTTGTTTATTTTAGTTTATAATATATACATATATATATTATGGTATATGATATTAAATATATTATAAACTGTTGGTTATGTTTATTCATTATTCCTATTATTGCTTATATTTAAAGAATTTTTAAAAATGTGTTTAGATTTGTATTAATAAAAGAATCATTTTAAATATTCCATTGTAATCAATAATGGAGAAAAAAAATATTAATGTAGTATAAAAAAATAAGAGTTTTAATAATTTTAAAGAATAAATAATTAATATAAAAATACAATAACATTTTTTTTACAATTTATTTATTCATCATCATGTAAAATGACAAAAATACAAACCAGGGGCTCTATTCAGTGAATTCAGATTCATTCCATTTTATATTTGCAGTGCTAGGAAACAGATATTGTAGGTCTTAGATCTTAAATCCTTTGTACGTTTTATATAATGATTCTCGCCATAAATTATATTTATATATACTTTAAACCGGATTCTCACTAAATATTTTTTCTTATTACACATTCAAAATAGTTTTTTTAATTGTGAAATTAGAAAGCAATGAACTATTTGCATTTTTGATGAATATAGTATAATAATTGAGTATTTTTACTGTCAGGAATAATTTTTTTTTCCTTAACTAAAAATTAGGAAAAGTACTTAAGTAAGTAACTCATTTTATAAGAGATTTAACTATTAAACTTGTAGAATAGATTTAAAAAACATGTAGAATATATTAAACAAACAGAAAAGATTACATTTATCGTTGAAATACAGTTTTTTTTTTTAGAAAATTGAACTTGAGTATAATTATTTTAAAACTAAAAATAGCAAACATTTTATTTTTATTTCCTAACGAAAGGTTTAACATGGTAAACAATAAATATTTACATTATGCTCAGACAATAATGTCAATATCCAATAACCATTCATAAAAATATACCCTTCATTAATCAAATTTCTAGCTATAAATATTTTAAGATTCAAAATGTTCCATCAAAACAGAAAAACATAGGAGACTATAATATTATATCATATATATAAACTATACACTATATAACTGCCAGAATTATTTGTTCAAAATAAAATTTAAATACAGTTTAAAATTTAATACCAATTAGATTAATAATATATAAAGTTATTTTGTGAAATATGACAATTAACAATATTAATTTAGTTTTTCAGCAATGTACAGGAATAACTAATATATTTTAAAATAATATATATATATATATATGTATATATTTTTAAATAAACAACAATAACTGTTTATAATTAAAATAATCAACTATTTAAATGTCCAATGTTGCCTGGGTTAAATTATGAATCAAGTCGAGGCGTTGCATTTCTGATAAATTTTGGAACATACCCATGATTAAATCTGATGTAACTTCAGGAGTATCCTATATTTAAATAATATTAATTGAAAAAAAACAATGTATACAAAATATAGTTATTATATATAATAAGCAGTGTAATGTACTAAGCATAAAAGTTGAACAAAAATTATGCTTACGCTAATTGTAGATGTAACTTGGTTAATAACTGCATCTTTTCTCACACTCTTAATGTTGCTACCAATTAAGGAATCAACTAAAACAGAGCCATCAACTTCATCTAATTGACAGGACAGCCACTGTACAACGGCTTGATTGTTATCCCACAGGTATGACTACAATATAAAATAAATTATACACATTTAAGTGTAACAAAATAGTTTGTAAATTGAGAATACCAGTTTATATGAAAAAAAGTATAATGCAATAAGATGTAATATGTCATATAATAACCTTTAATCAAAATGACTTATTTAAATCTTATTGTGATTAAATACTTGTTTTATTATTTAGTATACATAAAAATCATTTTGTTTGGATTATAATACTTACTGCAGTGGTGCCTTTGTCTTCTACAAACCACCTTCTTAACATTTCATAAGCTACATCATCTGGTATGGAATCATTTGATTTAGTTATGACTTTTTGAATTTGATTTTGTAACAAACGGCGTTTTAATCGCCAGTATAATGTATTACGAGATTTCTTCCACTGAACAATATCTTTAATAACACCCTTACTCAGCATGCACTTGGGTGTATCGTGCAAGTCAGCAAAATGTACTGCTACTTGATGATAAATAGGTTTTAAGACAGATATTCTTTCTGCTACATTCTTTTCAATTTCAATTGCTTCTTCTGGAGTTGGAGTGGAATTAGCTTTGAGACTCAAAATATCTGTATCGATTCTATGGATGGACTTTAAGATATCTTTTTCACGGAATTTTATTTCAACAATTCCTTCAGGTTCTAAAACACCACCTCTGTTAACAAATATTAAATATTATGATATTTGTATAGATGTAAATAAAAATATTAATTGAAACATATTTTATTTTACTATTACGGGACTAGCTCAGAATACCGTGTACATACTTAGTATTTACACAATAAAATTGCTATACAACAAATATATAAATTAATTAATTTAATGTGATAAAAGATAATTAAAAAGTTAAATCAAAAAGAAGGATTGATATTAGCTGTGTGCATAAGATAGATAATTAGATGAAGATAAAGAGATATGGAATGGGACTAATGAATGCATACGCAGGATAGAAGCTGAGGCAATACATTTTAGAGGAAAGAAAGTAAGATAGGTAAGATGCATGCAGAGACAGAGAGACTATCCATGGATAAAAAGCATTGGGCAGGAGTATAATCATGGAGGGAAATGGTATATGCAGTTTAAAGGCAGCATGACAAAGGAATTTTTTTTAGACCTTTTCTATCATGTACTGAGATGTAGCAATGGAAGGGTGCCAGAGCAAAGAGCCATATTCAAGAATAGGATGCACTAAGGAACAAAAAAAAGTTTTTAAAGGAGTGACCACAGAAAATTTGTAAATACCCAATTAATGAAACTCAATAGTTTGAAAGCTTTACAGAAGATTATTTGGATATGCATATTAGGGCATATAGTATGTCTTGTAAGTCTTTTATAGTTATTTTCAATTGGCAAGGATATATTACTGACAGAATAAGTATACTTGACTGCAGAATTGGTATGACAGAATGTCATAACTGAGCACTTTGATATATTTAAGACAAGGCCTTGGGATTCACCTCATGACACTAAATGCTGAAGGTCATATTGGAGAAGCTGACAGTCAGAGATTAATTTTATGTTTCATGTCATCAGCAGAGATGAGAATTTTAGAATTATGTAGTCTCGAGACAGTCGAGTTTATAAGTAGGGAGAATAATATAGAAGAGAGTACATTTATTATATTAGTTTTTTAGAATAAGTAAATCTGTTACCAAATGTACTGTTTAATAAAAAGATAACAATCATAAATATAATTATAATATAATATATATATATAATTAAATAACAATAATTTGGTCTTGTGGTTATTAAAGGCAAAACCTTATAAAATAAGAAGTCATGTGAATTATACCTGCTATCTGGATCTGCATACATTTCAATATGTCTTGGATTGATAGTAGTATCCACAACAGCCCATGCACCTCCTCGCAATTCACCAAATGGTGGGATGTACGTCATAATTGGCTGATTATACTGTCTTAATTCATCAACAATATATGCACCAAATTTCATAATTTGTTCATACATATCTGTCAGACAGAAAACAATTCATGTTGTGTAAACTAATATTAGATAATTAAATTGTATTAAAATAAGAAATGTAATTATTTATTCAATAAAATATAAATTTAATTTATTATAATAATACAAATTGTGATAGGTACCTTTCATTCCACCAGAAAAACCTCTCCAGTTAGCAAAGATAAAAAGTGGTAATTCTTCATGAGCAAAATCTTTAATGGCTTGGGAAGTTTTATATGCAGAATCTGGGAACCACACTTGTCCAGCTTGAGACACAGTCTAATGCAAGTAACACATAATAGTTCAATGTATTAATATATTAAGTAGTAATCTATAAAAAAAAAAAACTGTAAGATAATTAATTACTTTTGATTCAGAATCTAAATTGGCAGGATCTGCTGGTAAAGTGACTTCTACAGTCCTTGTTTCAACAGCAATAACACCAACTGGAATTCCTCCTAGTCTAGCTCTTCCACACACTACAGTCTGTGCCCAGGGTTGCATTATTTCGTCCCATGATCCTTTATCAAAAAATCCTGAATCCCATTGACCATCTAATACAATCAAATAAGAATGAGTAAAATTAAAATTTACACTGACACTATAATTAATATTGTATTTTTGTAGAAAAAACTAACTAGAGTTTTCTTTTCCAGCAATCATCCAACGAGGATCATAGGGAATTTTAGTTGGTACATAGTCTATATCTCTTTCTACAGGGTCTACACTTTTAATCACAGGTAATGGAGATTCTTTAGTCTTTGGAATGTAAGAAAGCCACTTCAGTATCCTATAAACACCATCTAAGTCTCTAGCCTCTGTCTTGTGTGATACACCATTGTTGTACATAATTTGAATACCACCTAACTGGTTGTTAGATGCATACACTTCACGACCAAGAAGCTAGAAAAACAGTATTATAATACATTAGCTGGTGTTTAAATTTAAATATAAATTACTGAAACATCTAAATTAAAATTAAAACATACTTTGTTCAATGCACTATATCCTGTCAGGATAATGTGAGAATTCTCAATTTGAATAACACGTTGCCCAAGTCTTACAAGATAAGCTCCAATACCAATAGCACGGCAGCTTACCATTGAAATAGTAACAATATCTTGGTAAGCACGTGATGTTTCACCCGCTATCATGCCGGCAAATTTCAAGTTCTCCACTCCATATCCAAATTCTTTTCCTGTTTTCAAATTTTAATAAATAAATAGTAAAATAAGATTATACTAATTTACTTTATAATCAGTAAACTAACCAATAATATCAGTTAACTTGTATCGGATTTCACCTTCATCTTCAATTAATTCTGTTTCAACCGAATTTTGACCAACTAATTTACAAAAGTCATCTGGTGTTAAGTATAAATATTTAAAACCCTAAATAAAAATATATTAATGTATTAATAACTATAACAAATAATATATATTAAATAATAAAACTAAAATAGTCTACTTTTTCTGGATCAGATGGATCTTCCCATGCTACATTGAATAGATTCTTTATTTCTTCTGCAAGACCAATACGAGCTCCACTGTTAGCAGATATATAAATACGGGGAATTTTTAATCTTCTTGCTTCCTTTGAAGCTAAATCAAACACAAAGTCTTCTTGTGGCCCAAATGAACCAATGTTGACTGTCAGATCATTAGCAATTACAATTATATCACGACCAGCTGGGTATTCTGGAGTATTTAAGGTAAATCTCCAAGCAACCATACCAGCCTATAATAATAACACAGATGATAAAATTGAAAATGTACAAATATAAAGTAGTTTAATACGAACAGTGTTTTCACCAGAGAAACGTTTTTGTTCAATTAAGTGATTATCTTCAACAACAAGCTCAACATAATCAAACACTTGACTGTTTTTTAAAACTCCATCTAAAATAAAAAATAAAATATTATCTTAATAAACAATAAAACTAATTTAAGGAAATTTGTTTTATTAAACATATTACCACTAATTGATGTTACCATATCATTCAAATATTACTCATTGAATTATTTTTGAATTTAGAAAAGTTGATATATCAATGTCATTTAAAAAAATTTGAAAAATTTAAAAATAAAGGTTTAAAATAAGTTCATATTTGTACAGAATACATAAATTTAAAAAAAATGAACAGACCGTTAACTTCATTTACCAAAAAATAAATTTAATATGTACAAGATAAAATGATAATTAAAATGACAGACATATTTCCACTATCACAGGTGGACCACTGTTTTAGATAAGAAGTTTAAACAGTAAGATACATAAAGTTATTAAGTTATTTATTTTATATTTTTGGTAGAAAATATACGCAATAACAAGACGAACATTTTTCACACCATGGGTGGGTCACTGTTGTAAGTGAGAAGTTCTGAAAGTAAGGGGAAATTTAATATACATTTATACATCACAGTTAACTATTTCTAATGAAAAAATTATTCTGAGCAGAATTTGATTAATAATTTTGCTTACAACAATATATGTGTCATATTTTGTTTATTCCCAATTATTATGAAAATATAAGCAAAATCAATAAAACTATTTATTTGTGAGTGACAATATATATATTATGACAATATATATATTCAAAATGCAACAAAAATCTCTTATGGTTTTTCTATTAGAGTAATATTTCTGGTTACAAAAATGTAAAATCATAATACAGTACACTACAAATATTTGTCCTCTTTATACATAAATTTATTTACAGATTATTGGGAAGGTAAGATATAGATGAGAATTTAATATACATTTGTATTCAGAAGAGTGTATGGTTATACATGTTTTGAAAAGTTTTGATTTTTGTAAAAATTTGATACTAACATTTTTATAATAAAATAAATGAACATTCTTAATTTTTTTTTTTTTTTTTTGATTACTATGTACAAGTTATAATGAATTTCCTATTAAATTGTCAAGTATTTATATTTGGTCTAACAATTTTATTTACAGAGTACCGATTAATTTTATTTCGCAAAAATTATAATGTCTACAAATAGTTTAAAAATGGCTAAAATATATGGAAAATTTGACCACATACAGAAAATTCAAATATAAGTTTTCTGTCTAAATTTTAAGCCAAAGAATATTTTTAGCTAAATTGCAACAAAAAATATATAAATACATAATGCCAACTGGTTACTGCAAATAAAATAAATAGAGTAATTGGGTAATTACCATTTGGGTGTTCTATGATGTATTCTTGCCATAAAGTGTCAACCATTTGTCTAAACATATCTGGAATATCATACACATATGTTGTACCAGCACTTTGAGCTTGGAATCTCTTTTGTTGTAGAAAGTCTTTGGTAACATAAGGAGTAGAAACTGGAAGTCCATGTAAAGGTCCTTGCTTTGATTCAAATGATTCAAATTTAATCTTAGGATTTATTAAAACAAAAATTATTAGACACTTCACATGTATTATGTAAGATTAGGCCTGTCACAGTTTATATTAATCATTTACCATTCCTCCCAACTTTGAATCGGTAACCTCTTTGTACAAAGATATATCTAAATGATAACCACTGCCATTAGCAAGGCTTAAACGAACATTTGATGTTTTACTGGTTGGTGAAGGACGAATAGTCATTCTAAGCTCTGCTTGAAGAACTCGCAATTTCCAAAGACGTGGACCATATCTCATCACCATATTTGTTACACTTTCTTTAATCTATAAATAGAACACAACACAAATTTTTAATATTTAAAAGAAAAGATTTCTGCTATATAATTACTTTAGCAGGATCCATAATAACAGTAGGAACGAAATTCAAGAATATGTGATTGCAATCTGTTCTACGTGCATGTGGGTGGCTAAAAGCAACTTCTAATTCATCCATAGCTTCCAATAAAACACGCTCTCCTTCGTTTTGAAGATACTCAAATGAAGCTTCCTTTGTAATTAAATCTTGATGTCTTATAATGGAGCGTATGAAGAATCTATAATCAGTTACAACTTGACCCCTTGGAACCTGTAAGACAAATACATTTTTACTTTTACAATGCATAATATTAGTTAGAAAATAGAAACTGACTTTAGCCTTTCCCAAATAAAGATACATTTTTCTGTTTGATGTCGGCAAAGCTTCTAATTCATAAGTCCTCATTCTGTTTAATTCTAATTGGAAAGCCATGCCAGGTTCTAGATGTCGATAAATTCTATCCTCTGCAAAGTTGTCATAGTTTCTGTAAGTGAATAACTTAGGAAATTGTCTCCTAAAAATAAATATGAACATAAAAATAAACAAATCAAATTTTATAATAAATGTGTATATACATATTCTTCAAGAATAAGATTTAAATAAATAATTTTTCACTATGTTAGTTTGTTAAGATTAAATGTACAATTTAATAACAATCTTTTATTCAAATATTTAATTATATCTTAAAAACTTTTTTGTTTGGAAAATTTTTCTTCTCCTGCACCTTCATCCCAACTATTTCGGGTTGGTTATTTTAGAAATTATGAAATTAAATTCTTAGTAACACATATTAGTAATTCATAGTAGATAGTAGACCATTTTGGAACTGTTATAATTCAGTAGAGAAGATATTCATTAAACTTCCTACATCCTTAATAGATGACTTACCTTTTCTATTGTAGTGCAACCCATTGTTACAAAATAATAAGAAATATAAAAGATACTAATTTTGTATGATAGACAACAAAACAAGGACAGCAAAAACTTAAATAGACACAATAATAATGATAACAAGATGACAAGAAGAATTAATAATTCTGGAAGAGATCATGAAAAATCTATCAGAAATGGTCACAAAATTTGATCACCCGATTTGTAAACAGTGTAACTAGTGAAACCAAATGAATTTCATCATTTTTGTAACTGATTTTAATTTTGAACAGAAATAGTCACCGGTTATAACAAATTTATGGAATATAAAAATAAACAAAAATTAAATTACTTATTTAATGCCAAGAATGTTATACGCCTGATTGATCTTTTCTTCAACTCTTCTCTGCGTTGTTGACAAAAGTCTTCATACATCTTACCAAGTTTATCATCTTCCATATTTCCAGTATCTTTCATGGCTATACACAAAATATGGCAAGGTTCCATCTGAAAATATAAATAAGTTTTGTGTTCAAAACTATATATTGTGTTACATTATGTATAAATTTAATTACCTGCATATTTTCTTGATCTGATGTGGGGGGACGTGACTCACTAGCAGACAAGCTGACATTAAGAGATGAGCTTAGTCTAGATTCGCTACCACTCTCTATAGCATCAATAATTTTTGGAGAGACATATACAGGAGAAGAGAAATCTTCCATAATATCAAGGATTTCATCAAAATATTGTTCAAATTGAGTGAATGATTCAAATGATGCCATACAACCAGTTCTTTGGTAAGTCGGAATGTATGGGAATGGAGTCTTGTTGGGCGATTCAACATTTTCTGACCCAATTTTATTTTGTTGACTATGTACAGAACATATAGAAATTTACTTTAAAACAATAGTTCTCAATAGGTGATTTATAGATTTTGTTATTGGTCTACAGTGAGGAAGATGTTTTAAAACATTTAAGAAAAAAATAATAATAAAATAAATAACATAATGTAAATGTTCTATATAATATAGTATTTTCTAATATATATTTATGTGAGCGAGAATTTTTAAGTCTGCTAATAGTAATAGCTAAGTCGTAATAAAAAACATATTCAGGTTGGATCACTATTAAAGATATATTGGTTCCACAGCAAGCTATGACAAGAACATAAAATTTAGTTCTTAAAGGTCTTGGATAATCTGTTGATAATAAAACAACAAGCGCTCATAAAGAACTAAGATATCTTAATGTGATTATTATTATTTATTAATCGTCACTGCATCAGTTCATTTCACAGTTACTATAGAGCCACTACTATAAGACATTTCTTATTGGTTAAAAGCAAAAGACACTAAGGGGGGTCTGGTTATCAAGCCTCAGTGTAACCAGTATATCTTGGGTTGAATGCAGGTGATAAAATGCACATATAGACCTGAAAAATCACTGTCCATCTTAAAACTATTTCAAAATTTGTTAAGAAAAGTCAAGCTCAAAAATCAAACTATATTGTCATTATTAACATAATAAATTATAATAATAAAACATAGCAATTAATCTGTGAAAAATAAGTTATTTATGTTAATAATATATACATTTTTTATTTTTTAATAAGAAAATTATACAATCTATATGTAGTGGTAATAAGCCATTAAGCATAATGGCAGTTTTATATTATATAATATAGCTTGAATAAGAAATGTAAAATAAAAATTATCTTACTCAAAACAAAGTTGATTCAATGAAAATTCTCTAATTAATCCATACTTTCAAAAAGGTTGGGAAACACTGCTGTAAAGCTTTTTATAAAAAATAAATTAACTTACCGATTAGGATGAGAAGATGGCAGAAGAAATTGAAAATGTACCAATGGAATTGGTATACTATCTGCAGATAGTTCCAAATGTTGTAAACATGTTAGTTCATAAGATATATAAACACGTCTTACATAAACCTTATCAACAAATTATAAATTGTATTATAATATTACTCTATTACTATATTTATTATAATATAGATAAATTATGTTAAATTATACTAAATTACTTCTAATGCAGCATTGCAGACTGCACGGTTTGAATGATAAAAGAAATCATGGAGAATATCAAATATAGACGTTTCGGACTGAATAAGTTTTTGCAAATTTTCTGGATGAAAGTCATGTCCATACATATCCACTGCAGATAAAAATATTGATTCCATTTGGTTATGTCTTAACTCATATGCTGGTTGATGTGCAGCAATGAGAACCTAAAAAATTTTCAATTTAAATCAATAATGCTAAATACAATTTTAATGGAATATTCAAAAATACTATTTTACTAATAATGATAAATAATAATAATAATAAACAAATAATTATCTTAAATATTTATATATAAAAACAAAAAAAAAAGAGAGAGAACTGATACTAGATATATAGACATATTTCTAGTATAGTTGAAATTTTACCACAATATTATATATTTAATATAATCATTAGAAAATTAAACAATTTTTAAAATATAATAATAATATAAATTATAAAAAAGAGCTGATACTGAGAATGTGAGCAGCCACTGTTGTAGATGAGATATAGGGAAGATAGGATACATAAGGTTATTTCATTTATATCTGTAAGCAACGATAAAACATTACTTGATGTAAGCGCAGTTCAGTAATATATAATTTGAAGTGCCATAATTTTTTAATTGCAAATTTTTGTTTAAATTTAATTCCAAAAGGCTTATTAAATAAAAAAAGGCATAGGATGATTTTGGAAATTTCACCACATATAGGTAAGTCCAATAGAGGTAGTATAACCAAGTTTCAAATCTCTTCATGTTTATAACCGAATTACATCAAAAATTAAAATTACTTAAAAGTTCAAAAATGGTTCAAAAGTTTTGGCAATGACACCATATGAAATTAAATCAAGAAGGTAACAAAAAAGTGTTACAGATAGGCAATTTAATACCCTTCCACAGTCCTTTGGTCTAAACTTAAAACTGTTATAACTCATAAACGTTAAATCTAATATTTGTGTTATGCATATCAAAATTTCTAGAAAAATATTCTTTATTTAAATCTGTGTTCAAAAGGGGGAGAGAGTTCTTATTTGAAAATCAAAACAATGTACTTATTTAAGGTATTTGGAGTAAGGGTAAAATATTAAAAATGATTTTAAAATAAAGCTTAAACAATTTCATAATAATTAGAAAAACAGATATCAAATTCAGTTAAAATACTCTGATAAAATTGCTGGTGTGAAAAAAAAATCACCCTATGTATATATATATATATATATAATATAAAAACCACTGCATAAACAGTTTTTACTGCTATTACTGGTGGTTTTCAGTTTTTTATTTTTTTTTTTTAATAAATACTCTACAGTCTAGAATCTATAATGTTTTTCCTTAAAGGTTGTTTTATTATATATATTATTTGTTTAATAATTAGGTAGTAGCTGTCTAAACAAATGTTGATCTAGGTTTTTACATCTTGATTTTGTAACAATTCATTTAAATGTATAATATTCATTAAAAAAAAAAACTTACTTGTCTTGCACGCAGAGCAACTCTAGAATGTTCACTGCGATTAAGGGAAGTCAACTCATTTAGTGTAGCAGCCAACTCATCAGTTAAACCAGGTTCATTTGACCACAAATGATCAATTAACATTGTCACTAGCATATTCTTCTTTGCTACTTGAGTATGTGAGAATATTGTTGAAGTAACAGCAGCCATATCATCTTTGTATCTGTCTCTCAATGCAGTAGCACATTTGTCGTAACTTCCTATGAGATATTTAAATTATAAAAAAAGAAAATAATAATTGTGTATACACATATCAACTTACCTTGTTGAAATTGACTTTCTACTTCATAATATTGTTTCAGTAGTTCATGAACTGCAGACTTCATTCGACCACGAATTCCATTTCTATATCTTTGCACTAGTTGTACAATACCTTGGGTAGTCTGGAAGAAACTATCACGATCTGTTCGTTTTTGTAGAGTAGCAGCATGACTATTGATATAATAAACACAGTAATAAAATAGTTAATTTATAATAAAATATTATTTACCCATCAATAATTGCAGCTATTTGTTGGCTAGGGAATTGTGCAAGCACTGATGTAATATTTCTTTCATAGAGCTTCATTAATGATTTAATTTTTTTATCAACAGCTTTTGGAATTCTTCCAGATATGGATGATATTACTTCCTATTAAATATATATTAAATTATGAATCAATCAAATAAATATTTTTTCTTAGATGTTTTAAAAATAATAATTCTGTACCTGTAACTCTAATAAAGGTAAACTGGGATCTCGCAAAGAGTTCATAAACTTTTCAATAACTTCTCTTAAACGAACAAGATGATAGGGTTCTGGTAAACAATAGCCAGCTAAAGTATTATCTAACATGTTTCTGTAGCAAGTATGAATGTTATTAAGACTTTCTCCATAAATATGTGAAGTTCCATCAAGTTCAGGAAATTGACCTTTATATTCAACTGCTTTTGTAACCAAAGATGGATCGTCCAACTCTAGTGTGGCAATTAATGAGCCTGCATCAAGAACAGCTCCAGGTCGTTTACTATAATATACACGACCATTCTCTGTTGCGGTTAATGTCATCACCATTTTCATGACCTAATTATATATATAAACATACATAAAAAAATTATTAATATTGTATTACAGAACTGAATTAAATATATTACCTCAATTTCAGCATAAGCTTGACCTTTTTTTACTTGACCTCCATCTTCTATAAGAAAACTTATTAATTTACCAGCAGATGGTGATCTTAATAAAGATGGGTCATTTTCTTTTTCAAAAACACAAGTCTGATTGCCAATTACAATTCTATATCTATCTACTTCTTCTCGCATATAAGTAGTAAAACTTGATCCATCCAATGAAAGTAAAATTCCTAAATAAAAAATACAAAACCAATATTCATATTAAAATGAGAGCATATTATAAAAAAGTAATATTATAATTTTTACTTACCCCCATCAGAAAGCCGATGGACTTCAATTTCTTTAAATGAACCATTCATAATGAGGAAATATGAATTAAGTCCAGATTTTGTGACTTGAGTTTTATACTTAAATCCATCATGTATAAGTTCTACAGATACATGATGATCTAGTGTACTAGCACTTAAAACTTGACCACTGTAAAAATAAATGATAATAATAAGTAACAAATACTAATAATAGTTTGAATAGTTTTTATTACATAATATTGATCACATACTATATATACTATATTAATGACATACATTTGTCAGTGAAACTAGTTAGTTATGATAAAAAAAAATAACAAAATATTATCAGCTCATCATTTTGAAGGTGTACAATTTTTAATTATTATGGTTTTAAATTTCTTATTATTATTTAGTTAAAATAGTGAATATCAGACTAATATCAGTGATAATTAAAGATAAAGAAGGGATATTAACAACTGCTAAAAAAAAAAATTCAATAAGGTTTTTTGAAAAATACTAAATATAACATTACAAATGGAATAGGAATGCAACAATACTGAAACTGTAGAGCATTAAAACAGCATCATTGGAAGAGGTTAAAATGGTGGTCAGAATGCTAAAGGGAAGAAAAATGATTTAATTATATTAGAACTTAAAGAAATCAGGAAGTATTCTGATGGTTAATTTTAAATAAATAAAACAAGAAGAGAAGAAACCAAATACAATAGCAGGTGGCAGTACTATTTTTAATATGCAATAAAAGGGAATATAATTATATGCTTAAAGAGATAGTAGAGATATTCAAGTAGGTTTTTAACCTGGAATATCCACAACTGATCAAATAAATGTTATGAAACAAATAGTGGAGAAGAGCTATGAATTTGATATAAATACATATATTTCAATTGTGGATTCCAAGCAAGCCTATGATTGGATAATAATAAGTATGTAATATAATGGTCCAAATAGGAATACCAGCTAAGGTTGGTAAAAGCATAAATGCAAAACTCAAGGTACAAAATTTAAGTCATCTTATTGGAGGAATTTATTATGACTACAGAGTTAAGACAAGGTGATACACTTTCCTCATCTTATTATTTAACTTTGTATTGGAATCAGACATTAGAGACCTATTTGGAACCAAAGGATTTATATATAGAACAAAAAGAACAGATAATATTGACAATATGATAAATATTTATATATATTCAGCCTTTGTGAAATATTAATAAATTTGTTTTGCAAAATAGAAACTGAAATATTTTACCGTTCTAAAGATGATTGGAAGTTTTGGAATGATTCAGAAATAGTACGATCAGCAATATGAAGCCCTCCACAGATGACTCCAAGCAATACATCTGGCTTTTCAGATTGTACTCGCTCTGCTATCATTTGATCCAACCAAGCAGTATCAATTTTATTGTTCTGAAATAGTTTTATAATTTATCAAGTTTCATAATTATATATTTGGTTTACACAAATAGTGTCTACCTGAAATGCTTCAGTTTCCAGAAGTGTAATCAAATATTCAACTGTAGTTCTAAAATCTCCTCTGATGGACAGTTCCTTAAGTGCTATAACTAAATTTCTATTAAAATAAAGAAAAAATATAAGGCAAGTATTAATTGTTGATTACATTTTGAGTGTATAAAAAAATCCTTACTCTCTGGCCATTTCTCTGTTTTCTCCCCATGAAAAACAATGACCAAACTGAGAATCAGCAAATTCATGTAAACCTCCTGAAGCAGCTACACTGAAATATCCCCAAACATTCTTTGAAGAACGAAAATTTAATTCCTGTACAGTACCAGAACTAGGTTTAAAACCTAAAAAAAAAAATAACAAAATATAAAACAATAATGAATATTACTATAAATTGAATAAATAAGTTTGATGGAAAAAAAAATGACACGAAACTAAATATATTTGTCTATAATATTTATAATATATATTATAAAATTAAAGGATTGCAAATAATTTAAAATTGGCTTATGTTTGTTGTTAACTTAAAATGTAATTTCAGATTTTTATACCAAAGTTGAATATAAAAATAACTTGAATTTTTTTTAAAAGATCAATTAATTTTTAGACATAATATCAATGAAATTTAGGTGTACAAATAAATTATATTTGCATTAAATTACTAAAAATTATTTAGCTATATTATGTATAAAATTAATAAATAAGGAATAGTTTTGGGTGTGATAATTACCTTCATCAGGGTTTTCACTAGTAATTCTAGCAGCTATTACATGACCCCACGGATGAGGTTTATGTCTTGGTGCATCAAAATCAATGTAACTATCTCCCCATGCAGATTCACTATAAAGTAATCTAATATCTTTGATACAGTTAAGGGGTAATCCCATAGAAATTTGCAGTTGTGCAGCTGGTAAATTAACATCAGATACCATTTCTGTGCATGGATGTTCAACTTGCAGTCTAGGATTTAACTCTAAAAAGTAATAATTTCCAGCTTCTGTATCATACAAGTACTCAACTGTACCAGCACTAACATAACCAACCATTTTAGCAATACGAACTGCTGCCTAAAATAAAATAAATTAGTATTAAATATTAATGATACATTTAGAAAGAAAAAATATAAATTACTCTCTCCATATCTTCAAAGACATCAGGTTCTGCAACTACTGCTGGAGCCTCTTCAATAATTTTTTGATGTCTTCTTTGAATTGAACAATCACGCCCGAATAACGATATGGCATTACCATATTGATCAGCCAAGAGTTGCACTTCTAAATGCCTAGCGCATTTAGCTAATTTCATTATAAATATTGGTGATCCGGGAACTTCAGATTGAACCTATATATATATACATATATATACACACACACACACACACACATATATATATATATAAATATATATTTTTTATATGTATATATATATATGTATGTATATATATATACATATAAATATATATATATATATATATATATATATATAAATAGATTTTTATTTATAATACTTATAACAAAATTATAATTGTTAGGTATGATTTTTAAATACCTGTTTAAATGCATTAGGGAAATCATCTGTATTTTCTACTTTTCTTATACCTTTGCCACCACCACCTTCACTGGCTTTAATCATAATTGGATACCCAATCTTTTCAGCAGATATTAAACCTTCCTCTATTGTTGCGACACATCCTTTTTTGTACAAATCTGGTCCGATTTCAATTTTCTTACCAGAGTAATGACCAGTCACACCTAATAAAAACATAAATTGATATAATAAATATTTTAATAATAGTGTATATAAAATTATAATTTATATGTGTACACAACAAATTTACCTGAACCAGACCAGGGCATTGTTGGAATTTCTGCAGTTTGTGCAACAATACTTGAAGCAATTTTATCACCAAGAGCAAACATAGCTTTTTCTGGAGGTCCAATGAAAGCAATTTTATTTTTATCTAACAGTTTGGGAAGTTCTGGATTCTCAGATGCATGTCCCCAACCAGCCCATACAGCCTAGTAAAATACAGATTCACACATTTATAGTAATTTATATTTAAATATTACCCTGGTTATGTAAACAAGAATAATTACCTGCACTTGGGACCGAATGGCTATATTGACAATAAGTTCAACGTTAGCATAATTGTTGTTATTTGTCCCTCCAGGGACCGGAACATAATGATCAGCCATTTTAATATACTCAGCATTAGCTAAAATAAAAAATATATAAACATTGAAACTATGTAATAATAAATTAAAACAAATATAATATTATGGACAACAAACATATTGATTATTTTTGCTTAATTAGTTATTTTATTACAAAAAAAAAGTAGTGAAATATTACATAGAACATTTTAGACAGCCATTTTCATTTATAAAAATCTATTTAAATATAAATATGTCTTTTATTTTACTGTAACCTTAAGTGTAGTCTTCATATAAATAATTTAGTAATTAGGTTGGATTCTATAATTTTTAAATTTTATAAATATAAGTATATATAATTTCACCTAGTACTTTAAAGAAAATCTATATTATTTTTAATATTATCTTATTTTGGTATATTTCTTTAAACAAATTTTTAATAAAACATAACATGGTAATAGGGAGGGGGGGGGGGTGTGCATATAAAAATGTTCTTCATCTCTTAAGGGTACAACCAAATAATGCAATTTATCTATGTTTAAATAAGAACAATCTTATTGAATCAACCTATTCTAATTATAAAGAATTTAAAGTGTTTCCAATTAAATTGCTCTTAAAAAAAAAAATATATATTGATCAATATAAAAGTTCTATATACAAATACAAGTTTTTGTCTTAAATGTATTAATTATCTAGGTCCTATAATTTTTAATTCTTTGCCAATTATAAAAAAATTATAAATAATGCTATTCATATTAAAGTATTTGTATAAATAATGTATTATTTAATAAGTTAAGTTAATATTTTTTAAATTAGTATTACAATGCCCATTTTTAAATGAAATTAACCTTTTTAATGTATAAGTCTAATTTATTAGTTATAACGATATATACCTTAGTTTAGTCATAAGTATTTTGTAACTCCCTATCCCACCACAACCTCAACTTAAAGGGACAAGTAATTTTATGAAGTAATAAAACACTATATTTTAATATTTAATAATTTGAAAAAAAATAAACTAAGATATTGTATATTAGATAGGTTAGGTACCTTTAAGATCTTCTGGTGTAACCATTACTACAAACCGTACAGCCCTCTCGTTTCTGAACATTTCATAAGACCATCGACGAACAGATCTCATGCATTTAACTGCAGCAATACCATTGTTGGCAATTAAAACCTATAATATCATTAATAGAATAAATTTAATTTACACCATTTTAAGTAAAGCATTAATAATAATTGAAATTGACCTTATTGATGACTCTTGTTCCTTTAAACCGTTTCACAAATTCTTCAGGAGTGCTCACATTGAAATCTTTTTCAGTAAGTCGTTGATGAATGACATTACCTTGTGACATACTAGGCCTATAATCAAATTAAAAAATAGGATTATTAATAATATTATTAGTATATAAATTTATCTTTTTAAAAAACAAAATAATAGAAATCTCTTTTAATTAAAAAAAAAAGTTAACACATTCTCTACAACATTTGACTTTTGTACACCTAAGTGTGAATAGAATATTGAAAAGTGTTTTTCATTGTTTGATTAATTTCAAGTGAAATAATAAAATTAAATAAAAACTAATATTAAAATGCTAAAGTTATGTATAGAAATTATATTTATATTTTATATAAATATAAATATAAACCATACATACACATTATGAACTATATAATTATTTTTAATCCTCTACAAATATTGATAACAGTTTTTATTTTTGAAATGCTGAAGTATTTTTGAAGTACTATTTAATCTCATTTTATTAAATGGTAAAACTTAACTCAATAATATTCATTGTTCAGTGACTAGTGACCAACACTTAACTGGATTAAAAAATTTAAAAAAAGTTTTTTTTATTTCTAAATGCCAGTTTTATTTATTTTTATCCACTGTATTATCTTAATTGGAATTTAATTTTGTAGCTATTTTAATATTAACTATTTTTAAAATAACATTATTAACCCTTTTTTTCTAATAAATTTGTATTTGTATTTATATAATTTCTATAAGTAAAATTATAATCTAAAATTTATGAAGTTCCACGTTCTTTCCCGAATTCAACACAGCCAATGTCATGTCATGTCATGGTCATTTTCATAGTGTTCCCCTCCTAAAGCTTCATTCAATTTGGTAAAATGGATGATAGTCAGAAGGAGTCAAGTTCTGACTGTGTGGTAGATGGGTCAAACCTTCCAACCAAACCCGAATTGAAATTTTCAACTTTTTCAAACACCTTGATAGTCAATATGGAGGGGCGTCCACTTCTTTGAAAATCATAAACATCTACTCTTTCTTCCTTAAATTCATGGACCCACTTTCTTAATTTATCCTTATTCATCTCACCTTATAGACACACAGATTCAAGGTCTCAAATTGGGAAAATCTCTTTGCGATTTTGTACAGAGGTGGAAACAAACAAGAGGTACACATTCATGTTTAAAATGACACTGTGGTCGCCATTTCACATGTATTAAGGTAAATGGTAAAGGTAAACGACCTCCCATTCTCTTTGGTACGAAAAGCTTCATAGCACAGTGGTACCAGCAATGTTTCTTTACAGTTTCCTTTTTATGCCTACATGATAGGAACCCCTACTTTTTGGACGTGTTTCAAACTGAATAACATGATTGAAATGTACAAGGTTATTGCAAAAAGCATTTTTGATATTAAAAGAAAAAAAAATGGAGGTGTAAAGAGGCAGTTTCTTATCAATTTCCTAATTTATTTTCTTTAATTTAATTGTAACAATTTATTAACAAAACCAAGTACCTATACATAAATAATAATTTAATATACTATTATGTTATATATTTTAATATAATTAAATTAAATGTTTAAAAATATCACTTGTTGACAACAAATGACAACACATGATAGTATTTTAGATTCTGAGTGGAGCGAAGAAGCTTATAGTTTTAAAAAATGTTGCGCAACTTTTCTACCAGAAAAATTACTCGGAATTTTACGTGTAACACCTTTTCTGAAAAGAAATAGGCGTAGGGAGGTATTTTAGGCAAATTATTTTTCGATTTTTCTAAGAGTTTTCTAATAAAATGCGAAAAACCGAATAAAAACAGGAAAATATAAGAAATATAGGTACAGTGGTCGCTGCTTATAGTGTTCACTGGTTACAATAATAAGCCGCTTATAGTGATCAGAAATGCCAGGAACGGAACAAACAGTAATTATTAATGCATCTTTCATTACTTACAGTGTTCAGATTTTCGGTTATAGTGATCAGAAATAGTCGAATCAGAAATAGAAATTATACAATAATACAAAAAATGAAGAAAAATCTGACGATTATTAATTTACGAACCTAATCTAATCTAATATAAGTGTAACCCACCTAAAGCCCCCCATAAACTATCAGTCTTGACTGTCAATTACGTTGATTGTCATTCAAGACTGACCCTATATGTATACGACTGATAATGACTGACAGATTGACAAATAAATTGCATGACTGAAGCAATTTAAACCAGTGACGCAACTTGTGGTAAGTTGGCAAAGTGATACTTCGGGATCCCAATAAATCTATACAAAAAAAAAAAATAAGCGTACACCAATAACTTTTTTGAAAGAATCTATAAAACATATGTATGTAAATGTGTAAAATTAATTATTTTTCCGATATTTTATACCTGTTTTTGATTCACCGCTTATAGTGATTTCCAGTTATAGTGATCAGAATATTCTCGGACGAATGTGATCACTATAATCGGCGACCACTGTATTAGTTAAAATATATTACGGCCTCCATTTTTTCTATGCATAACTTTTCTACCAGAAATTTTGTTCCAAATTTTAATGATAGCAATGTTTCTTAAAGAAAATTTCACTAACGAGGTACTTTAAAGAGGTCATTTTTCGATTTTCTCAACACATGTGAAAAACCGGGATAAAACAGAAAAACCAGGAAAAAAATAGAAAAACTGGGAAAATCGGTACAATATCACTATCAACTGAACTCCGCTCAAAATCGTTTTTTCGTAAGCAATGGTTTATTGTTGCTTAGAGGTATACATTAAATTATCTATAACAGTGGCTGCACCCGTCCCCATTATCCTAGGACGTCTTTTAATTTCTATCATAACATGATATTTAACTCAACCCAACTTAACCTGGGTATTATGAATAATTAAACAATATGATAAAGTAATGACAATCATAAAATTGTATACATTATTTCATTTTGTAATACAGACATTAAATATATTTTAGTTTATTTTATTATCAACAGTTCAAATATTTTTCTACTAATTCTGATCTCGTATTAGCCAATAAAAGCACGGCTCTTTACGCTGCCATTTTATTTTTTGTGTATCAAAAAATTATGAAGTGGGAGTATATTTCAATTGTGCTAAATAGCAAGTTCAATGTTTTCATCAACGTCTATTTCTTTAGAAAAACTGATACACAATGCTTGGATTACTGTTTCTAAATTACAATATTAATTTTCATTTAATTTTAATTAAACATCATTAAAATCTGTGCACAATATTTATTTACGGGGTAGTCAAGTGCAGGTAATTGAACACTTAACTTATCTGACAATTTTACGGAAATGTACTAAGGTGACACTTAACAGATGTGGCTCGGTAAATTTACGTTAGTTTACCGACGTATTTTTACCAAGTAATTTTTTTTAACTTATTAAAAATTGAGTGGCTTCTCATATTAATTGGTTTTATACGTGTAATAACTTTTGTTTCGTAATATATTTCTACATTTCACTTAGCAAGGTTTGGTGGTTTTTTTTTTGGTTCCCACTAGCACTATTCAGTAATAGTTATAACTAAAATTCAAAGGGGTGGGGGGTGGACTTCACTAGGAATTATAGTTCAGAGTTTAAAAACAAAGTTAAATTTAATGTAATTTTTTCTTAAATTTAAATTTTGACTTAAATCGTAAAAACCACTTGTCGGAATTCGTTTGAAAATAATCTAACCTTTTCGGTGTGGAAATAAACATTTTGAAATTGCTGTTTTTTTTAAAAATAATATTACGGATTTAAAGCAGATTTTAAAAAAAATTATTCTAGATTTGGAGTAAATTGTACATAAATTTATTGACAAAATCAACATCTCTTATATTATTCGAGATAACTCAGAATAACTTCGTCTATTTTCATTTAATTTGTATACACGAAATAACGAAAAGATAACTCGTACAACGATATTGTCATAATTTAAACTAAAAAAAAAACAAACTTTAAATATTTTTTATTGAAACTTGGTAGATAATAATTAATAAGATAGATATTGTGAAGTACTACCGTATTGACTGCGTACAATAATTTAAAAATAAATTGTATATTAGATATTATAATATTATCAAAAGATTAGTTTTTATATGTAATTCATGTACAAACGTCTAGAATAATAATTTTAAACAAAGTTATAAAAAATTAATAATATCGTAATATTAATTATATGTCTTGTACTTGGAAACATTCAGAATGTAAGTGTTTTATTTTTTTTTGTTTCGCAGATAATAGTGAAATTCTCAGAATGTATACCATATTATACTATAGTATTATAGGGGTCTGATATTATTAATAAGTTACAAACGATTAATCAATAAATGGCATAGTTTAAACAAAATCTCTAAAATGATTACGATATTTGCATTGCAGCCGTTTGAAAATAAATAATTTTTTAGTAAGTAAAATATTTACTTAATAATCAATTAAATTATATTATTTAAAAAAATAATTTAACCTTGTGAATTGATTTAAAAATAATACAATATATATACTTAGTGTTATTTTATAAAACGCACAGGAGGTAAAAGGTTATCTGGAAACTTACAAACGACCTTTATCGACACAATCCTACCTTTTTACAACATCAAACTATATACTCAAGTTCTATAAGACCAAAACCATTTATTTTTTTAGTAAATCAGCTGCTTCGAAAATTTAAATTTAAATTTCCTATGTATAAAATAATAGAAAGAATTTAAAAAATGTTTTTAAATAGAGTAGGTACCAATGCGTAAAAAATCAGCAAATTTTAAGGTACAAAATGGTGAAAAAATAATTTTTATAATTCAAAAGTGTTTCCCATGAAGAAAGACACATTTCAATACAAATTTTAAATGCCTATAGTAATTAAATTTAAATAATATATTGAACATATTATTATTATTATTATAGTTGAAAATGTAAAATAATAAGTAACGTTGAAGTCATACTAATAATTACGAATTAATAACAGAATAACTGAATTATGCGATCAAAAGTAATATTAAAAAATAAGTAAGTACATCATATTTAAATTAATATTGACTGGCCGATATTAAATTTAAAAATATATATATTTAACTATATCAACGTTATTTAATAATGATGCAATCAAAATAGTAGCTTAAAAATGAACAATAAAATAATGGAACAACAGAATAGAAAATAATAATAATAATGTTTAATCAATTTAATGACATGGGAAGACAATGATGCTTAACTCATCGTCTATCATTTCGATTATTAAATTATTTGGAACGATGATTTATGTTGAACTTTACCAAACAGTATAAGTAATTGATTAATGATTAATTAATCATTAAAAAAAAATACAAATAGGTATACTGAAACGGAAGCACGACTAATCATCAAATCACATATTTCATATAATTTATATTTATCCAAATATTGTAATATCCTATGTATACAATTAAAATTCTGTCTGTCCGTTACACAAATACACAGTTTTATTCCAATCATGATGAAATTTTGCCCATTTGATATTCAAAATAAGGGAAAGGTCTACTTTAAATCTCGAAACTGATGCCGATCAACGTAGAAACTAAACAGAATCATTATGAATTTCAAACAAATCGTATTATTAATACATATAGAGGGAATGTTTAATCTAAAAATACTGTCGATAGCTGTTTCTGTACAACTTTTCCCATGCACAGAATTGAATGAAAAAAAAATAAATATGTTATAAATGTTAACGTGTCTCCCGTTCAGTAAACCACAGTCAAACAATTTTTATAGTCGGTGATGACAACGAAAAACTCCGCTGTATCTTTAATAGTTAGATTAAATTTTAATTAATTGTTATTAAAGGGCGAGAAAGTATCCTTCGAAATGTTAAAACTAAATTGGATCATTTGAAGATTCAAACAAATATTATTTATATAATTATATTTCAATGAAATGAATCTTAAAATAAATATATAATATATACAGCGCGTAGATGAGCACGTGAGAAAACTATAATATTCAAACTCAGGTACAATATAATAAGTACCTATAATTTGTATACTACTTATCCGATTATAATGGAAAATGTTGTTTTTTTTTTTTTACTTTAAATCGATTCTATAAAATTAAAAATTATTGTAATCCTATATAATTCTATAGTACCGCTAAAATTTACATCGATTTTGCAATTTTTTTTTTTTTTTTTTTCAAACGTAATTATCTAGTATCGGTTTAATTTATCTGATAAAAAAATAATTAAAAACATTTATTTTCCAAATACTGACAACTTGTAACAATAACAATATTATTATTGCTTATTATTATTATTATGGCGCAATTTTAAAATGATTACAATAAAAATGTATTTTACAGGTAAAAACCAACCAATCTAATGTATTATTTCAAATAACTAACGGTAGTAAATTTAAATAAAAAATAATTTTGAATTAAAATTTTTAAAGATTCAAAGTTCTAGTTAAGTTTAGCACAGATTTTTCATTGCTCGTAAAAATAAATGTATTTTTTTTTTTTACTAAGTTAAATAATAACATATTTTACCGAGAGTTCAAAAATAAAACGTAGGGATACAATTCATGAATACCAGTGTTCCATAAATGCTCAGCTACTATTTTTAGTTTTATAAACTTTTTATAGCTAATTTTCAAATAATGATCCATTTTTAAATTTTTTATTGGAACAAATATTTTTTTAATAGTAATAATATTAATCAATTTACAGCATATTTTTCCAAAATGAAGCAAACATTTTCCATGATTTTCATAAAGGATTGCTGTTAAGTTTTGATTTTTAGAATAGCACTAGCTAAATTTCTCGATATTTCCTAGCCTCAATACTTTGAAAATAAACCGAAATCATTAAAAGAAACTATATTTAATGTATCTCCATCTTTACCACTATCAAATTAAATTATTATTGCACAGTATATTTAATCTTTTAAGCCTTTTATAGGCACGTGCCTATATTGCCTATAACTTAATCCAGGCGTCAACGTGACATGTTTAACTTAGAATATTAATACCGTTAAAATGGGTGCAATATCATGATGATGATATACGTTTGAGTTACTTTACAATGTTATTACTTAAAAATAATAATTTTACAACTTACAAGCAAACATCGCAAAACGAATAAAAAATAACTACTTAATACTACACAATACTATTTCACAAAAATTATTACACGGTTTTCAATTATCTAATTATAATTTTTGTTGTATACCTACGTCATTGTTACGCACGATTACGGACGAGCTATGAGAAAACATTTTTAAAGCACAGTTTTTTTAAAAAATATTACCTAAGTACATTAAAATAAAAAAAAAATTGAATTAAATAATTGAAGACATAATAAGAAATTAATTTTAAAACAACAAACTATACGAATATAAGATATTAAAGAACTCACGAAAATTCGGTCGTATTAATAAAATTCGATAAGTACGATTGCGTTTTGATGAAGTTTGAACATTGATTGAAATGTGTCAAATCACATTTAGTTACAATCATTTAGTTAATCTAACTATTCCTTGGATTAAAAACTCTTTGAATTGTTTCCTCGAATAAAAATAATAAAAATAATAATTAATTATTTTTAGTTGGATCCCATTATAATCTTATACCTTATAAACATTCATTCTCATACCGTTTACCTATATATGGATTATACTATTATATATATACGAGGGCTAATCAAAAAGTATCGAGACTGATAATATTACTCGGAAACCGAGCGTTGAAGAGCAAAACGATTTGTAAACCTAGCTTCTATGACTTATACTGAGCACATCTATTCGTATAAAATCTCTATAAACTTCTTCGTTTTGATTTGACGATATTTTTCTAAAATTTGTTTTTCACGTTTGGCAATTTCGTAATGAATCCAAAAGAAGCGGAACTCGCTGCCACTCGAGGGCACATTTTCAGTTTTTCAATTGATATTTAATGGCAAAAACCATGAAATGTTGCATCCCTCTGAAACTGGAAAAAAATGCAGACAAATTTTCTAAAATCTCCAAATCTGTCAAGTTACTCTTCTTTTGGGTTTATTACAAAACCGCCAAACTCGAAAAATATATTTTACAAAAATATCAGTGAAATCAAACCGAAGAATTTTATAGAGAAGCAATAAAAACAAATGTACTCAGAAAAAGTCATAGAAGCAAGTGATACCAATCCTACTGCTCTTCGATGCTCCTTTTCCGAATAATACTACCAGTCTTGATACTTTTTGATTAGCCCTCGTATATATATAATAATAATATAATACAGTTATAATATAATTGAAATGTATAAACAAAACGCAATAATATTAATTTTGACAAATGTATATTAAAGCAATAACTAAATTATCGTTAAGCATTTAAAATATTCAAAGAAAAATATTTCAGACGTCCTCCAATAAAAAAAAAAAAAAAAACGGAAACAGCTAGTTGTTATACACATATTTATTATTTAAAATACAAACTCCCTATATTTTATTATTTTTTCTTTTTAGAAATAAAATCGATATCGCGATGGGTACAGAACTACGCATAAATTATGAAAACTGGTAAACAAAAACTAGAAAATATCAGCGATAAATAATAATTTCTGAGTTTTCTTTGTGAAAAAAACGGGTTATTCTAAAGTTAAAACTAGTTGTCCTCATACCTGGCTCGGCCCGGTGTTATTAACTTATTTATCGCAATCATATCTTAGTAAACAGGAAACAGTATGAATGAAATCGGTAGTTTCAGATGTTAATCCGGTCCTCCCTCTCGGTCAGTGGTAGAGTAGATAAATACACTTTCCCGGCGAAATTTACAGGGGATGGGGAGGGGAGTATTTATGCAAATTGAGAAAATTACAAGGAAAACCAGAATAAATCTGCAACAATAAAAATGCTGACCGTTTCAAATTGGAAATTAGTCCCATATCTCGATAGGTAGGCGATTTTGCGAAATAAAAAAAAACATATTTGTTACTTACGATGCGTTTTGTAACGCATAATGTTTTACACGTTTTTTATAAAGAGTTCTCATATATAATTTTATCAATAATTTGACTTTTACACAATAATAATTATAATATCGTCTATGCAATTATAGCAATCTACGTATGTATGCATAGTAATTATGTTTTAAAATGACGGGATTAACGGCGTTAACCGTACTCCAATCACAGTTTAAACCGTCCATATCAGGTAATTTGTTCAGCACATCCGGTGCATATTTATACTATAATATTAAGTGCCGAGATTTGAGTTTTAATTAATACCAGATAATACGATTAACTGATAAAGATGATTGAAGTACGGAGACACTACAATAAAATATGACAAAAACAAAAAGAAAACTGTTTTGTTTCACCGTAAAAACTGCGGGAAACGTTATGAAATTTTAAATTAAATTTATATAAACTATTTTGTTATGAATTTATTGTTAATATATAGTGAAACATACTGACACTTAGAATAAATACTTCAATTGTACATTGAAAATTTAGATATCCTTGGATTGAAAAAAAATTGAAAGATTATATAGGTATATAGTTCATGAAATACATGGGAATTTACTATTTATCATATTTTGATTGAAAAGTACCCAACAAGGCACCTAAAAAGATTAATAAATATTATTTCATTTATCATGTATTCAAGGTAAACCATTAAAATGTTTACATTCGATATTTCGAAAAAAAGTATTGACTTTTTTAACAATTTCTTTTTAACATTTTTTTCTAAAATGTTTAAATACTTTTATTTTAAGGAGTCGATTTTTGATTTTCAAACGGCAACATAAAATAAAAATGATCATAAATAGATGATTTTTTATTTTATGATTTTAGTTTAAATATATTTTGGTGCTGAGATTTTTAATTTCCGTCAACCCGTCAAAGAGATATTATAATTTTAATTTTAAATAGGGGGAGAGTAGTGAAGCACTGTTCAAACGTCCCGTACTTTGCCGCCACACAAATGATGCTCCACTACTCTCTGGTAGTGAATAGTAAAATGGTTATTTTAAAAACAAAAGATGGCAAAAAATAACGGTAATGTAACTTCTAAGAGCTGCTTGTTACATATAGGTTATCAAAAGAAAAAAAAATTTCGAAAAAGTTAATGTTTTTTTAAAATACTGAACGTAGTGTTGTACGGAACACTCTGTATAGATTACATAGGTATATAAAAGGTGAGAACGGTCACCAAAAATGTTTCAAGTATATGTGACCAATCATATAGACGCGTAGATACAGTTGAAAAGAAAAACGAATTTCAACCGAATCCCCTTGAACCAATTCGTGGCAAGAACAAAAAGTAAAAAAATAAATAAATTAGAATGTTAGACACTTCACCACATCGTCAACCTTGTCTACGTATTATTGTGTAACAAACCACGATAAAAACGCATCTTTTTTTTTTCTTGGTAAGCAGTATGTAGTGATGTCTGAAATGTCTTCATCAATTATTTTTACATTTGAGCAACAGACGTAACTATTATACGAGTATTACTATATTTTGCAAGTAAGATTATTATCGTTTTATAACGTATTTGTCGGCAGTTCAGTCGAATTAATATTAATAATTGTCGTAAAATATACATAGAATTGATGATATTATTATCAAATTTGATGGACGGCAGTCAACTGCGGCTACGCATAGTAGGCCTACAACCGCAATAAAAATCGTATAATATTCTAATTATTAATAATACAATATTATACAATTATTAGATTAACGACGATGCATTAATGTAACTAGCTACGAACTCGTATGTAATTATTATTATTATGCGTATGAATAATTTAGACCCTTTAATTTTTTTTTTCCTTGAGAATTTTTGTTTTTTTTTTCCATCTTTTTTTAAATTAAATTTTCTTCAACTCATTATTTAACACACGACTACGCGGTTGCATAATGTTATCGTAACCAACGATTATCACACACGCGCGAGTACGCATGAAAAATACGAGTATATAGAGACCGACTAATGCAATATGTATAATATGTAAAAAATAGTAATAATATAGGTAATTATAAGTATAGGTATATGAATAAAATTATTATTTTTTTTTAACGTGAAACAATAAATTACTAGATAAGTAATACATACTAACACTTGCTGCCGACCACAAACAGGAATGATAATAATAACCAGTTTTTCTCGTATACATAGTCTGACCCAATTATCATTGTCATTACAACCCAGTATTTCGGTGATCGATTTCACGGTGCGAATTCAACGATATTAATTCGTACGATACTCGTATATAATAAACAAATACAAAGGATACCGGATCGACGAGTTTAAATTTCAAAAAAAAAAGAGCCGATTAGGGTGTGTCACTGTTTTTGATGGGAGTTTGGGAAGGTAGGATACGTCGAATTACTATCTAAGTGCAAAGATAAATCATTAACGACGAAATACGATTGTGAGCAAAGTTTGATCAAACGTGTTTTGTAATTCTTACGATTTTCGCCAAAATCTAAATTGAAATAAGAAATGATTTCCAGGGAATTATACGGGGCCGCGTTAAAGGGGGGAGCAATGGGAGCATTTTCCCCGGGACGCCAAACCGTTTTAAAACTATGGGGCGCCTAGCGCAATATAAAACTCGAAATAAAATGAATTATAATTTATTATGTCACTTGTCATTTGTTTAATTTTCAAACGCTTAAAATAATAATGAACATTATTTGGTAGTTAGAAGAGCGTAAGTACAACCTAGTAACCCAACATGTGTACCTAGAATAAAATTCAGAAGTAAGGGAGAATCTTATTTGATGAAGGTAAAATGTTGACATTTTTTGATATGAATTTAATACAATATTGTAAAACAAAAACAACAAATGTTATTTTGAGAGGGGGGGGGGAACAACTCTCCAAATCATCCCCAGGTAAGACCTTAACAGGGGACGTTTTCAATACGGCTAAATCCAATAGTGAATCCAGTCGTTAAGTATATCAGTGCATTTACTTCGATAATAAACTTTAACCTAATGCGCTAAAAACGTTCAAAACGACCGCTGAATATAATACGATTTTAACGCAAAAAGTTTAAACGTCTGGTACCAGGTCCCAATTATAATAGACAAAAATATGATGGTACCGATGATATGTGTACTATAACAATATAATAATATTATTATAGTGGGTATTTTTAAAAAGCGGGAGACGAACAGTGTGCACTTAACCGTGCAGTATTATTATCTACATAAGGGTATTTTTTTGTATTTTTCCAACTATAAAATCGTGTATCATAAAATGAAATAAAATACTGTTTAGACGAGTAAAAAATCCGATTGCGTCATAGCTGCAGACCTACACATTTCGGACTGTCCTACGCAGCAATTATTAATAATTTTTAAACCGCGACGGAACGCAAAAAATCGGCACACTTAGAAACAGTGTTTTTTTTTTTTTTTTGTTAACCTTGTAAAAACACCATAATATTTATATTAATACTAAACCCGAACTAATAAACGACACCACTGTTATTAAAAAAATAATACACGAAAACGGAAGAGAAAAAACCGCCGTGCTAATCCCATTCGTCATCACGTATATTATGCGAACAGCGAGTAAGGGAGCGAGTTAGATGTTAAGGTTGTGTTAAACGCTTTCAATACTTTGATTTTTCGAAAATCGATAATCGATCATATCGAAATATGATTGAAAAAAATACGTTTATTTGAAAGTTCGTTTAGAATTCGGAAAAATGTTTTCGATAATGCACCGTCAGTCGAAAATTCCGTGTCTTTTTAGGTAGTGTATGAAAAACATGAAAAAAAAAAATGAAAACTAAATTGAAATATTCTATTCGAAAGTCTGAAAAAAAAACAATATGATTTGTATGAATTTTTTTTATTGAGTCATCAATTCTAATTGATGGATACGGAATTTCATAGACTATAATTATTACGGGCTATTATAGGCTAGGTTATAACCGATAATAATTTCTGCTATCGTTTTCGACTGTCAAAACTAGTAAAAAAATAAAGGGAAATAAATAATAATTCATAATATCGATAAGGCACTTATCACAGACATAAAATCGATATATCATTCCTAGAGTATCGATAATATATTTTGCTCTACCCTAACCGAAGGGGAGGAAAGAGGCTTTGTAATCGCGTATAACCGTGCAGGTATAGTGCAGGACTTACGTGATACTGGCTTTGAGGTTTTTAATAGATTTCCACTGGGCTATTTCATTTTTGGAGGGCGGCGGTTCTTCGCGTTCGTACAGCGACATGACCGCGAAAGACGACCTGCGCGGCCGGGGCGGTTGCACCAGCGGCGACGGCGGCGTCTTCGCGGCCGCTCCGTTGTTTTTGGTCGGGGCGCTCATCGGTTCCAGCTGTATACAGAAACCATCGTCCGGGTCGTCCGAATCGCCGGCCGCCGTCGCCGGCCCATCTTCATCCGCGTTGTTCACCGCGATGTCTTCGTCACTTCCGCCATCGTGACCGCCACCGCTTCCGTCATAGTCGTTGGGTAACAGTGACTTGTTGGTCCGCTGGAGTTCGGATAACACGAACCGTCTGGAGCTTCTGCGCTGCTGTAGCATATTATCGCCGTGTTATAATATAGTTATAAGGTCGGATCGAACGGTATTTGCGTGCGCTTCTGAGCCCGGTGACCACCGATGCTATTGTAACCGCCGTCCCTTAATATGTCACGCGCGTACGACGATGGGATAACGACAAAATAAATAATAATTCGCCACACCGGCAAATCCGTCGTGTGGGGCAATATACTTAATACCGACCGTCGCACTTCGATTGTTATTGTTGTTTACGCGCGCAAGTCGTGACCGCGGCCGCGTGATAGTAAACCGCGGCGGTGGCGGTGGTGATGACGGCCGTGGCGAAAGTAGTGGTCGCGCGCGGTCTAGCGATCCAGCGCGGTAATAGCGGGGTAACGATCGCCTTCTGGACCTGATATTGTATTTTGTAGACAACAGACGGCCGGCCGCGAATCCGATGATGATATTATTCGCGATTAATGCGCGTTTAATTAGTATACGCGTAAAAAACGCGCCGTCACTTACTATAAGTATAATAACGAATGTCCGCGTAACGACGCCTCCGGAGCAGGTACGGCTAATTATATTATAATAACAATGTTATCGCCGATATAGCAATAATTACAATACAATATAATTATCGGGGGATCCTCGTTGTAGTGGTTACACGCGTCAAGGTCGGCGGTTTTCTAGTCGGCCACCGTACACTCGATCGGTCTACCTAGGTGTAGACCTAGACAATGCCTTAGGGGTCCAACTAACAATGGTCGTGTAATACTCTCACAGTGCAAAACAAACAGGCGTACGCGCACGCAATATGTGAGAAAATAGACACGCGGGAACCGCGGCCGTACGAGTTCCCCGAATAGGTTTGGGCAGTAGGTTCCGTCGCGTACCTATCAATAATGCGGTAAATATTTTCGCCGGCGCGAGTATATGATGCGAAAATCAAATTTTAAAAAGTTTCGGACATTGTCAACAATCCAGCACAAGACGTTTATTTCGTAACGGCGCCGCGACAACGGAGTTTTGTAGACCGGCCACCGCAACGAAGGGCACACAACGCGTCGGATTATATACCGCCACGCTCGAGTATAGTACTACGATAATAATACTGCGATGGAAGAAAATCCGTGAGTATTGGCAGAAATAATAACACTATAATAACGCACATAAACGGTCTCTGTGGCACAGCAATAAATAGTTTCGATAATATTTTATCACTGTACAGACCTCGACTACAACATTAACAACGATTACACGACACCACCGTAAGGCTAAACAAACCTACCGGCGCGCTTTAATATTAAAATTCGTTGGCGAGTGTCACCACAAATTATTATACTATATAAGTAAGCAGGAGAGAAAGGGTGTAAGTAAATGTTTTTTTCCTTAAAATTCCAATATTAGTGAAGAAGTGCATTTTTATATGTATATATATATATATAAATGTAGATATGCATGTTTTTCGCAACTTCTTTTCACGATTTGAAAAAAATAAAAAACAGTAAAATATAATATGACATAATTATACGGAGGAAAAGACGTCGATGATTACGATTTGATCTGCAGAAAAAATAATATATTTATTCGATAGTACGTCATTTAGTAGAAACTAGTTTCTTGTCATTTCGACGAAATAATTATACTATAGATTGTAACGACGAATAGATTCGATTCTGCATAAACAAAAGAAAATTAAAAATTAACTCGACCTTATCACCGCGACAACCTCAAAAACGACAGCAGTTGACTGTGAACTAAATCGGAGCGTTTCTACTGTAACTAAAATTATGTTAAATGTTTGTGATACTAATAATACTAATATGAAATATTTCTCGACCACAGAAACCAATGGACCTTCTACGTGAGCAGTGGTTTTTCGAGTTATTAAAAACACACAATCGAATAAACAAAAATATTATGTAAACGATTTAAATGTATTATAACGATGCAAAGTCCAATGAGTCGTAGTGAATTATAGATTTGACATCTTATGACCGGTTTCGATAGCCAGGATCATCGTCGGGAAATGGGTAATATTATATTACTATAAGTTAAATTTTTATATCTACACCTAATAGCAGCGAAAAAAAATATAAGCAATTCGGAAGCAATTCTATCCGAAATATCCTAATAACGTGCGCAGGTACACGGAGACAAGACTCTTAACTCCAACTTTGAAAATATTTTATATGACTCAGAAATAAAAAAATTGTATTGCCCTTGAGAATTATCTAACAATAACATGTTTCTCGTCACCACAATTCAACAAATAATAATATCACATCGATAAAAAATTTACATTTTGTACTTTCGTTACCTTTTTTGATTGGAATTAGATTAGAATTAAATTCAATAAAACCGAAATGGAAGATAATATTATACGCAACAATAATTCAAAACGTAATTATTTTAACAGTAAATAATTTGAAATTAAAATTTAATAATTTATAATAGACGGTGTAACAATATTATTTTGCTTACTTTATATTTTATTACTTTACAAGTTTATACCCGAGTAGAGGGAACGGCCATATCAACGATTTAACTGTAAAACGTTGATAATTCGATAGATTGATTGATTTGAAACGCAAAATTTAGTTTAAAAAAAATTTTTTTTATATTTGTATTTAGAGGATTAGTGACAGTTTTCTAAAATATGTTCTCTGATTTTTAATGATAAGACTTTTCCACTAATAATTCGATCCACTATATAGATCGAAAAACTATACAAAACTGTATGAATTTTGGTGAATAGATTTTGAAAATGTATTATAATTATTTACATTTTTAATTAGGACACATTAGAATTATTTTTTGAAATTTGAATTATCTTTATCCATAAGAAAATCCAAAAATACTTAAAGTACATTTTTGAAAATTTTTCAAAAATACAATAAAATTTGTTTACAATAAATAAAATATCCTAGTAAAAAAAAAATAAGTTTTCAAAATTTAAATCATTCAAACATAATTCCTACAGTTTTATCTGACTTTTTAAATCTATATTAGCTAAAATATAGCCCATCATATATTAATATCTTTGAATAATATTTAACTGTATTATGATCAATAGAAGAAAACATGATCATTTTAGACGCCCCCGAACAAATAACTAAATTCTCTAAAATTATGATAACTACAATATTAATTTGTAATCATTTTACATTCAATCGACTAAATAGATTATGATTTTGTAAATCATATAGTACGTGCATAATCTATGTAATCTTTATGGTCCCAGGGAAAGACGGCTTTAATCAAATTCATAAAAAAAAATTTAAAGGACAACTGAATGTAATTAAGGAAAAAATATGAAAACAAAATCACATAAGAAAATTATAAAAAAATGAACTTAAGTACTTCTAATTTGGGACCATAAATATAAAAACCTAACAATTCTTAACAAGTTAATTGGCAAGCTATTTTCAAAGAAATTCTTCCACATACTTTGAAAGTTAAATTCAATAATCATTTACTTTTTCATCAATATTAACATAAATATTTTTACTATATGGCTTGAGTATTATTGTTAATAAAAATAAATTTACTATTTAAATATGGAATAAAATAAGGAGTTAAAGCAATTCTCATGGTTTGAATATTATGAATAACCTACAAATTAATAAAAAATTAAATTGAACCTGCATGGCATATTAAAAGAATTCAGTAAGAGTTTAATATAATGATCAAGCCAGTTAAGAGGATGTGCTGTCTCAGTCCAAATTCGGACAATATAGCAAAACCCACCTTATATAAACTGCGTAGAACTCACTTAATTTTGACTTTAGAGTAAAAGCACCTATTATAAAATTAAATGAGGACAATACTCCGGAAGGCAAGACGCTGCGTTTTTTTTTTTTGAAATCATACTGTCATTTAAGAATGATAAATTAGTCTTTATTTCTAAACAATATAGATATATAATATATAATAAAACAGAAATTAATATAATATATACATATATAAAATAATATACATTTAAGATTTTATTGAAAAACTTCCTTTGATAACACACCTAAGTTATATGTTATTGTTATATCAGCTTGGTGACATAAATTTTTTAACAAACATACCAAATGATCTACATCATTTGAAACGATAATTAAAAATCCAGAATTAAATAATTATTCTAAACTGGGCACGATAACTAATGGAATAATTTTTGTTAAATTTAAAATAAAAAAATATCAAAAATAGAGACTATCTGATTCCCAATACTTTTAAACTCTAGTATCTCTCTCTGGTCAAATAGACTCAAATTTAGGAATTCGAGTTACAGATTGAAGTGATAAAAGTTGAGTTAAATTTCAATATAAATTTAACTATACGCATGTTATTGATAGTAAAAGATTTTTTTTTCTTTTTTAGTTTTGTACACTCCTAAAGAACTCCAAAGATAGGAAAATGGGATGACATTAACTCTAGTATCAATGAAGTGAAATTTAAACCACCACCCCATTTACCCAGATCATTTTTCCGATAAAATGTCATCATTTTTTTTGTTATATATTAATATTGAAATATAGTGTTATTAAAGTATTCGATTATTTATTGTTTTTCAAAAATATTTCTATCATACAAAATGGGCGGGGGGATATGACTAGTTATGGATCTCTGCTACTCACTATTTTTTTTTTTTATTATTGGAGCCGGAATTTAATTTAATAATTTTTTATTGAATTTACAGTTTTTAGGCACGTATTAAATTTTGATATTCTATTATAAGTATACATATATCATTTTTATTTTTTAACCCATCTACAAAGTTATTGCATTCGATTTTCGGAGCATGTTTATGACCCCTCGTGTCAACCGATAAAATATACGCAATGTCGTTAAAATTAATATATTTTCAGTAAAGAACGAAACGGAAGCCAAATAAGTAACGGCCCATTAAATTAATGACTTGTTCGAACTTTCTGTTTCGGGCAATACAATTTAAATTTAATCAGTAATGTTTTTACATGTACAAACATTTACAAAATTAAATCATCATAAAACCAATAATGTAAACTGACCAAAATTTTTCCCCCTTTCAATTATTAAAATTTAACAGTTTGATACATTTTAAAAACTAAAATATCAGCTAAAAATGTTCGCTATTCACATTTAGGTAATTAACTGATTGTCAATAAATTAATTACATTAACTAGCGGTTTAAGTTTTGCTCTTAAAATAAATATAAATTAAATACCTAATCATTACATACTAAATTACATACCTTAATCGTTTTCTCCTTTCGGTTAAGCCAAACATGTTGTTGTATGAGTTGCTGTTCGATGTCACACCCATACGTCCAGTTTCCTTACCCAGAGGAAAAGAGTCAGTATTTTCGTGCTTCTCTTCTTCCAAAGCTTTTATCAAGTCCCCATTGACTAGCTCAGGAGGAGCTTGGTCAATTCCATCTTCGTCACCAACAATAAAGTTCACACCGCCACTGCTTGTTTCTGAACTCATTTTATCATCAATTATAACGGTTTCTTCAGAATTATTGCAATCTGTATTTTCTATATTAGGACAGGAAAAAAAGATTTAAAATTATTATCATCACTTATAAAAGGTACCTCAACAAGAATTTAAAGATAAAGACAGGAGCTTCAAAACGCATACACATTTGTGTATACTTACTAATCCATACTTTGTTTCAATAACTTATATTATATTCGAAAAACAACTTAGCAAACTATCTGTATAAAATCTTATTATAATATTTTGTTTATCCTGCAGATCCAGGACAAAATAACGAGGAGGGCGATTTTGGAAATGCGTATAAGGCACACATTTATAACGAGCTCAATGATGAATCAAATTAGGAGTATAATGCAGCTAAGTATATTGGTCCCTATCTCCCTCCCCAGGTTTATCCTCCTAATTTTGAAAATAACGATACACTTAAACAAATTAATTTAGGTTCATAAACACTATACGTAAAATATGAAGTGTGTCTGTCCATCACAATCTTTGTTTTCGTGGTGCAATTTTCGATTTTATATTATTTGGCGAAATGTATGGTATATATTACCTCCTTTGAACAAATAATAACTTATATAGTCACAATAACTTAAGTTAACTACCGACTTTTTTTCTAACCTTGGTGTTAATTAAATCTTTTATTCTTTTGAGTTATAATGTATATTTACTATAAATTTAATTGTATATTATACACATTATACATTCATAAATATAAAAATATTTATTACGTGCTATCATCGTATAAACTATACATAATATTCGTAATCACAGTTGCCAGATTAAACATAATGAATTTAAATTTTATCACGATTACTATCAACATAATAATATTATTATAACGTTTGTAAAATGTATGGTGCATTATTATTATTTTTTAAATATTATTATTATACGACTATAATAAGATATATGCCTACCTTAGATTAAAAATATCCACTGTATAAACTCTTTTAACTATTTAGATGTTCTGACAACGCAAATTCGTATTTTTAAGTACTCATAAAAAAATAAAGTACAGACACTGAAGTTGTATAGCTATTATTCTGTAAATTGAGTAGGTAACGTACCTACCTATATTATGTATAATTTGCAGATATCACAACTATTAAACTATTGATATTAATCATTGGTGTTAATCATCAGTGTTAATCATCAGTGTTGAATCCAGCTATACAAACACGATAGTTTTAGACGGATTGACATTGCATATTATTATTATATATATATATAAAAATAGCACCTCATCGTTCCGGTTTATAAAAAATTAAGATACATGTCAAGGTTAAAAACAGATTACAAAATTAAATAAGGAAATTGTTTTATATAAATGGGTCTGTCAGGAATAGTAATATATATTATGGAAATACGAACTATTGATATAAATGATTGTATTAATTAATTAATTAAAAATAACTAGCTATATATATTTTATAAAATGATACAAGAATAATTTTTGTCCATCCAATTTTAGTTATTAAAAAAAATAGAATACCAATACCAATTACATAAAATTATCCCTGTAAAATATTAAAATAAGAAATAATATGAATTAAAAATAGTATCTTATTGTAATTAATTTACTCTTATTCAATGTATTGATTATTATAAGTTTTAACATAAAATAACGAAATCAAAGGTTAAAACCAACACAAAATATTGTAATTTAAATTTAAAATTTAAAATCGAATGCAATTTACATGTTTAACACATTGACGGATATTACTACTACAGCAGTAATATATAATATGTTATAATACGTCAATACTGCTGAACGCATTAATCTTTTTAATGGTATCAAATCGTAGAAGACAGTGGACTGCCACATTACGGCAGTCTACACTGACAATTTACATAGATTTTGGATGTAGGTATAGCACTACTTACATAACAGTAAAAGTTATATTACAAGTGTCCGTCAATGTGTTAAATATTAATATTTTAACTTATGTTTAAATAAAAAAATATAATTTTCAATATCGCTGAACGATATCAATTTAATATATACATAAAAAAAAAAACGAATCAGTAATTAAATAAAAAAATCAATGGGAAAACTTAACAGCTGATATTGTTTAATAAATTATATTTTTACTCAAAACAAACCTGAAACAAAATGTCTTTGCATGTTTAGTTCGCGTCCATCTAACACATCTTCGCCCGTAAAAATTACTTTTAAATAGTTAACAAATTTACTTAAATATTCGCGCATGGTTAAAAAAATTAAATAAAACATTATGAAATTAATCGAATCAAATGATATTGTACTTATGATAGGAAGCAAACAAATTGTGTTAATATTATACTTGTATTAATGTATTAATCGAATATAGTATTATGTGTATTCACCCTTGTCACACTGATGTACAGCCGTGAGTTTTTGACCGTTATCATACGAGAAAGCACGGCAGAAAATAAAAATTCTCAACGAGAAAAAAATTTTAATTATTTTCAGAATTTTTAGTATTTAAGAGAAGTAAAATAAATAAAAATTGATAGTAGTATAAGACATGGTTATAGGCTATATCATCCTTATTACATAGAACTCTACTATTCGGTCTCTATATACTATATGATGAGGTTAACTCAAAGTAAATTTGTATCGAGGGAAAACCTGCTGTATGAACTAGAATATTATTTGACCCTGAAGTGATGGTGTCCACAAAGAAGAAGTCGAACTTGTTCTGGTCGAAGTTGTTAGCTTTGAACGAAAGGATTTCCAGTTTATCAAACTAGTTGGTCAGTGGTTGGTGTAAACTTTTGACATTTATGCTATCAGACCGGAAAATAGAAAAAAAACAAGCCGAAAATTATTATTAAGAGATTAACTTAATTTGATAAAAGTATTACATTTACAAAAATAAATTCTAAGACTACAATTAAATATTTCGTTTGCTCAACTCGGTGTTGTTATCACAGTTTTTTAAATTATTTAAAAATATATATTTCCTTCTATATTTTCTACTAATAAGACGTATAACTTGATCAAACACTTTACGTCATCACTCAATTATTAATTTCGATATTAACACCGATATCTAATAATATTATAATAGATGGCAATATTGAAATCTCGATTATTGTACAATTATTGTTTACTCACATTAATATATTTCATATAGGTAGATAATATTTACATAATATTATTATGTAGTAAAATTAATATATTAATTAATAAAATAACCACAAAAAAAAAGTTTCATACACAGTATTACTTTTACTGTTAATTTAAGTTAAAATTGTCAAGAACATCATTAGTGTCATTATTTTAACTATAATAATATATACTTTCTATATACGCTTATTGCTGATAGTGATTTCTAAAGTCTCGAATTTAGAATATTTCAAAATAAAATAAATCATTTTAACGTTAAATACGTACTGACAGTTCAATTAGAAAAGATTTATGAATGTTTGGATATTAAAAAAATATCGTCTGATTGTTACTATAACAGGTACCGTACCTACACCTCTAAACTCCACTGAGTGTAACACATACGTCTAAGTAAAAAAAATCTGTCTTAGGATAATGGGGATGGGTGTAGCCACTGATATAGATAGTTTAATGTGCTTATATTATTTATTAACTTTATTAACCGTATTGCTAACGAAAAACGATTCTGAGAGGAGTTCGGTTGATAGTGTTGCTTTGTCAATAATATATATGTCATACTATAGTTAAATAATTATATATGTATTATATATTTAATTAAATAATGTTTGTTTAATATTGTACCTATTTTCCTACTTTTTTCTCGCTTTTTCCTATATTTTGAGTAAAATCCAGGGAAAATCAAAAAATGACCTTCCTAAAGTACTACTACAGCTTGATTTCCTTCTAGAAAAAGTGCTTCACTTGTAAATCGAAACAAAATTTCTAGTAGAAAAGTTGTTTATAGATAAAAAAAAAAACATTGTTAGACTAATACATTCCTCGATCCGCTCATTAATACAAAAAAAATATAAAATAATTTAACAATTTCATCATACAAAATCATCACCGAGCTAAACCGTATACCTAATTATTAATAAAAATGATAACGAGACTTATATTTGAAATGAGTAAAGTACAAACGTTTAAAATATAGTAGGTAGGTACTATGATTTAATTATATAATAGAAGAAGTATAAAAAAAAAAGTTGTATACTATTATATTTTTAAATTTGTAGTACATATGCCTAGAGGTATTATATTATTACTATGTCCTAGGTAAGAAGAGCTCAAGTTAATTTGTTTATAATTTTGTATAATGTAATTATTTCTCCTTTATTTTTTGATCTAAATCGCATTAGTGTATGTAGTGTATTAGTTTATTTTCAAGTGTATAATTTTTTAATATTAATTTGCTCGTGTTGAAAAACTATAAAAAATTGACCTTCTTGCCTGGGACCAAAAGATACTAAAAACACTGATGAAATGAAATTTGTTGCATAGATAAACAGTCGGAAATGGCAATCATTTTATTACATTAAAAATAATATTATTACCTAAACGTTTTAACAAAAAAAAAAATTTAACTTACGCATTTGTTTTATTATCAGTTGTATACGAATAGAAGAATAATCCAAATAGTATACAACTTACAATTCGATATTAAAATTATAACAATACGAAAAATTCATCGGGGAGCACTCAAGTTAAAAGAAACACATGTAGAACTAAACTCCATAAGTATATAGGTTTAAGTTGGTAAGACATAATAAACGTTTATTTGACCTTTGCACTTATACGTACAATAATTATGCTACTGTACTACACGACCAAGAAGTAAAACTGTACTAATGTCGTGTATTTAAGTTTGAAATTGAATATTTAAATCAAATTCAGTGTCTATATAGTATATATACTATACAAAATCAAAAAGAAATCTATTATTATTTTATTTAGCTATATGATTATATTATATTTACTGATCCATTCGATTTGATGACATTAAAATAACATTAAGCCCTTAAATTTGAATCAAAATTATTCATTACAAATTCTAATACCTACAGACAATATATGTATTTATTCATTTTTTGTTTAATATTTTATTATTTTATGTACCGGTAAATAAAGATAATTTTGAATTAGTACATTTAACATTTTTTTTTTTTTTTCAGTACAAGAATTCGGTCTTTTAGATTTAGTTTAAAGCACAAGCGTCAATAGATTTACGATTTTTCCCTTGTACACAATATAACCCAAGTCCTATTATAGAATAATATTGTATTAATAGCAGAAAGAAATAAACGAGTGGAAACGATTAATGAGGAATTAACGAGGAATGTCCGTTTCCGTATCTACATTTATTAGGGCGTAGTGCCTACATATTTTGTGCCCCATACGAATGTAAATGAATTATAACCATTGGGTAAATGGAGACAGATCGAGTTTTTATATAATATAGCTTCATTCATTTCAGTATATGATAAATTAAAAATACCGCGGGTAATATTAACTATGGTGTCCATAATCTATAGTTATTTTCTATACACACGCGACCCGTATATAGAGGGGTAAAGCGGTTTTATTGTGACAGAGTTAGAAAAATGTTTCTCTCGTCGGAATAAAATAATATGAGCCGGAGGGGGGGGGACTACGATGCGTGCTTTTGAAAGGCACAATTAAATTATACTGTAGACATACAAATAGAAGGAAAACATTTTATTTAAAAAATTGAACTTGACAAGAAAATTATTATTTTACGATAAAGTGCCGAACACATGGAATTTAACTAATTAACTGTACGAAAGCAGCATTCGTCATAATACTTACCTAAGTTTGATTAAAGACGATTAACGATACCTACAATGAACGATTGGATTGACGAAAAAACCGCAATCGGAGAGATTTAAAAAAAAAAAACTTTTAATAAGATCAATTTAAATACATTTAAGCATACTTATTTACGTAAGGAATATCGTTTCACAGTTAATATACGAAGACTACACAACACGGTACATTTATAAATAAAACGTTGTTTTATCGTGCATTTCAAAACAATCTACGTCATTAATTTACCAAATAACAACGACTAAAAGTCGAATAGAAATAAATATAATAAATTATACTGTTATATAGTAATATACTGTCTAGATATCGATTAACTTATTACGTAAATTGGAATAAAGAAATAGATTACACCTAATATATAAAAGTAACGTAGTTCAATATTAAAAGAACAAACGTGATAACCTATAACCCATATGCTATACCTATACTACCGAATAACAAATTGAGATTAGGTACTTGATATACATATATAATATATTATAAATATAAATAAAATATAATTTTGCACATTCGTGAAACATTAATAATTCAATAATCCGGATAAAACCGTTTTTTTCGATTTTCTTCAAATTGGTGTCATTTTCAATAAAACTGAACGGATTAAAAACGTGAATTAAAATTGTTGACACGTTCAACCGGCGTATATAGTTGAAAAAATGTTTTTTCTAAAATCAAACAAAACTTACTACGTTATAACCGTGATAATCTTATTAAATACAAATAATGGGAATCTATAAACAAAATAAAAAATGGCCGATTATTATTTACCAAGACCTGTATAATTTGTTCACGTGAATAATATTATAATTAGTTCCAATTCCGAGTAAATCGAATTTAGACAAATTTAATTATATTACAAAAAAAAAAATTAAAAACAATTTTTGTTGTACTACGTAATGAACCAATAGTTGTAATACACCGATAGACCATTTATTATCGTAAATATCGAAAATATATACCGATGATTCACGTTTAACTTATTATGTATGTTATTTCCTATGATCATTAATCTTTGCAATTTAACGTAGTTTGATTTCAAAAAGCCTACCTATAATGTGAAGTTCATTCGAAATGTTTCTATTGTTTGTTGAAAGTTGAATGATGTTATTGGAAAAAAAAAATAAAAAATTACACCACACTAAAAATGTTTGATAAAACCACAATAATATTGAATGCCTATATGACCAGATAATAAATTAATCTCTATACAAATCGCGTTTTAAGTGCATAATATGTATAATGTGATGTTCAACAAAATAAAAAAAATGCATACAGTCGAATTTTGAGTATTCGGATTTTTTTTTTTTTTAATTTTATTTGGGCGTCACCGTTTTCCGTTCAAACGAGCTATTGAGACCGATTTCCTCGCAAAAACGATTATCGAAATTTGACCTAGTTCAAATTTTGTTTTACTCATTTAAACATGTATACAGTGATTAAATAAAAAGACATATATTAATAACAAATACCCGTTGCAAATATTGTTTCATTGTAGGAATAAATAGAGAATAACAAAATAAAATAAATAGTAAAAAACAAATAATAATATACATATATTTACGATAAAAATAATTGTATACGGTTAAAACAAACAGTATCAATAAATAATTGTTATCAATGAATTAAAAATCAATGAATGTCTTATGCATAGGGTATAACTACAAGACTATTTAACAAATGTGATAACTTTTTTTTCTTTTAGTTTTTTTTTTTTTTTGTAATAATTCCTAGAGCTCTGAGCTATAATTTTATATTATATATATATTATTTTATTACTTTACAATTAAAAATAAACTTTCGATTTTTTATTCAAATTCTTCAAATCTATAGCTATTTTAAAAATTAATTTAAAAAAAATTTTAAAGTTTGTTAAAATTCAAATTTATTTCTTACGACTATTACTAACGAAAAAATTATATTTAATAAGCGATAAATGATAAGCGTTATCGGAATCACAGCTTAAATTAATATGATTAAATTGTACATTCAATCAAATTAACCATTTGAAAATTTAAGCATTCAAGCAATTATTTGACTCTTACATTATTGTCAAAATCGGATTTTTGTTTATAAATTTTAAACATAATTTTATATTTTTTACTTTGGATTTCTCAACATTAAAATTTAACTAAAAAATATTTAAATTATAACGCTAAGTTTTAATAATATTTTAAAAACAAAAAAAAAAACTTAAAAACATTCAGTGGAAAAATGTTTGTTACATTCGTTAAAATATAATCCTGTTACACCCTTGCGTATATCGAATACTATTATGATCGAAACACCATAGATAATTTAATATTTTCTGGTGGGAAAAGGGGGGAGTTAATTTTGATGGAAAACGGGCAACGGAGCAACGTTTAGCGGCAATACAGGTCCCGGCCGTTTTAATTAGTTCACTCGTAATATAGTTGTTATTATAATAATATTTCTATAACGCCTCTTCGTAACAAAAACATTATACACGAATATTATAACGGAATATATTATTTTAACGTCACGCAAACGCATATGCTATATGAATATTTATCTCTGTCGAATAGGTACGCCATTTCGAGTTAATTTTTAACATCAGATAGAATATCAGGCACTCTGTTAGGCACTTGCTCGTAAACAACCATAATTATTATTAATATTATTGTAGGTACCTATAAACGAAACCAAGTACCTATATAATACAAATTATAATGCGGTTTATCGCTCCATCGATATTACAAGAATTAATTTGTTGTTATAATCGTTAATAACGACGGTTCGACGATGATAATTATTGATTTATATATTTGATTTGTATACAACAAATTGTTCGCGCGCATTTAGTTACAAGTTTTTTAATAAAGTATTAATAAATTGTACCTGTATGTGTCCGCGCGTACGTATGACACCCGTCAATTTTTTTTTTTATTTAAATAAAATAATTTAATTTTAAAACGAAAATTACAATAAAAATCATAGTGTTTTCACTTAACACATAACACCGCATAGCCCTGCATACCTACGCGGTTTGAAGTAAATCTAATTTTGCGTTCAGAATAATATAAAACGAATAAGTGTGCTTAGAATAGAATGCATTTTTTTTTTTTTTTTTTACTATTATTAATTCTGTATACGATTAATTAAATATTATATTGCATTACTATTTATAATAATTTTTTATATTTTTTTTTTTTTTTACAAAATACTGATATTGAACGACTGAGAAAAACAAACGAAAATCATATTGAATATCATAACATAATCGATTTAGTTATAGGAGACTGGTAAGGTATGCACGTTAAATATTATTATCAATGTTCAATAAATATATTATCTCATGAGAATTACGTTTAAATGGATAAAAAAAATCGCCATTTTTTCGCGATACAAAAAATGTATTGCTTATTCGCCACCGGCTGTTTGTATACAAAGGGTTTGCAAAAACGATGTGTCTCACGGTTCAAAAAAAAAACCCCGACAAAAACAACATTTTAAAATAATACCTATAATATATATTATGGTGTTGTGAAACGCCATCTATCTGTAAATAGATTAAACGAAACTTAAAATATGTTAACAAATTTTTTTATAAACAATTTACTTATAAACCGGCAAACTTTTTTCCATTTCAATAATATTATTTTTTAAATCGCTATAAGAGATAAATATTATTAAACAATTATTAATATTAATTATTCTCCATTGTAAATGTTTCATACGCTTTTTATTGAGAACTGTCAAAACTTAAAGGGAAATTTAAAATGGAAAATTAACACCGTTATTTTATAACGCAGGGTTACAAAGATTACCTATAAAATGATTAATGTTTTATGAACGGAAAAACAATATCTAATTTATTTTAAAAACTGCATAGCACAAAATTGCACATTGTACATAATATTATTATAATTATCGGGCGTTTCAAAATTGAGTAACACTCATCAGTTGGTTACATTCTGTATGGAATGAAAAATATAGAAAACTAAAAATATTATTATTCGTTCTCGGCAATGTTTAATGTGTAAGCAATGCGAGTTCAAAATATTGGAGATAAAAAACAAAAGTCGTCTAATTTTGTTTACCCCACAAAGTGCACCTAAAATTAACAAAATAACGCGTATTTCTCAATTATTATTCTAAAGTACTATGTCTATTATAATTTTTAAGTGAGTTTGTAAAATAATATTACCATAAAACATAATAATTTTTTAATGAGTTTTCAAAATAATTGGGAAAAACGGAAAGAAAAATATACCTAGGCAAAACGTACAATATTTACGACACGCCATATCGATTTCGTTGTTTTTTAATTTTTGCAAACTATGTCATTATCAGAAATATTGCTCCAAATTTCAAAAATAGCATATTTTCTAAAATAAAAAATTTGCAAGTCAAAAAGTCGTTATTTAATTTTCCGTAATTTTTCTATAATAGTAATCAAAAACCAGAAATAAACGTATGAAATACTCCAAAGTGTACTAGATTTGAGTTTTTTGTTGTTTTTCGGTTAAAAATTATTGTAGATACCTGTAGTTCCCACAAAATACTAATACTGGCCTTTTGCCTTTTGTAGACATGGATAAATTTTCAAAACATTCTTGCTACTTTTAGGCTATTCATAGATATTTGATGTACTTTTATGTGTAGTTTTATTGAGTAGGTACTCTGAGAATAAAATTATATGACTTAAGAGAAATGCTTGAAAATTTAACATACGATACATCATACATTATAAATTATACTTAGTAGTCCAAAAAACAAATTTGAATTTAATGCATACATTTTTTTTTTCATAAGATTTTAAGATTAAATATTGATAAAAATTGTAAAAAATACGTCTTACCGAACTTCGCTCCGAATCTTTTTTATTAGCATTGGTTAATAGTTTCATACAGATATAAATTAAATAACGTTAGGTATCCTACCTTACCAACTTTCCACCTACAACAGTGGTTGCACCCAACTCCAGTATCAGCTCTCCCCCCTCCCATTTTTGCTATCACTTATAAGCTCTACACGTAAAATTATAACTACAGATAGTTATTGTTACCAATAATCAAAAAACTACTATTTATTTTCTTGAAATGTAAAATCATTTTACAATGTTTTAAACATAATATTATATGGGTAAACACACAATTTTATAAAATATATGTATATGTAAACCAAATAATTATAACAACACAATTTATATTAAATTTATAATATTATATGAGCTAAATAAAATATAATTAATAGTTAATAAGTGAACATAATATTTACATGTTTAATAAGTGAGTTAAATATAGAAGGGAATTTAGGAAATGCTAAGCCGACAATTTGAATTGATTAAAGGTTATTAGTAGGATGATATTATGAATAAAACATGTGGATCGGATTAAATTATGGTGATGACAGACGAGAAATGTGGAGACATCGAGTATAAAAATAAATTATGGCTGAATACAGGCGTGTGAAATTAAAGTGAACACGAACTAAGGGATTTTTACTACCTGATACACGATGATGTTAAAACGGATATTATTTTTATATGAGTATAAAAACAATTTAAGTAAAAAATATTTATATCTACAATTTGCACAGCAAAAACAATAGTAATCTATCTTGGTATAATATAAATATATAGCAAATAATATGTGTAATTGGTTTCCGAATCCTTCACAGATAAAAGTTGCCTGGAAATTTTTTTTAAATTCTTATATTTACTTTAACATTATGCATTAGTAGTGTTTGGTATAGTGCCGAACTGTTTAAACTTAAATTTAAATCAATATTTGTAGAACGTAACCATTTAAATAATTAGCCTAAATTAAACATTTTGTTTTAATATAATAAAATTATATATTTTAAATGAAAAATAGTGATTCACTATAATTTCAATAATCTTCAAATTAATATAGTGTTAAAATATAGTAATACTACAAATAAATAGGACATTTCTATGGATTCTGTTATTAACTGCTAAATTTAATCAAAATATATTTTAAAAACCATTTATTGTACATCTTTTATGAAAAAAAATTAAATAATTTTTCGTAGGTTACAATGAGAAGTATACTGTCTATAACAACATATTTATGAAATACTAAATAAAATAAATATAATATATTATGTAATATTTAGAATATAAAATATTGTGTTTCTTATTGTTTTCTACATATTAAGAACTAGACAAATTTAAATTTTTGACAAAATGTATAATTTTGAAACTAAAATATATTATAATAAAATATCTGTACTTTACCCATTTTAAAGGAAGTAAAATCTTGCTGTAAACTAATTATTTTACTTCTAAATTAGCATCACTTAAATCGAAAAATAACGTCTTCAATCTTTGGAGTAAACTTAGGTTTCTATACATGAAAGGTCAGAAGAATAATAAATGATAAATCATTGGCTTTATCGTAAATTCGTAGAGGTCGTAAAGAAGGGAATCAAAGTCACCCGATTTATCAGTTATGAACAGCAAATGGATTAGATTTTTCGTTTTTTATGACCTTAAAATAAAAACCTTTGGTTACGTTAAAAAGTCAATAATATTTATTATTTTATTTTTATTATTACACACAAACTGAATAGCTTCAATAAGAAATCATTGTTTTGATACTCAATATAATTATTTGTTTTCTAAGTCCCATTAAATAAAATTGTATAATATATATATGTAGGTGCGTAAACATAATTTATTTGAGTGTTTCAATTAACTCTAACATCACAAACTATTATTGATAAATAAAAATTGGACATAGTATGCATATTACATTTGAAGTGAAGTCATTTCATTTACTGGAAGGTGACGAGAGGGGGCAAAACTTTTGAATGGCCCATACAACTGGAAAAAAACCAAAAAAAACTTCTTGAATTTCCTGGTTTGAAGAATATAGATTTTTTAAAATATCATATAGACAAATAATTATTGACCGATTTAAACATTATATATTACTACTATAGGGCTGCAGTCTGTCTAAACTTTAAATACAGTTTTGTTTTGAATACAAATATGGTTGCATAGATTACAAATTGTAGCATGTAAATGAACATAATTCATTAAATAATATTTATAGTACAAACTATAAACAAATATGTGAACTCTATCAAAATGCAACTCACTGTTAGTTTATTTATAGGTACTTCAAACAATTAAACTAACCACCTGTTTAATTTTATTGTAGTAAAAGAAGTAATTCATATTTTCAAAAACTGGAAACCCTAATTTAAGCCCAAAGATGATATTCAACGCATTATAAAATTGACATCAGCTATCAAGTCTTAATAGTATTTAAAATGCATAATACAGTTAAATTTTGAGAATTACAATAAATTATATTATACAAATTAATTTTGTGAAATAAAAATATTTTTAAGTTTAACCAAATTTAATACCTATACATATTTGCCAGTGTTTCATTTAGAAGAATATTGATAAATAATAAATTACCTGTCTGTACAGGATTCAATCTATTAGGTTGGATGAAACTTTTTAAGTTGTTCCCGAAAAAACACATACATCATTGCTTACTCTTTATTTCCTCACTCAGCTCAGAATCTAAAAATGAACATTCTTTGATATAGTTATTTACACACCCATATTAACACATTTGAAAAAGAATTTTTAGCAAACAAATTGTTCTCAGTTTACAATCTTTTATTGGTGCTCATAAAAAATATACATGTAAAGGTACTATATTAAATAATAAGAATATGTTTTCTCAGATTCTTAGAAATAAAAACTTACAAAAAAGTAATGAGTCATTGTTTAAGGAATATTTGAGGGAACACTTAAAGTACCAATCTATATATTACGAAATGTGTAGATACTCAATTTAAGAGCCTGTGATATTATTATTAATTTTAAGAACTATTTGATAAAATTTAATATTATTTATTAAAATTGTGTATATAAATAAAGTATGTATGAATAATTAGTAGTAATTAGTATAAGTTATTAGTTTATTACTTATATAAATTTGATGTTTCTAACTATATTTATAATTTTACATTTATGTAATATATATATTTTACATTTACAAAACTTATTTTAACATATAATATTTCATAATTCTTCATATGGTACATTAAAAAATATACATTTCAATCAAAATTAAATTCTCTAAAATGGTAAAAATCAAATATCATAAAATAAATAAATGACTTATAGATACTTTAATTTGTCTATCATACTCCACTATTGGAATAAATGAAATTTAAATTAAATAAATTATCTATTCATTGGTATAAGAATAATAATTCCATACTATATGATAATTTATACTGCGTCGTATTCTTATTCATTGACCTCAAATGCCAAATAGAATTTATTTTAAATAATAATCTTGTATTCTATCCTACTAGCTGCTGGAAACTAGGCAATCGAGTAAAATGTAGTAGTTATTCCTGTTTGTATATCATAGTATATCATACAAACAAAACCAATTATGAAATATATTCAACATAATTGTAGAAGCTGAATAAAATATTTGTATGAAACAAAAAAAAAAATTTATATATATATATATATAGTCTCACCAAGATATACCTATGGTAATATTTATTAAAGATAATCAAATTCTGTTTTGTTTACATTACTGGGATAAGGACTACAAATATTTGTATCACAATTCATTTTTTATGTTTTGGTAAAAAATTTTAAAATAACTTTATATTTTATTATTTTTGAAAATTGCCTTTTTATAGTTTATTTTCTGAAAACCTTGACGTTTTAATTATTCAAGTTTAAAGAAAAGTACCTATAATTATGCAGTAAACTGTAATGGCATTCTCTAATTGATTATTATTATGATTAATTTACTGTACAATTCTTTTCTCTGAACTATAAAAATTATTAAAAATCAAGAATTTAATGAAAAAATTTAAATAAAAAGTTCAAACGTCAAAATTTTCAATAAAAAAATAATTCTTTAAAATGGTTATCTTCAAATTTTCAAAAATTAATAGCAATATAAACATTTGTAGTCCTTATCCGAGTGAGTAATATGAAAAAAAAAACAGAATTTGATTATCTTGAGTCATGACTATCTTCAGGGATATTACAAAGGGTATTCCTTCATGAGACACCCTGTATATATATATATATGTATACACGTTATTTTAAAATACCTTAAGTAATACAATTTAGGGAATGTAAAAATTTAACCAGCATTTGTACAGATACTAAACAATCTGACTTACATAAACGTGCCAAATTAATTTAATATAAATGTAAATTCAAATAAATAAAAAATGTATCCTAATATATTCTAATATATTTGTAATTTCTTTGTACACACATTGATTAACTGATAAACTATACAATTATAGAAGTACCTATTGTAGTTGTAGATACTAAATATTAAATTTAATTAAATATCAACTCATTGATTACTAAAGTAGGTATATGTTAAAAAAATATTAAATTTGCTTTTACTTTAGATAAGAAAATTAATAATGATATATCTACTATACCTAAACAGTAGGTATACTATATAATAAGTCTTATAATGTATTTAAAATGAAACCAAAGGTCAATTGTTAATATCAAATATTATTACACCTTTCCAACACTAACATTAATTACGTAATTATATTTTTTCATAATAATTTTTTTTAATTTAAAAGTAAAAATTTTATATTTACTTTTTTTTAGTCTGCATCACGTAATGGATCTAAGTATTTACTTTATTTTTTTAGTCACCTACATTATACACAACTTAAAAAATTAAAAAAAAATTGTTGGTAGATAGTTACTTGGAAGATACTTTACAGATAAGTACTTTAAAAAGTAAAGTTTTTGAATGTACATTCCCTCTGAACATAAATTTTGAAATTGACTCTAATATTAAATTTGCGCATGACATTCAATCTAGTTACTAATAATATGAGTAACAAAGTAATGTTGAGATTGACTAGAATCATTTTTTTTTTCATGTAGATAATGATCTAAATAAAACTACTTTACACAATTTATTCAAATATGGACTTAACAGTAATTTTTTTTTGTCATGACCCAGCAATTTTCACGGAGGATTTTAAGTGAATACCTCATATAAGGCGGAAATCTCCTTAAAACGGAAACCAACAATTCTGCATAATCTATATCCTATACATTATTTTTGTCTCCCTAAAACAGAAACTCTTTTATAATGGAAAAATTAGTAGAGATTTCATTATAAGGTTACTGTACTATAATAAAGATTAGAATTAGTTTTAAAAAAAAGCATAAACAATTCCACAATGATTAAATAAATAGAAATCAAATTCACTTAAAATCTATCCAGAAAATTGCTTGTTTATGATAAAAACAATTAATAAAATACCTATTAGAGTTAGAAGTTGAGCTAGGAAATATACTTGAACCTAAAAATTTGAAATTCTAGTCAAGAGCAACATTAAATAAAACGCCACTAGATTTTACCAGTATTTGATCATTAAAATCAAAATTTTATATAAATGTAACTCACTCAAAAATATATGAATTACGGTGGTTATAATAAATTTGTTTATGTCTTGATTAAACAAAAGCAAGAATTTTAGTAGAATACATTTTTACTTGCATTTTTATTAATTAAGATTTACAAAAAAAATATGCTTTAAAAAATACATTATAACGAGGCCTATCACTTTGGAAAGCAAGTTACTAGTCCAAAATCCAAAATTCAATCAACAAGGATTCAGTCTACAATATTATTGTTGATTGATATTGAAAAAGTAACATCTAAATATTGTTTTTTTAAAAGTATTATTACTACATTACTTTTGATGTCAAATTAATAAAGAAATAGGCATTTACAAAAATGATTGTATTGATTAAAATATGTTAATAATAATTACAAACAATTACTAAAATGTATATTTCATTAGGTAGATACTTAGGTTATTGATAAAAGTAGTTTTTACTGATACTAAATTTATTTTATTTTTTTACCTTTTCTAATACCCCCTAAAAAAAATATAGAAGAAGTAATAACAGAAGATTTAAATAGTTAAATTTAATATTGGATAGGTACTTGTTATGCTTTAATTAGCTTGGCACCTATTATATAAATAGATGAAAATAAATTTAAAAATTTAAAATTAAAAATGATAGACAAGTAAATACATTTTTAAATTCTTTAAATAAAGAATTATTTACTAATAATATCATTAATATTTGTGAAACATCCCTGAGAATTACTATATACAATATTTTCAAGTAACTATCAAAGTTTAATTTGGTACCCAATGTTTTAGGTTTAATTCTAGATTTAAACAATTATTATTTTTTATTTAACAAATTCTGATGTTTATGCCCTAAAATAAACAAAATATGTATGTAGCACATTACATATGAAAATAAGAAGGTATAATCATTGAGAAGACATTATACCCCCATCTACTGTCTCAGTCCATCTACCAGGTAACATGCAAAAAAAATGCTTACACAGAATAAGTAAAATTAGCTTAGTTTTAATTTTGAGTAAGTAAGTACCTATTATTAAATTTATAGAGTAGACAAAATGAGAGAAAATAGACTAAGAAAGTTTGGGCATATTATGAGCAGAGAAGAATAGGGTTGCAACTATCCACAGGTTTCACCTAGACAGTTCAGATTTTGGGACACCTCTACAGTGTCTAGTTATACCTTTCTGTTAGACCCCAAATACCCAGGTTTAACAAGAATTAACTTCTTTCAACAATTGTTGAAAAAATTCAATAAAAATTATGAATTATTTATTTCTAATCAAAAGTATATTATGCTGTATGGCCTTGAGAAACAAGAGCATACCTAACAGTCAATAATAATATAATAAAAGTTGTCGATTGGGATTTACTACCTAATATCAACATGATTCGACGGTAAAGTGCCTAGTAACAGATAAATAAAAAAAATGGTTGAATGCTTTAAACAATGCTTTTTGTGATAGTCAGTTTGTATTTATTTATCTAATCGTTTATACTGAAGTCATTACATAGTTGTTTGAATTGTGCAATAGTAATTTTGGATGGCAACAGTCTACAGTTGTATACTATGTATTAATTATAATTTAAAAATATCAAGCAGCGATGAAAATGAAAGATGTTAAAACTGATTTAAAAAAAAGAATGTGCATATTTTTGGATAAATGCGTGAAAGATGAAAGGTATTCATTGTGATTACATAAACACAGTTTTTATGACAAATTATTATTACTTAAGTTATTTTGTTTCATAATTTATATTTTAATCATTAAAAAAGGCAGGGTGGTAAAAAAAAAATTGGTTAGCCAAAATATTTTGTCCAATTTTGGAATTGACTAAAGTTGGCAACTCTAAAGAGGAATCAGAAGCAGTAGGAATGGTAATGAAAATAGGAAAAAAGAGGGGAGAGGAAAACTGAAAAATGGAAAGTTTAATGTGATAGAGACTGATATGAGGAAAGCCAGTGTATTCGAGGTGAAAGAGGAACTTTAGAACGAGGGTGACTAAAACCAAATAGTTGAAATAAAAACAAAGAAAAATAAGAAGTACTGTAACTTTGCTTTAATACTCAGAAGTTAGATTGAAACAGTAAACACGGGTAGGAATATAATCTTTATAAATGAGGAAAATTTGACTTTACTTGTGTTTATCAAAAATAAAATTATTTAAATAATTAAATAAATACACAAATGAATGAGTCGCGAGAATGAATGAGTATTATAAAATGTGTTTTGCACGACTGGTTTCAAATTAAAAATGTATTGTCATTGTTGATTGTACAATACATATTTCATAATAAACCAGGCGATACATTCATTTATTTATATATTTATTTACTAGTATTAATAATTTAATAATTTTGTTAGAAAATTATCAATATTAATATTAGTAACCACAGCAAGAAATCGATAGCATGAACTTGGTTAGAACATAATTTTATGACTCAACATCGGTGAGAAAAATATGTAGGAATTAACTACACAAATGAAATTGTTGAACCTATTGAAGCCATATTTTGTTTTTTACACATACACCACATTTTGAATGAAGAAAAGATGAAATTTAAATAGAGCTCAAAATGTGTACATTTGTTGGTAATTTACATGACCGAAAAATTGAATAAATATTAACTCAATAAAACACTATCTATGTTCAATTAACCAAAGATTAAGTCACTGGATAAAACTGTAAACATTACCTAATAAATATAAATATTACTTTAATATTTATTTCTATATAAATATAGAAGTTATGAGAAACAAAAATAAGTAGGGAGGCAGATATAATAATTGGTCAACTAAATTGGAACCAGACGTGAAATTATTGTTATGGAAACTATTGCGTTTAGCTCCTGTCTTCAATGAGAAATTCAATAAATTAGTCGGGAATATATTAGGTGTAACGAAACTTTACCAACCTGTATTGTGATGTATCTATTCGGTATTCTCGGCCCCGTTACGATGCCGGCAGTCTACAAAAATGATTAACGTTACAATACAAATTTAACACATTTTACATATCGTTTGTGACAGCGATTACAAAAAAACGACATTTAACGAACAGACGTTAGTCGATGAACACACTTAGCCGACAGTACAATAACGGACTAAATCGAACGATTTAACATCATAAGCTCGAGAAAACGGAAGTGTTAACTAAACGTCGACATCGTGACTACGGTATGGGAATACGTAAACAAAAATTTAACGACAAGAACAGTAATACTAAAACGTACAATTTTTAAATATATTCATAATAATATTTTAGTGTTAAAATCACAGTGCACAAAAAAGTCCATAACCTCTAATCAAAATTCGGTGGCGGCTCAACTACAACAACGCAGCGACACTGTGATAACCACTAATGGGAATGATAACGAGACCAACAGCAGGCTGCACGCAGCAGTAGCATGCCGTAGGTTTGTTGGCCGGGTCCAATGTGTAATGGCCAATAATGGTCGTTGGTGTCAGCGGCGGCGGCTGATGGAATTTGCCGACGTACAGTCCTGAACACGGCGGCGCGTCGGTGACCGATGTAATGCGCGCGCAGCGGCGCAAGGACATCGACACGACGAAATGGCCCACAAAAGCGGATGGAATTGAATTTTATTGACGTCGTCGCGGCGATCGACGGCGAAACATAGTTATTATTAATTATTATTGACGCGATGTTATTTTTATTGTCGTGTATATTATTATTAATATTCTCGTTCTTTAAAATATTTACCATTTTTTTTTTACTTTTTTTACATATCCTGCGAATAACAAGTAGACATATTATAGGTACCCACCTGCTGCCGAGTTTTGTTTTAAACATAATATTAATATTGTTATGTATTCATCGCATACAGACGCGACTGTAAATCACCGAATGGTTTTGAATGAGTCTTTGGTGTCTGAGAAAATTGGACATTCGATACCTACCTATACCTACTAACATTTTACTGAATTTTCGTAATACGTTATTATTCCCTGATTGATAACTTCATGTAAACATGTGTGTCTATAGGTGGGTAGCATATATAGGAACTTACATATACAATTTAAATGTTCACAATAACATCAATAACGTTATTTCGACAGAAATAACTAGTGTGGCTAAATCTTACTAGCCCTTAACTTAATAGCCTTGCAATATGTTATTATTTATCTGTATTAATATTTTATGTCACGTTAAATCTTCAAACTTTCGATTTATATATATATGGTTATGTTAGTGTATTGTTCTAATCTGGCATACCTACGAAATATATAACAGAAATAGTACCTATATGAAGTACCTACGTTTTTGTTCGGGGAATTGATTATTATTACAGGTATGACGGTCGTGACAATACTATAAATTATACGCAATTATTTGGCTAGACTTCATTATTACTATGGCTGTATCCAGAAATAACGAATAGCATTACCTAATTCATATAGGATGTAGGTATTATACCTGTACAATATCAAAATCGAATAGGTGAAAAACTGTATGCTATAGCTGAGTAGAACTTATTACTTATTGGCGCTTTTGACAATTAAATATATGGGTACCCTAAAATAATTTTAAAAGAAAGTAGGTATTATTTATTTATTTAATAGAGATTATATTTTAAAACCATGTTTAGATTGTATCGAACTTCTAGTTGACAGTAAATACAGTATATTTTAATAAACCTCAAGACATATTGAGATAATATTAGGTATATCCGTTTAAACTTGAACTTGATATAAGTAAGTAATAATTATCTTTATAGTGAAAATCTAATTCTTATAAGTAGATGTCAATTATTTACCATGTATTTACCCATGTATATAAAAAAAAAGCAGGTACCCCGTGCAGATGCGGCTACTGTTGTGGGTGGGTAGTTGAAAAGGTATAGGATCGTAGTTGTTTAATTTATACCTGTTAGCAACGATAAGCCATTGCTAACAAAAAACGATTCTGAGGGAAGAAAAAATCTAAAATAAAATAAATAAAAAAAACGGTGAGTTTTCACGATGATTGTTTAAAAAAGATTAAAATAATAAATTTATCCTTCACTTCACTTAGAATCTAAAATATAACAGTGATTTTTATGTATATTTTTTGTGGGTTTAATTTAAAAGTTTAGATAGGGACCTACAATGCTGAATCTAGGGGAGGGGGCGAAGCGAGGCATTTGTCCCCCTGGACTTAAAAATTTAAAATATAATTTAAATAATTAATTAGTAAAATTTTACTTTAAGTACTTTTTGGTATATGATTATGATTTTATTATTTTCCTCCCTGACTAGGGCGCCCACAAAAATATAAACTGGGGGGGACAAAGACAAAAGTATAAGACTTTTTTTACAACTTACAACTTATAAGTAATCATGGCTTTAATATTTAAGCCATGCATGTAATAAAACAATTAATATTTAATATTAACTAAAATAACGGGAGGGGGGCATGACCACACCGGCACTCCTTGTGAGCGCCTTTGCTCTCTGATAAATTTCCTGCGGACACTCATGATTACGATGATATAATAAGAGATTTTTGCTTTGAAGCTAAAAGCTAAAATTAATATTAACATTTAAATTAACGTATTTTAATGATAAGTTATTTTACTAGGCAATAAGTACTATGCATGTATATAATTTTTTTTATTGAAAAACAAATAGTTATAGTAATATTTGTTTCTCGTTGAAATGTGTTTAGTTATTCTACATAAATTTTAAAATACATTACAATGTACCTATCTACACAAACTAAACATATTATGTTAAATACAAAAGTAAAATAATAAATAGTAATCTTATGTATAAATTAAATAAATAAAGCGAATTTCGTATTCTATGTCTGATAAAAGGACGCTAATTTAATATTTTGCTCTGGGTTAAAAATAACGTTGAATCCGACACTGGGTACCTACGTAAATATTTCAGAATTGACAGATAGGTACTTCATAATATATTTTTCATAGGTTTTATTTACGTGGCAAAATTGTACGTTCATACACCTAAATCTTAAATTATGATTAGGTTTATAATAGGTGAACATCATTGTTTCGTAAATATAAAAACTCTAGAAAATGAATTAGGTATCTTACTTATCAATATCTTTAGATAACCTACTAAATAACATTTGTATAAAATGCCATAATATTAAATATAATATCTATGTAGGCAATATAATAATATAGTAAGTACCTACTTACTATACTATTTACTTACTTGTACCTGCTTACTAAGTAGGTGCCTATTTTTTTTTTATTAAGTTTTTTAATCCCCCTTCTTTTATATGTTTCCAATTTGAGCACTGCGTACAAGTAATTAGGTACCTACCAATTAATCAATAAACAAGAAGATAATATCACAATAGTGCAGGGGACATTAAGTGGTCTAGTATCTGTCTAAATATTATAAATATGATGTCATTATAAGTAAATAGAGTATATTATGATTATTGTATAGAATACAAAATATATATTTTTTCGTCGTAATTTATATAAGCATACGTATACCACCGATCTTAATATTATAGCTAACAAGTATGTACCTGATGCTATATTATATGTGTTGTGTTTTATGAATATTATGGTAATGATATTATATAAACTCCGTTAAAATTGATACACAATAAAGTTTACACAATGAATATTTATGGTACGGTAGGTAGGTATTTATGTAAATGACACATTAATAAGAATAATATGACAATATTACACTTAAAACCGGATAGAGTCTAAGTCTAAAACAGCAACAAAAAAAGGATGTATAATAACCATAAAACGTAAATTCATTTTTTTATGAAGTAGGTAGGTTACCCATTCGTCATTTTGTCCAATGGTAACTGCACCGACATACCGAATGTAATTTTATTGAAGGTATTACTTGCGCCATCTATATTAGAAATCAAGAATAAAATAATATGCATCCAATTAAATTGATTCGTCACGTCACGGTCGTCGTCGTCGTCCATCAATTTCACATAACTTGACCCTGGAGGACATGCGCAGTGTGTATGCCTACCATTATCATTGTTATTGTTGACTACAGTAACACCCAGACAACGCCACAACGGTCGCTGTAACAAGTGTAACGATTTTTTTTTCAAATGTTTATATTTTGTTCTCACGAATATAATTGTTGTAATATCCTCAAATACGATTTGGTTTTTCTCAACAACAATAAAAGATATTATCACGTTATAATGTTAAGTAATTTGAATATAATTAAATAATTAATATTTATTTAAATCTGGTCTTCGTTTATACCTACTCGCCGCTGCAGTTTAAAAATGTCCGATTATTCAAATATGCCCAATTATTCTCAATTCCGTGCTACGGAAACTGTAAGTTGTACATTATTGAATATTAATTTTCATTATCTAATAGTTTTATTATTCTGTAAAGTGGCAAATATTAGTTAATCACTTCAGAAGCGGTATACCATTGAAATCACATCGTTACCAGCTTTGGTTTAAAGAAAACTGTTTTACTGGTTTTGAAGCAGTTGATTGGATGTATAACGAAGCGTCTAATGGAAAATTGCAACATTTATTTAATAAAGGAGTTACTCGCCAACAAATTGTATCACTTATGAATAAGTTTTATGAGGCTGGGATTTTTAAAGCCGTCAGTACAACATTAACCAAATTTAAGGATAAATCTGAATTATATGAGTAAGTTAACTAGCTAATCATAAAATGACATTGGTATAGTACAGTTTTTATATAGTTTTTCCAATATGGTAGGTAATATATATTTTCTTAAAGACCTTTTTCTAGTTGTTTATTTTACACATATTGCAAAACCTTAATATATATATAAATAAATTACAAAGTAGTTAAATATTTTGTTATACACAATTAATTTATAAAAAATTAGGAGATTAATTAACAATATTTACTGTACAAAATTTGGTACTTGTTTATTATTTCCTGATATTATACCATAATAAATTTATTGCCCTGCCACTCATGTTTGTTATTGCTGTACATCAGCAAAAAAAAAATTATAATAAAAATAACTTGTGTTATTTTGTCACCAGTTCACCATCGTGTTATAATTTTGACCATAATTAATTTGGTATTAAAATGTAATGTGTATTATGAATACACTATACCTAACTACTTGGGTACCTTATATATTTATATGTGATATTAATTTTAAATATTGTTGTGTTATACTATTTTATATTATGTTATAATATTATTTAATATAACTTTTTCAGATTTGTATTGCCAAAGAATATTAATAAGGCAATAAACAAAGGATCTGTATTATCAACATTGAATTTATTACTTATGAATAGACAACAAACATCTCCTCTACCCCAGAAAAGTGATAAAGTGATAAGTAGTCATAGAATGAAATCATATTCAATGGAAAATATTGCAATGAATACATACTTAAATGAGAACCATAAAATCGCCAATTTCATTATACAAAAGTAAATATTTCTATAAATATATTATTCACTGATATTTTATATCTACATACTGTGCTTTAAAAAAATATTTGAATATTAATTCAATATTGATTATTAGTGTATTAAGTTAATTTAATATTTTTACTATCTAGTTGTTTATAAAATACAACTTAATTGATAATTATGTATGATGATATTCTATGATAATGGATTAGATAATTGGGTTCAGGATGAATTAATTATTTTCCTAAATAATTTAAGCAATTATCATAATCTGTCTCTGCATTACATTGGTATATTGTATAAGATGTGTATTTTTACAAAAACAAATTAATATTTTTTAACAAAGTTTTTTGAGAAATATAATATGCAATTTAATTGGAGAAATACCTAGAAATAAAAGATTAAAAAAATATAATCTCATAAATGGCATTTGAAAAAAATTCTATTTTATTTTTACAAGGTTAATACCTAATTAATACATTGTTTTTTTTTAATTTCTAGTTTACGGAATATCCTAAAAAATTTTAATATGGATGACTTTTTAAATACAGAAAATTTAAATAAACAATGGATAATCATGAATATTTATAACCGTGATTATAATGCTGATGGTTTATTTCCTCACTGGGTAAAGTCTGCAATGGATAGTTTAACATCTGGTAAGCCAGTTATACAGTTATATTTATTTGAAAAATTATTCTTTATTGATATATTTTGTTTTAAAATATTACTGCATTTTTTCAATAATTGACAAAATGTGAGAAAATAGACCGAGATAGTTTGGGCATGTCATGAGAATAAGAGGAATCATACACAGTAAGAATTGTAATGAAAATAAAACTAAAAGGAAAGAGGAGAAGAAAAACACTAAAAAGAGGTGATTTAATACAATAGAAGATGATATGAGGAAAGTTGGAGTGTAAGTAAGGTGGAAGATCGAGTCAAGTGGAAGTTAAGAACAAGGGTGGCTGACCTCAAATAGTTTGGAATGAGAGTGAAAGTAAAGAAGAAATGTTGGATATTAATAGATGACTTACTATACTAGTAAATTAGTTATAGGTACTAAAAAAAGATTTACATAAAGTTTTAAAACTTGTAATAAAAGAATATATCTATTAGATAATTCCAGAGATTATTCTAATTAAGCTTTCTGCACACTATTACACATAGGAATGGAACAAAACAGATCTGCACACTATATCGGATTATATCAAAATTCTCTTTAGTTATATGTTTGATTTTGTAGAAACAAAAGTTACTTTTCTAATTAGTTTTTTAAAAATAATTTTATTTTCAAAATAAGTGATAGTAGCAGCAAAGAAGAAAAAATGGTGATTACATTAGCACTTTCTGCTGAAGAAGAAGAAAGGAAACAAATGTTAAAAAAAAAAACTGGGTTCATGAAATCAGTAGGAAAAGAGCAACTTAAGGGGAGTTAAATACATTATTTGATACATTTAACAAATATAACCAGACATTTTTCCAGAGTTTTATGAATTATTTGGATCTAATCAAGCCAGATATACAAAAACAGGATACTTAAAACACTACAGAACAGTTCAGAATAGAAAAAAAAAATATTTTTGAAATTATACTATGACTTTTCCATTCCCATTTAAATGTATGCAATCATTTATTTTTAATTGTTCTAATCCGATCAGTTCTGTTTTGATGTGAAGTAGTATGAGGCTTAATAGTACTGTGTTAAGAAATAATAAATGCATTAAACATTTTAATTTTATTTATGACATTGTCTTTTAAACATTGTATTATATTTGTTACAACTTTAAAGAATTAATTTTTTTTTTTTTTTTTGTAAGTTCCTATCTAATATAATTATTGCTTTATTTTTAGATATTGAAATAAATGAGTCCACTTATCCTGGATTTAAAGCTGATGTTTATTCTGTAATCAAAGACTATTTTTTGAATTCAGAAGAACCACTAATTCCGACATCTTTCTATGAAATATTTATTTCTATTTTAGTAGTCGTAGAAAGACACGATCATATGTGTAGTAAAAAAGAACAATTTAAAGAAAATAATGATTCAGCATATATCCAACATAATCAGTTGTCATCTAATATGTGTTGGGAAACGGAATTTTCTTCAGATCATGCAAAAACTTGTATTGTTAATAAGTGTTTTGATATATCTGGGCAACATGTATCATCTCTATCTACTAGTAGCTGTAGTAGTGCTTCCTTTTTTGAATCATGTGATGTAGAACAAAGCAAAATGGAACATAAGCCATTAAATATTTCACATAATAAATATTCAAAGCCAAAATTAATCCGAACAACTAGTTCACCAGAAATATCTATAAAAACACAATCAGTTTATCATAAAAATATGGAAAAAATTAGAAAAAAAAAAATTGGGCGTACCATATCAAAGGATTCAATTAGTTCTAAAATTTTAAATGAACTAAATAACAGTTTTTATTCAGATGAGTATGGTTTTAAAAATAAACCATTAGATAATGACAAATTTGTTTGTCCATCTACTTCTGGATATGTCAATTTTGGACTTTTTCAGTCTGAGCAAATTAAAAAGGATGATATCAATGGATTTAATTTAGATATGGCAATTTCTACTCTTCATAAACTTATTGATATTACACAAATGGACCAAACACAATCTCTTAAACATCAACTATCAGACAATGGTATGACTGTTACATAATAAATTTAACTAGTTTCTCCTGTTGTACCTAGACAAATTTTAATTTATTAAAATTTTGTGTCGTGATAATTTTTATTTCAAGTCTTTTTAGCTTAACAATATAATTTTTTAATACAAAATTATGTTTAGGTTTGAATGAAAAATCAGTACATCTAGGAATTATTTTGTATCAATTATTAAGTCTTTGTCTTCCACCATTAAATAGAGCAAAACTGCAAGTATTTTTAAAGTTTGTTTCTCATCTCTCTTCTACTTACACTAAGGTATTGTTACTATTTTAAACTATATTACTTGTTATTATATTCAGTTAAAGGGAAAAGTCTTTTGTTTTAAACACATGAAACAATAAGTTTACTTATTTTGATAAGAATTCATGATTTCAAGAATTTTAATTAGACCAATAAACATGACCTACTGATTTAAATTATTTTTTTTAATATAAACACTACTTTTTGTGACTTAAATATAAACGTTAGACACATGCTGTTGCTGAATTTTGTAGACATTATCAAACTCTACAACTTTTCTCTAGAACTTAAGTCATATATCTCTCATTGTAAAGGCAACATTCATAAGAAACATTTTCGTTTGACTGTTTTTGTCCAACTTACTGTGCATATCGGACTACTACAAAAGTTTTTTCATTTTTCTGGTTAATATATAGCCTATGACACTCACAAATAATGTTGTTTTCTATTGGTAAAAGAATTTTCAAAATCAGTTCAATAGATCCAGAGATTACCCACTACAACCTCTCAAACTCACAAACTTTACCTCTGTATAATAATAGTATAGATAATATTAATTTTAGCTGTAAATTTGTAAATTAAAATATAAATATCTAAATAATTTATATACTAACTTTTAATAATATTAATGTAGAATATATAATAGAATTCTTATTAATATGAAATTGTTAAATGATTTCAATTAGTAATCAACTGGCTAATTGGTATACATTTTTATTCAGATCCACTCCCAATAATGGCTAAATTACTTAAAATGTTATTTTCTATTTGTTAATTTAAATTTTCATGAATATTACATTTGTTTCCATTTTTATCTTTAACTTTTTTTCAATGGCCTAAATTGTGCAAATAATTAGTTGTGCTGCCTCTAGAAATTATCAAATTGTTCAGTTTTAATACTATAGTAATCAATATTTGACTTACTTATCTGCCCAGAATTTTTGTTAGCAATGCTTTATTGTTGATTACAGATACCCAATAAATTCCTGTCTGTATCCTAACTTCCCAACTAAAACAGTTGTTGTATCCATGTGTTAAGTATGTCTGTTCTTTTTTACTATATAGTTTCTGTACATAATGTACATATGTTTGTTATTAAGTTCATTAAAACAACTTTCTATATAAAATATTTATTTCATAATGTTAATTATAAAACCATTATATTTTTCAGATTTCTGATAAATTATGTTGTGCAGTATTAAGGCAAAATATAAATCAATTTGAATATGATTGTTTAGCTACTGATGTTGTAAAATTTTTGTTACACAATCAATCATTAATATTTTTGCCAATTAAAACTGATTCAATATTATCAGAAAAATTTAATTTTTTTAGTGATGATGATAATTTTTATAAGGTTAGTATGATAAAGAAAATAACATCCATTAGAAAGATTTTATATAATTGTATATATATTTATTTTTACAAGTGAGATACAAAATTAGTTCAGTGGGATGTACTATAATGAATAACTAACTAATGCTCCAATTTACTTTCTAATTTAAAGTTTAAAAAAAGTTAATTTAAAATTTGATTGGTTTTAATCATTGTTATAAATAATTTTTATGTCAATGTACTAGGAAAAATGTATTGAAAAATTAACAATGTACAATTTAAAATATAAGATTTTATCTTTTTCAGTAATTTAATGCATTTAAAATATATAGTTTTTTTAAATATTCATAAAATATTTTGTAATTTAATTATTCATCTATTTTATTATACTTGTGTTGATAAATGTATTGGATAAAATGATTATATTTACTAGTCTTTTGTATTTTAGTTTATTAACTCATTATAATTTAGATATTATTTATTATCTATTTACATTATTTAATTCAATCACAAATTAACTATGGTACATTTCAGGATAATATGCATTATTGCCTTCGAATATCAGATAAAGAATTTGAAAAACAAAGGAGTACAGAATCCAAAGAAGCGCTTGTTGAATTACTTGACCAAATCATAAATAGTACAACAATGTCAAGTAAAGAAAAGGGCAAACGTATGAAATTAGTAAGTTATAATTTTTAATCCTTTTAAAATTTATAAATCATGATAATTTATTGTTATACATATATTTATTTAATTAGTTTCAGAAACTATATCCAGATGTTTATGAAAGAAGATCTACTCTTTTAGAAGAGCACAAAAAACGAAATTTAATTCAAAATAAAAATTTAATTAAAAACCTACGAATTTAATAATAATCAAGAATATACTACTTATTTGAGTGTATAATTTATAAAAAGTATTTATAACTGTACAAATTAATTTAATTTGATTTATATTGTGTGTTAAACATGGTTCCTACATTACATTAAAAATACTAAAATTCTAAGTTATGTACATAAATTTATATCTTATACAGGAACATGTTTTTCATACTTATTTTTTTATATTTTGAAATATAAAGGTGCTTGTTTAGTATTAATATTGTTGACATTTTTATCAGATTTATTTTCTTCCTGCAATTAGATTGTTGTTTATTTTATCACCTATAATAATAATAAACTAGATTAAAGTACAGTTTCCCATCTGAGTGTAGTCATTAGGACTGCACCCACCAATTAGTCAGTAATTAAATAGCAATGACTTGAAGCTACATACTGACCTGTTTCCAAAATATTACTACAGTTTGAAACTGGTGTATGCAAGTACATTTTATCCTAAGAATTAGTAGTGTGCAGATATGTTTAGATTTTAACATAAGTTTATAATTTTTATTTTAATAATTGCACGGAAAAAATTATTATTAATAATAATAAAATAATTGGTCTTATATTAATAGAAAAAAAACTAATAAAAGAAAATATATAAATCATTTTTTTACAACTCCAGTACATGAAAGTTTTTTTGAAATTCTAATAAATGTACATTTAAATAAAAGTAAACCGAAATTTTGAGAATTTGTTTAAAAATGTATGTTCCATCTATCATTGATAATGGATGATATAACATTAACAAAAAAATGTTGACTGTAGTTTTTGATATAATTTTTATGTACACAATTATAATATATCTATCATTAATTTTTTTTAAAAAAAATGACTATTATGATCAAAAATATTAATGCAGGCATGTGACTGGCAAATTTCTATTTAAATACTATTAAAAAACTTCATAAATGTATTATAAAAAAAAAAATTCGCAATTCATCAAATAATGTTGTTAACTATTGTACTATGAAATATAAAAAATAATATGTCTAACAAATTTGCTATAATTTTGGACACTAATACAAATAATGTAAAAATAATAATTTAATCAAACATGTAAACAATAATACTAAAAACTTCACAAAAAATCCCTCTTCTTTTGAAAATACTGGTATACATAAACTTAAATGTTACTGTAATAAATTTTATGTAGGTAAGACAAATAGAAATTTTAAAATTAGAGACTTAGAAATATTAAATACCCAAAATAATATTTACATTAATTCAGTTTTAGAAGAATTACACATACACATTGAACTAAAGACAAATAATTTCAATAATATTTTAAATATTCAAACCGATTTTAAAAATAATATATTATATCAATACATTTAAGATAATAAATAATAACCAAATAATTTATATTTCTTAACATATCTATGTATAATAATAACTAATTTTAAATAATCTCTCCTATTAAAATAAATTATTTCTATATTATATGTAAAACAACAATGTGTATAATATTTTTTCCTATAAATTCCTTCATTTAATTTTTATATTCATTTGCGGTTTTTGACATTTTGACTTTGATATACTTGATGAATTTTTAATTCAAAACCGTATAATACAATTATCATAATTCATTTATTTATTTCATTATTATGTATACATTTTATGTTTATATGTTTATTTGCTTTATTTATTTATGAGTATTAATCATTTTAATAATTTAATAATATTTTACTTTATTTTAGAAAAGGTGTACACCTAAAAATCGGAGTAAGTAGAAAAGTTACGAACAGATAAAGAAAAAAAAAAAGCTCCACTCAGGATCTAAAATTTGAGTTTAATGTAGTATTTTTTTATAAAGGAATTTTATTATCAATACTTTCATAAGATCTTTTTTTCGATTTTCTCAAGAGCTTTCCCAGCAAATGTGAAAAACCAAGAAAATCGGTACAATATTAAACAAATATTATTATTATTTCTTTTTAAGCATTTACTAGTATATATACAATCTGTAATGATATTTTCAATAAGCATATAAGCGTTCAGATATATTATAATGACACGAGAGAGTGAGGAAAGAAGCCACCCAGTCAGTAACATTCAGACAAATATTATTAAAGAAAATATATGATGCCTATTTAATTATTTTACCATAATATGACATACATATTGTTGACAAAGCATCACTATAAACTGAACTCTGTTTAGAATCGTTTTTCGTTAGCAATGGTTTATTGTTGTTTACAGGTATACATTAAATTACCTATAACAGTTGCTGCACCCGTTCCTATTATCCTAGGACGTCTTTTATCATTTTTGTACACTTATAATGAACTTCCTGTTAAATTGTCCAACATTTCTGTTAAGTCTAACAATTTTATCCACAGAGTAGGATTAAAATGTTCATAAATAGCTCAGAAATAATAACCCACTGTGTGAAGTATGTCCGTCTTTTTATCTGTGTGTAGAATGTATTGATTTTACAAAGATGTTTATTTTTTTCAATTTTGAGAATGTATAAATGCATATTTCAGTATTTTATATAACTTAAAAATATCAACATGGGTAACCCGTTTTAAACCAATATATTTTGTACTTAATAATTAATATAATATGTTTTTTTACAAATTTATTTATATCAGATTTTAGATTTTAGACCTAATATACACAGAAATTGACAATTTATCGTTTAAAATGTTTTATTAAATGTTAAATTGATGTTTTATTATTTTATACATTTTTAGTGTCCGATTCAAATATCTAAACCTACATAAATTAATGATGAATCGACACGGTTGTTCAACAGGTGTCGTACTGGTCAGTTTTCGCACCCACAGATTCCGATACAAGCCCGTGCATATCCCTGATCACTGTCATTACTCTGGAAGCAAACGCCTCTGCCTCGGTAGTGATGTGCCGTTGGACGGCACACGTCTCATAATTCTTCTTCCGGACAAGCATGTCCATCTTGTGGCCATCGAACTCGCAGCCCACCGAAGTGTATTGAGCTTGTCTGGTGGTATTCGCAACGACGGGAATGCCATCCGTCGCGCAACCGGTCGGCCGCCGTGCCGGTAAGCATTGATCGCACTGCCGGCGGCTCAATCGCGGCGATGGTGACGGCGGCTGTGGATTACAGCACTTTTTCACCATCACTGGCTGCTGTTTCTTCTGACAGCCGTTGTCTACAGCCTTACAGCGAGTCTGGGGCTGCGGCTGTGATGCCGGTTGACCGCCAGTGGCCAGTGGCACCGATGTTATCGGTGGTGATGTTTGCACCGTGTGTGCTCGGACCGGTGTTGCCGTCACTGACCCGGCGCACCAGGCCTGAACTAGAACCGTCATCACTGCTATGGTCCGGCCGTCCGCACAACTTATCATCGGCACGGTCAGGTCATCGTCTTCGATGCCACACAAATCGTTGGCCGGCCGTCGCTGGTTAGATGACCTAGTCGGTATCACGTCCAGTCTTCCGGTTGCTAGTTCCTCGCGGCCCGTTTCTTTGTCCATCATTCGGTACAGCCGGACGGTAATCGGTAGGGTTCTCGGACCGCACCCTTCGGTGCACATCGCGAACGTGTATGTTTTGCCCTGGTGAATCAGCGTTGGGGAAACCTCCACATCCGGCCTTGCACACGTGCTCGGAGGGATTTCGCACACCATTTGCTCGGGGAAATCGAGAAAACTGATACACACGGCCGTGGTGTCCTCCTTCGATTGGCATTGCGTGATGGATTTCACCACGAATTCCAACTGGTATAGCGGCATCTCTGAGGCGTTCGTCATTTTTACAAATTTGTTTTAGATTTATCCAAAAGTTAAAAACTTATATTTTAATCCTACATTTAATTTTAAAATTGTATACAATTGTAACCTACCTTTGTTTTGTATAATACGAGTATTTGCGTTACTATGCGACCGCGATACAAGTTTAACTGTGCGCGAATTATAATGATCTCAATACCCTACAGTCAGAGGCGGAGTTGGAACAAAATTCAGGCTGGGAGATGGAAATGTATCCAGGCTACTCAATAAAATACGTACCAAATGACATTTTCTCATTACGCTTGATTTCAGTATTTTAATTTGAACTCACAATACTGTATTTTCATAATGTATTATGTGTGTACAAAAACAAGTTTAGTTAAATAATTGTATTAGTACATTTATCTTTTAATACATAGTTAAACATAATTTCAAACTCTATTTTGTTATATATAAGATAATTTAACTTTAGTTGTAATAAGGTACCTTAGGAATAAAATCAGTTAAAATTAACGCGATTGACAAATACGACTTTTATTGAACCTCCAATTAAATTGTTAAGCATTTCTGTTTGGTCTAACAATTTTACCACAATAGCTATCGAATAAAAATTACGTACAAAACTCAAAAAACTAAAATTTCAACAAATAGCTAAAAAATGGCTAAACATTTTCGAAAATTTCACCACGTCAAGAAAAAGAAAATATAAGTTTTGTGTCCAAATTTGAAGTCCATAAAAACTATACAAATACTTTTAACTGAATAAAATTATTTTTGTAAATTTCCATTTTTTTTTTACGTTTTATTCCGATTATATATTATGAAAACCGTTTGGAAAATCAAAAAATGACCTCCTTAAAGTACTATCTAGACAATAATTTCTTTCAGATGGTGCCACACGTAGATATCCGAATAAGATTTCCGGTAGAATTTTTGTACATAATATAGAAAATTAAAAAAAAAAAATAAATGTAAATATCTTTGTAAAACCAGTACATTATTCACTACATTCAGAATCTAAAAAGTACATGGAAGTAATGGAAAGATTAGTTCTTTTTATTGTTACTGTTTTTTAAAATTAATTTTCTTTTTTTCTAATTATAATTAAAAATATATGATCTTTATGCTGACAATACATTTAGTGAAAAAATTAGGTAAACAATGAAAGTTTAAGTACATTGCTTAATTAAACGTGACACACAGTATTGAGAGGTCTCGTGTATGTCCTTTGACTAGACTTAGGAATAACATAGGTTAACAATTTGAAACCGACTGACACAAATTGAATTGAATGTATGAGTTTAATCTCGAACCCTGCTACTAGGATTTCTTGAGTGAGAGTGTACTGTCACCTGTCGATATTAGGATTTAGACTTAATTTGAGGTCCTAGTATCCCTGTGCTTTACAGCATTAGTCGTCGATTTTTTATATTCTATTATAAAATGAATAATAAATTTTAAAATTGTATTATATAAAGAATGATGCTTAGTAAAATGAGAAGATTCAAAAAATATCCTTCATCGATATTAAATTGGTAGGAAACTGCAATGTTTAAAGGGTCCAGGGTTGGCTAAAACAACCCACCCACAAACCCAAAAAAACCCAGTCTATTATTTTTAATTATAAATAATTATCTATGAAAATTGAAAATGTTTATCTTTATTGAAGATAAAAACAAAAACATATACTGGCAATTGGCAATTTGGGAATGATAGTTGTGTAATTAGTTACACAATTTTCAAGTAACTTTTTAATGTAACGAATAACAAATTATTTTATAACTTGTAACTTTAGATACACGCAACTTAGTTAAAAAAATCGTCTAGTATCATTATTTTGTATAATACTAATTAATATTATTTCAATTTGTAATAAGAGCGGAACAAAACGTGTCAAATCACTTATCACTTACTAGTTATGTTATTAATAATTATAATACTTATTACCAGCCACAAAATATATTGATAATAAACTAAATTGCTAACTATAGTTGATTTCACGAAAAGTGGCCCTCGACGGTGACGCGCCTAGTAGACTATTTGACGCAGGGGCTCTAAAACAAGCGCGAAACAAAGCGCGGCAAGTTTAAATTAATTACTTATTTGTATATTATCTTATAAATGATTATTTTTTACACCGTAATTTAAATGCAGTATTTTATAATACAAATTATGAACAATTCAGCTAATTTAGTATCACGATTTTTATTTGTTTGCAAATACTAATAATACAATTAATTAATATAAAAATATGAGAACCACTGGTTTGTAGAAATACCACTACAATGCACACCACCGTCGAGGGCCACCTTTCGTGAAAAGCACTATTGTATAAATTCACAAGCAGGTCGGTCGATGCCGCTTTTTCATCATATTGGTTGAAGACTATAGTATTTTATCAATTTTTATAACGTTGTAATTAACCACAGATTAATTTTATCATAATTTATGAACTCAGAAATATTTTAAATAATAATTAATGCAATTATTTATATATCATATTATATTTATTATTTATAATATCTGACAGTTGTACGAAATCATTGTTAGTGAAATGAATATTACATACCCTGTGATATGTTGGAATACAATTTTGTCTTATTATAGCAGCTATCCATTTTGCTTTAATTACATTATTATTTGGAAATCTATACAAAAAAGATTTGGTAAAATAATTATTACACTGCTGTAAAATTGTATGTATGACCATGGGTTTTATGGTTATCGAAATTTAAACCGTACAAACTTGTAATGTAAAAGTCCGGACTACATAAATCTTGAAAAATAATTTTCTACTAATCTGGTGTCACCAATTTCGAATACAAAAATCTGAATTTCTATATTATACAAATATATTCATATACATCTCAATTTTGCAAATTTTTATTATGCACATAATAATCACATCTAATAATTGTTTTTTTTAAAAAAACGTTATGGTAGCCGTTCTCTGACACTTTTAAGAACTTCTAAGAAAACAGGAAGTTAATGTTCCAAGCGTAATAATAAAATCTAATATCTTTTCTGGTCAAAATTAAAGTAGGGTTAATATGTTATTTTTCTTATAATTTTTAAAATAATGGTTTTTGGTTTCGGATCTATATATTTTTGGTCCAAAAATTGGTAACATTGGATTAATAGAAAATTATTTTCCAAGATTTGTACATTCCAGGTTTGTATGGTTCATAATTTGAAAACCGTAAAACCCTGGATTCAAGAATTGTACTTTCCATATTTGTATTTTCAAGAACTCTACGTTCCTGATTTGTACATTCAAGGTTTGTACATTCTAGATTTTTACAGGTACCCACTTGTAACCAATCACTCAGTATATATATAAAACTGTAACTTATAATCAGTTACCGAAAATTAAAATAACTTGTAGCTAGTATCCAGTTACACTATGTACTGTAACTTGCCCATCTCTGGTTACAAACAAAGTCCTTACAGATAATATAAAAATTTATTATGAACATAATTAAGATGTAAGATTAAAAATGTCAAATAACAGTTAACAAATTAATTTAACAAAATAAAAATAAAAGGAACTCATTATTAAACAAATATGTGATATTAAGAGGTTCAAAAATCACAAACTACCACTGAATACAGAAAAATAATATTTTGAAAAATACATGTTTTCACCCCGTTCCCATCAAGTTAAACGTTGTTTCCCAGTACCCAACTAAATCATTTTTTTTTTTTTTTTGAACGGTACATACCTACTTGTTTGTCTAAGACAACTGTCAACCAATATAATACATTTTTCTTTTATTCGTATCACCAAGGTAACTTATAAGGCTTAAATCAACAATGAAAATTAAATTTTCGTATTAACAGCGAAAGGGTGAATCGCCCTTTCAGGGTTGAATTTCAAAATTCCGGTTGCATTCCGTTCATCCGTTTCAGTAACATAATATGTGTCTACATATATAGGTATATTATTAGATAGATTTAGTTGTGCATCGAGCACAAATAAACATGCGCATATGCAAATATTTCCTTTAATTAAAATATACATAGGCAACAAATTTAATTTAGTTTCGTAAGTGAACGCATTGTCGTATTGTGCGTATGTCGTTTCCAAATCGAAGTAGGTCCGGACGTCAGGTCACTGACAACTACGTACAAAACGCTTTCTGTCCACCAAGGCATCAATACATCTTCCTGTGTACCTCAAATAATAGTAATACATAACCATATTATTTGTGCAATTTCAAATTTGTACGTATAGCGCAAGGTTTGTAGATAATAATATTATCAGCTATAGACCTTGCGAAGAGCGCACCGTAAATCCTAATTTATATTTGTTGCTGCTTTTTTCGTTTGGCGCGTCCGGTGATAACGCACATTATTGTTGTTATCCTCGGCCAATTACTCGACAAATGCATAAAACCGATGATATTATGATAATATACGATTTAGTGCTAAGCGTTTTTTATTTTATACTGATGCATATATATATTTTTTTTTTCTATATGTACATATTTATCTCATACTACGACTAAGAGATATGCGAGAGAGGCGCTAAGGATAAAAGGCAACGAACGGCGTGCTAAACGGAACACGTAAATATATGTATATATGCGGTGTGTATATGCGTGTGTGCTTTTTTTTATTATTATTGTCCAATTAAACAAACGTTGCCAATTAAAAACCGCCGCCGTTACCTCTGTTTTTGAACTCGTGTATCGAAGCTAAAATCTACCGTCGTCGTTAGGTTAGGTAAATTTCGTACTAATTTTTGGTGTTTTTCTTCTTGCGCCGTGATTTTCAGTGAAAAGCTTTAACAGAATAACACATTCGTCGTCCAAAGACACCAAACAACATTGTTTTCAACGTGCAATACCATAATTGCTGACGAGTGATTTCAGTTCAAACGGTAAGTATATACCTCTTCATCATTCATCCCGTTTATATGCATTAATGATCCCTGACCGATTATAAATCTAATTTGTTTATATTATGTTAATCATATGCATTAGGCAGTAAGTTTATGCAGCATACATAAGCCCCCAAGTCTATTATCAGTCCAATATTAAATTAGTTAATTAGATTATATTTTGAATTTGTATAGATTAATTTTAAATGTTTTGTACCTACTGGTATTTAACGATTAGACGTCACACTATTTATTCATTTAATAAATTATAATAGTACGTAAAATGTAATTTCTATGTTTATGACATTTTAAGTTTGGAAAATATCTTATACCATTCACACTATTATTCCTACTTGTTGTTCACATAATTATTTATGTTGATATTTAACTTATTATGGAATATCCGAATATCTAAAATGAAATATTAGTATAATTTTAATATTGTATAAATGTATTTGTCAAATAAGATTGATAAACATTTAATTTTGAAAAAATTCCAAATTTAAGTTAAATTTGTCCATTATTTAAAAGATTTCATTAAAGTCGAAATTTTTGGACTAGATACCTACTTAAATAATCAATCTAAAAATATAATATTATGTAGGTACATATTATTTGTTTAAAATTAAGTTTTTAGTACAACAAAAACTGCAGTAATGTAACTTATCATAGGTGCCTTTAATTTCAATTATGTAAAAAACACCACATCTAATTATAACAATCATTGATTTATTCTGTACCTAAATACACAAATGCAGTTCTAAAATAAGCATTTGACCTAAAAAGAACAATGCTTACATATTTATATAAATTATATTTTCATTTAAAAAATTACACTTGTTCTTTAGGCATTAAGCATTTAAACATTTTGTTTCGATAATTAAATTTGCCAAATATTGATTGTAATTTATACCTATCTACATATAAGTGAACTTTTTAAAATAATCAAAACCGACATAAAGAAGTATTTTCGTATCACGATTTACCAATTTTTAGGATATAGGATATTAAATGAAATAGATCTGCTTATTAGGAACATAAATGATTTATACATATGCTTTATTAAAAAAAAATACCTCTGAACAATCCAACTGTTATTTATATCAAATAAATACATTACTTAACCAATTACCAATTAGAAACAATCGTTAATTGAAATATTTCACTTTGGTTCAAAAGTATTTCTAATAAGTAGCTTCTAAAGTATTTGAATTATTATAAATTGATAACTAAACGTATTAAAAATACCCTCACATAATATCAGCAAAATAAATTGTAAATAATTGTTTTAAATTCTTTTTTTCTCTTTTTTTCAGATTTTGTTCTTGAGAGCCATGGATATATAAATATAACTAATAAACAGCAATATTATGATTTTACTTTTTATTTTATTTCAATCTATATCTGTGTTGTAAATTAAGTGAAATAATTTAAAATGGCTGCTCATTGTTTTGATCCAAATAATAAAACCAGGTATGTTAAAAATTCAATAATAAAATTAACAATAAATCATAAGACTGATTATCTCAGAAACTAATAACTTTTTTCGGAATTTGTTTTAAAGAAAATTTAAGAAACAAGCAGCTCTACAATTTCACATTTATGTAATTTTTTGTTATTCTTTTTTTTTGGAGTAAAATCACTACTTACTTTTGATTTTCAAAAAGCAACCTATTTTAAAAATTCCATAAATAAATAAAAATACTCTATCTAAAGTTAAAATACATTTTGGTGTAGAAATTTTTGATTTCTATCAATATTTTTACTTTTAAGTTTGGGTCGGGAAAGAGTAGTGAAGCATAATTTGTGTGGTGTTTCAATAATGTATCAATATTCTCCCTGACTCAAACTTGAAGGTGAAATATCTTATCAACGGATTGACAGAAATCAAAAATTTCATTAGCAAAATTTATTTTAACTTTAGATGGAGTATTTTCATTTATTTATAGAATTTTTAATACAGGTTGCCTTTTGAAAATTAAAAGTATAAGAGTGACAAAAAATAACATAAATGTAAAATTGTAGAGCTGTTTGCTTCTAAAATCTTCTATAACACAAATTACAAAAAAGTTAATATTTTCTGAGATAATGAGTGTCTTATGATAAATTGATCAATCTGTCTAGGAGCAAATTATTTTATTATTAGTTATGATTTTTAATTTTTTTCTATACATTTATATCACTTTTTCAGTTGGTATTTTGGCCAAATGTCACGTACTGAAGCTTCCGAGTTATTAATGGGTGAACGAGAATGTGGAACATTTTTAATTAGGGATAGCCTCAGTATTCAAGGAGACTATGTGTTATGTGTGAGGTATGCAGTTTCTTTCAGTTTATTAATTATTATCTGGAACATAATAGTGGAAAGGTCTATTTTGTATATAGTATTAGTAGATATTGTTAAATTTGTATATCCATTATGTATATCACATCATAGGTATATTAAATTTACTTTGTTATAATTAATGTAATAAATAATATTTAATGTTACAGAGAGGATAGTAAAGTTAGTCATTATATTATCAATAAAATACAAGAAAATAATGAAACAAAATATCGAATTGGTGATCAAGTTTTTACTGATTTACCTGGTTTATTAGCATTTTATAAATTGCATTATCTTGACACTACTCCACTTTTGAAACCTGCTGTGAAACCAATAGAAAAAGTTGTTGCCAAATATGACTTTGTTGGAAATGTAAGATTTTATTTTAAATATAAATTTAAAAAATTAATTTTGTTATATTATTAGGATCAAGATGATCTACCTTTTAGAAAAGGAGATATTCTGACAGTTCTAGTTAAAGATGAAGAACAGTGGTGGACAGCTAAGAATATAATGGGCCAAATGGGTTCTATTCCAGTTCCTTATGTTCAAAAGGTTTATTATTACATTATATTAAATACATCATACTAAACTTAAATTGTATTATTAAAACATTTTAAATGTATTTTTAGTATGATGGAAATCAATCATTACCCATAAAAGATAATAATCAAATTCCTGGATCTAATAATGAATCTACATTAAGAAGATCTAGCCTTCAAGTTAGTAAATTATATTATTGATATTATAGTTGCATGCTATATATTGTACCCTTATACAAATATTTAATCAAAGCTGGGCAAGTTCATGATTTTTTTCAACTAGGTTAAGTTAAATTTAAATTAAGTTAATTCAAAAACACTATCAATCAACCAAGTTAGAAGTTAACCAAAATGTATAATTAACTCAAGTTATATTAGTTAAATTTTTTTTTACATATTGTCTATTACAAACTATAATGGCCTAATAATCTACCTACAATCCCAATGGACAACAGTAAAAAAAAAAATTGGTTATTTTTAATAGATAAATTGTACATAACAATTTGTTTTTTAAAATATTCATAATATTATATTGTTAATACTTAATAAGAATATATTTATATATATGAGAAAATAAAAATTGAAATAAACTTGCTTGAATCTAAAATTAACTCCAGTTAATTAAAAGTTAATTCTTTTGTATTTCTCAAGTAAACAATTAAGTTAATATTTAAAAAAAACTAATTTAAAAAGTTAAATTAACTTAAACTTTAACTTATTAACTAGTTAATGCCCAGCTTTGTATATTTTTTATAGCTTTAATCCTAGTTGATTAAAGTTTGATTAAATAATACATACAAACTAATAAAATAATAAAGTAAAAACAAAATTATTATAATAGTTAATACCTGTAAATAAATATATAAATATAAAATGTATACATACAAATAAAATAAATAACTGAATCAATGATTTGCCGGGAGTATTATGATAAGAATTATAAATAATAATAATAAACAAATAATATGATAAGAACATTATTTTGAAAATAAAAATTCATTATCAGGTGTATCAGTCAAAATGTAAAATATGACTGAATATTAAACAAATTTTACAAATTGGTAATTTTACATAGAATATAGAAATAATTTATTATAATAGGACAGATTATTTAAAAATAGTTATTATTAGACAGATATATTAAGAAATTATTTGTTGTCATCATTCATTATCTAAAATTTATTGATATAAGATATTATTATGTCTAACAAATTTGCTATAATTTTGTACACTAATACAAATAATGTAAAAATAATAATTTAATCAAACATGTAAACAATAATACTAAAAACTTCACAAAAAATCCCTCTTCTTTTGAAAATACTGGTATACATAAACTTAAATGTTACTGTAATAAATTTTATGTAGGTAAGACAAATAGAAATTTTAAAATTAGAGACTTAGAAATATTAAATACCCAAAATAATATTTACATNTTATATTTCTTAACATATCTATGTATAATAATAACTAATTTTAAATAATCTCTCCTATTAAAATAAATTATTTCTATATTATATGTAAAACAACAATGTGTATAATATTTTTTCCTATAAATTCCTTCATTTAATTTTTATATTCATTTGCGGTTTTTGACATTTTGACTTTGATATACTTGATGAATTTTTAATTCAAAACCGTATAATACAATTACCATAATTCATTTATTTATTTCATTATTATGTATACATTTTATATTTATATATTTATTTACTTTAAATAAAAAGTATCATGTACAGAAAACATACATATTATAGTATTATAAAAGTAATTGTGCTAGGTTTTTCAATCTTCTTTTACTTAACCCTGACAAAAATATTCTAATGTATTAACCATCATTTAAATCTTTTTAGGTAAAATTTAAATATTGTTTAAATCATTTTAATTCAAATTCTAACTATATTAATTTTCTAACAATAATATTTTTCTTACATTTTGTAGCATATTTCTTTAGTTTTAAAGTGCTCAATAAATTGAACACATCTATCAATAGGCAACTGAATTGTATTAAAAAATATTAATTTAAATAGTATTCTCAGGATTTAAATAATTCTGAGTTATAAAATATCTTAATTGTTTTTCAAAAAAATATACAAAGGATGGAATTTGGTTTTTTCCATAAATTAAAAAAGGAAATAATATTTATTTTATATTTTTACCCTATCTTGGAAATTTAAAACAATACTATATTTGTTTTTTGATTGCTATAATTTTTTATTGCTTTTGGTGTTTAAGAATATGCTACACTATATGCTCAAAATCTATATGGTCTGTTGTTTTTCTCTTAAATACAATTTTATATTTTTTCAAATACTTAAATATACCAAAAATAAATGTAATTGGTAAATATATATTAAAAACATTTGTGTTTTGTAAGTGAATAGCATATTGGTTGTAATGTTAAAAATAATTAATTGATTTAGTTTAATGTATCATGATTTAGTAATATATTTATTAACAATTCATTTTATATTTTTAATTTTAATTAACATAAATAAATAATTAAATTTATGCCACTCATAATTTGATTTATACATTATTTCTTTTTTTTTCAGTTTAATGATCCTTGGAGTACCTTAGCTGCTACAAGCAATTCTATCCATCTTTCCTTTAAATGTTATCATCATTACATCCACTGTCTGAATATCTTTTTCGACAGAATCTCAAATTTTATTAATGCTCTAACATTTAATACAATGATTTATTTTATTTTTGTTGACAGAAAAAATTACCAGCTTTAGCTAGAGTTAAACAGGTCCGCGTACCTAATGCATATGACAAGACAGCATTAAAACTTGAAATTGGCGATATTATCAAAGTAACAAAAACTAATATTAATGGCCAATGGGAAGGGGAATTAAATGGCAAAACTGGACATTTTCCATTTACTCATGTGGAATTTGTGGATTCTGAAATGAATGATTGTATAAATGACAGTTAATTTCAAACATTTTGAGTTGTATCTTAGTTATTTTTTATTATTATTTTTTTTTTAAAATTATTTTCATTATTGGTAGCTAACTAGATATTAATACAAATATATTTTATTATAATGATAATGATCAATTGTATACCCATTATATCAGAGTTTTACCTACTTAATAACAATAAATCAAAATAAGTATACATATACATGATGATGGGTATATTTATAATTAATTAAAGTATAAATGAATTTATGAGATATAACTTGCATAGTTATATAGTATTCACAATTATAATATTTTATATCTTTTTTTTAATAAAGCAACATTAACAAGATGTGGTTATAACTTCTAATATATTTAATCTATATTATTAAAATTAATTAAAAAACTAGTTAAGACATACATCAATAACATTAGTCATAAACATATGTTTATTTACATCTATTACTTGTCATATTTGTTTTACCTCTATGTTTGACATAAAACAAACTTAGTAAATTCTAGTAAAATGATTTAAAGAAAACTTTCAATATGTTAAGCCATAGATTATAATAGTATTTATTCTAATCAAATATGCACTGGGGACTTTTTGTAAAATAGTACACATATTTCACATAATTTTCGAAAAAAAAACATGTACTTGATCATTGTTTATGCCTTTATTCTGCAAGTGTGCAGTAATATATGAAGTATATTGTGAGAAGTTTTGTGGAATAGTTCTGTCAAGAAAGTATCCCTATATACCTGTTACCTTTAACATAGGTAGAATGTTTACCAATTGTTGATAAATTAAATAAAATAGATAGCATTTTAAAACCATTTTAAACAAACTATTATTTATAGTTTTAAATATTTTTTAATGTTCCTACACCATATGTGTTATGATACCACTATCCTTTATCATGGTGTGTACTATGTATGTTGGAACCCAAGACACCAAGTTGTACTAACATACTTTTTTATCACAGATATTTTGTGATTTTGTTTTTTTTATTATTTTGTGGACAACTTTTCTACCAGGAATTTTGCTCTAATTTACAATAATCTCGTGATTTTTAAATGAAAATCTGACTGGGAACAAATAGGAAAATGAGTACAAAATATTACTATTTAATACATAAATACTTAAAAACTATTGGAATATAATCACTTCCAGTGGCATAGTCGAGAAGGGGGGGATTTGGGTGTTTAAATCCCACCCATCCCCATTGTTTTTTTTCCATGTTTTAACTAAATAAATGTATTCATATTATTGTATACTTTGTTATTTTTACTGTAAAACTTGTGAAATTTTTTTCCATACTTATGAAGATTAGAGATATCTCTAATCTTCTTGGTCATAATATTAGAAAATGCATTATAAGCAAAGTTTAAGATACACTTGAATCATATATCTTAAATAAATCTTAAATAACAAATAACAGGATTAAATAAATTATGTTAAATATGTTTATATTGAGCACATTATCATTAGTAAATAACTTGAATAAAAAACTTCTAAAACTTGTCCAGACACTAAATAATTATTATAACAATTATTATTATATTGTATAAAAATTATTTAAATAATTTATCACAATTTTTTAACAAACCATGGATTGTGGTTTATGACTATTTTAACAAGTGACAACTAATTACAATATCAATCATTAATTTGTTTATATTCGTAAATGTGACTATTTTTGGGAAATAATAATATAGCCAGAAGACGCTTTGAAACAATTAGAAGTGAAACATGAAAAATATGTTTGTTGTAAATTACAGTAAAATATTTTAAGACTCATAATGTAGTATATGTATGCTTATCAATTGATTAATTTTATTTTTTCTATTTACAAAACTAAACCTGGTTCTTGAATGTCTAAATAAGAGTATCATACCTAAACATTGACCTAAAAACATTAAAAAAGCTATCCTATAATAATGGGGACAGTTGCAGCCAGTGAGAAGTAAGGAAGTAACAGGGAAATTTAATGTATATCTGTAAGGAATGATTAACCATTGCTAACAAAAATCGATTCTGAGCGGAGTTTAGTTTATAATGTTGCTTTGTAAACAATACATATGCCATATTAAAGTAAAATAATAACATAGGCAATATATATTCTCTTTAATAATATTTGTTTAATATTGTATTTATTTTCCCGTTTTTTTTTCAAATTTTTAAAATAAAAAAAAGATCTGATACTGGGGATGGGAGCGGCTACTGTTTTAGGTAAGAAGTTGAGAAGCTAGAATACATAATATTATTTCATTTATTTTGAACATTTTACCACATCTAGGTAAATCTAATATAAGTATTATTACCAAATTTCAAGTCTATGTGTATTTTTAACCATATTATAGCAAGAAAACTCCCAAAAATTAAAATTCCTTAAAAGCTCAAAAGTATTGGCGATGATACTGTAAGAAAGTAAATCAAAAAGGCAACAAAAAAGATGTTTTGTGATTTTTCGATAAAATCATTTTTTCTGGGAGGAAACGTCTTCCCTTTTTTATAAAATAATGACATTGTGAAACTATACGTTTTCCCACTTAAGTGCTTTTATTTAAAAAATGGCGTCGAAAATCAAATAAAACCATTTTAAAGTATCATCTAGACAACTTGAACTTTCAGAAAAGTTGCTACACGTAAACTTTGCTCCACATTAATTTATAAAAATACTGACGTTTTCTAACAGAAAAAATGATTTAATCGAAAACACAAGACACCTTTTTTGTTATCTTTTTCATGTACTTTCTAACGGTATTATCGCCAAAACTTTTAAATCACTTTTGAACTTTTGGATTTTCGAATTAGTTTTCACAATAATCGGGAAAAAACGTAGGAAGGTAAGGTTCAAAAATTACGGCACTTCAAATTATATATTACTGTATTGCGCTCGGAATCGTCTTTCGTCACCAATGGTTTATCGTTGCTTACAGATATAAATTAAATAAACTTATGCATCCCATTTTCCCCAATATCCACCTTCAACAGTGGCAACTCATCCCCAGTATCAGCTGTTATAAACTTAAATACCTTGCAATCTGGACACACAACGTTCATTGGTCCAATAGCAATGATTTGCTATGAACTGAGTTAGTTATCCTATCGTTCCAACCATACAATAAACAAAAATATATTATATATTATTTTTGGCTGAACAGATGGCGCTATTGTTATCTCATCACCGCCACACATTCTTCTCAGAACTATAACTTTATAGGATTAAATTTATGTCTAAGAACATGTTCTGCGATACCCTCTTTAATTTAAAATAAAGATGAATGAAATCGGTAAATAAGTTTTCAAGTGATGCTGTGACAAAGGAGTAGAGTCCATTTATATACAGAGATATCCATTAATATATTAAAATATATTTATAATTATGCATTTGTATATAATTTAGTTTTGAAAATTCAAATATCTAATTATTTAGGGTTAAAATAAATCTAATTTTATTTTACCTAATTTTTTAATAAGTAATCAAAACCGAAAAAAAGACGGGAAAATTTATGAAAATAATTATTTTATTATTTTCAATTTTATTTTTTTGTTGTAGTACAAATATTAGTAGAGTCTTAAAAATTTAACAAAATTATATAATATAACTATTTATATTTTTCTAGATGTTCTAAAATGTTCAAAACATTTGAGTTTAAACAGAAATATTTTAAAGTTCAATAGGAGGTTCATTATAAGTTCTACTAAGTGGTCAAAACAAAAAAAGTTGAATGTAATGAAGTATTTTTTTTTTTTTTTTTGAAAATAATTTTAAAATTAAATATTGACGAAAATCATAAATATTACAGCCTTTTAAAACATGTAAAACCGAAGTTTGCTCGAATCATTTTTTTTGTTAGCAATGGTTTATCGTTGCTTACAGGTGTAAATTTATGTATGACACATCTTCTTGAACTACTTTGACATTTTTGTCATTGTCTGGTTGATCATTATTAGGAATTAGTAATGTTCTACAGGGAATGTCTTTAAAACCATTTCCTCACTTTCCCATTTTTTCTTAAAATTAAATTATTGTATAAAATATTAAATTGAACTATTTTAGAAGACATATAAAACATTATTAGTCGAATAGTCTTATTCCGATATTGAACAACCGACTATTATCAATTTGTTTTTGTCTGTCGAATAACTCTGATAATCTTATGCAGTCTTTCTAAAAGTGGGGTATAGCATCTCCCTATGGGCGTTGAAGCAAACTAGAAGAGTGATACTGATTAAAAAGTATTGTATATAGTTTTAAACTTCAAACTAAAATTAAATACCTATACTAAATGTCTACATAATTAATTTTACGTCTTTCATAGCCTGCATGTTGGAATATAAGTAAAGGTAAGTGATATTTTAAACAAGGAAATACTAGACTAGGTTTTCGATCCATTTTTAAATGATAATAATTATAACAGAACTATCACGGAATAATAATTTTTAGAACTGATAACAAACGAAGAAATCAAATTTAAATTCAAGAACTGCTATGAAGAATTTTGACTGCAAAAGCCAATCCTGCAACTGACCCTGATGGCCGATTGTTCAATGATTTCTGATACTATTTTCATCATATTTCTTTGAATGTGAATTTAGTGCTGATATTTTAACTAAAAAGAGAAATCGATTGGGTGTTACCTCCGACTTATGGCAGTTATTAAATAAATTTAAGTCTGGTATTAACAAAATATTGTTAAAGAGCATCAAGTTCATCTTTCACAATAGATAAGTTTTAATAAAAATAATTTTAAATATGAACAAGTTTGCATTTTAATTATAATTTGATTGCTTTCATTCAAAATATAAATTTGAACTTATTTTTGTAATAATTTAAGATATGGCATATTTAAACATAACTTTGAAATATCTGCTGTTTTTAAGATATACTACAGATGATAAGATCTTGCTTAGATGCTTAGAAAATTTTGAGAGGCTCTGGAAAAACTATTCTCAAAGTAGGTGGTGGATGAAATAAGTTTGAGAACCTGTGCTTTAAACTCATATTACGACTGATCAGTAGAGGATTTTTAATATTTTTCTGAGAGGGACCCTGAAAAATCATATGTATTTAAAAGATATCTCTATTAATACATGCTTCTTTTTTGTATGATATTTAATAAAATTAAATCAGTGTTTGAGGGGAGGTCCAGATCAGATTCATTACTAATTGTGGGATTATTACTTTTTTGATCAAATTTTACAATTCTTGGCTTATACCCTCAATCAGCACAATGGATTGCAAACTGCTGTTGTAAGTTATAAATTATCCTATATATATTCTACTTTTTTAACTTCCTGCCTACAACATTAGCCCACCCACAGTACAAAGTTTTCATAATTGGTAAGTACTAGGTATTTAGTTTTTAAGACTTATTATTATAGTATTTTAATTTTAGAAATACTTAAGAAACAAAAATAGGCAGATATATGAAGCAAGTATTATTTTATGAATATTAATTCTATACACGTACATATTATTAATTTAGCTGTCACTATCAACAAAGCTTCAATCAAAATCTCTTTTTGTTTGCAACAATTTATCATTAGTATCAGTATTTTTATTGAATAACCTTATATCCTATATCTTCTCAACTTTCTACTTACAATAGTGGATAGAACCCAACACCACCCAGTGAAAAGCCGTTTTCATTTAATTTCAAGACACCCTATAAATAACTGAATTAATTTACAACACATATTATAATGTTGGATTTAATGCTGCTGTTCATAACCAAATAAATACATCTATATCTATATTTATTTATACTAAATAACTCAACTTTATTTTATTATTTTTGTTATAATTTCATATACAATATCTACTTACGTGCTTTATTCATTATGGACTATCATTATATTATATAATTAGATATTCATAATTATTGATAAATGTCAACATAATTATTAAAATAGATACAGTTATTACAATTTTATTTGTCGAGCACAAAATTAACTAAAAAGGTAGGTTTTGTGATAAATAACATGTATTGTTAAATAAAGATATATAATAAATATATTATTGAATTAATAATAATTATTTGTATTTAGTGCATTTAATAAATAAAATAAAATATACATTAATTAATTGGTCAATAAGTTTCAATTTAGGCTGTTACTTTGTATCATCATTTATTTTTATACATAAACATTTTAACTTTAATATAAATTTATATATTGCTATTATATAATAATTGGAATTTGTTGAATATTTGTAAATACCCTAGTTCAAATAAAATAATTTATCAAAGAAACAAAACAATAATAATAATAATAATAATAATAATAATAATAATAATAATAGAAAATAAACAAAATAATAATTTAAATGATAAAAATATGATTTTGTAATGATAAAATACAATAATTGTTTTATATTCTTCCACCATTTACACAAACCTTATTACTTAACTGCAGCTAAAATTAAAACATTTACATAGTAAATTACATAACTGTTTGGATAAAATGAATAACAATAATTTTTTTAGATACCATTATACAAATACCTATGTATATATATAATATACTTAATAGTTTAATATTTTACTGGATTACAATATATAATATAAAATGTGATTAAATATTAGTAACACAGAATACATACAAAGTATTTAATTCTAGAAATAAAATTGTATTAAAAGCTGTATGTATAATAAATAATTATGTTGTAGTATTAACCATATTTTTAACTATTTCTTGAAAAAATTTTAAGTTGAAATATACATTTTAGGATTTTATTTTCTAATTTAGAATTTTTTTCTATTTCTACTTAACTTACAATATGGTAAAATATTATATTTTATTAGGTACATATTTATTTAACTGAAGATACAAAATTTATTTGATAAAAAAAAAAAAAAAAAAAAAAAAAAAAAAAAAAAAAACCAAAAAAATAAAAAAAAAAATAGGCAATCTCCTCAAGTCGTCTTGTGTATATATATATAAATATATAAAAAACAAAAATACAATTCTATCGCTGGTTAGGATTTTAGATTCTACGTCCCACGCGCACGCGTTTAGACGGTGTCCCGTGATAACGGCAGCGGAAGAAGACCAGAAGAAAATACGGCCGAACGGAAGAATGGACGGTTAAAAAAATGCAAAATTTTTTTAAAAAAAAAAAAAAAAAAAAAAAAAAAACTAAGAAAGAACCAAATAAATTAAATAAAAAGTACACTATAGTGTTACTGGACATCATCCATCAATATATTGACATTTTTATGATAATGCACATAAAAGCATAATGGAAATAAAACAAAATGTTTTGTATATGTATTAAAGATAATATATTGATACATATATTAAATGCAAATTGATAAATATAACTCTGAGGTTTAATAATTGTACAAAGCTATATAGTTTAAAAGATAATTAAACGTCAATAATCCAATTGAGAACTGACTTGGTTTACTGTATCACTTACAACAGCTGCTTAGACTCTTATTCCCTGCTTCAGATTCAACAAGACGCCGCCCTTGTTGCGCTGCATTTGTCGTTTCATTCTTAGGAAGTTTTTCAGCTATATTTATTAATAAAGAAAAACAAAAAATTCAATTTTTAAATTATTATGTTTTTTTAGTTCTTACCAATTGCTTTAAAAATTTCTGTCACATTTGCACTAGTTTTTGCTGATGTTTCCATAAATAATAGACCATTTTCATAGGCATACGTCTGTGATTCATCAGTCTGAACACTTCTCATATTATTTAAATCTAACTTATTTCCAGCTAATGCTATAACAATCCCAGGGGTTGCTTGTCTTTGTAGTTCCTTCACCCAATTTTTAGCTCTTTCAAATGTATCCTTTTAAAAGAAAACCCGAATTCATTAATAGTCTTAACATAAATATAGTTATATATAATACAAAAACAAACTATTACTTGATTAGTAATATCATAGACAACGATAGCTGCTTGAGCGCCTCTATAATACATTGGCGCTAAACTATGGTAACGTTCTTGTCCTGCAGTATCCCAAATTTCAAATTTTACAGCTACATCATTTAAATGAATAGTTTGGGTAAGGAATGCAGCTAAAAATAAAAATAATTGAGAATCAAATAGTTTAATAACTTTCAACAATATAAAACACATACCACCAATAGTACTCTCTTGATATTCATGAAATTGACCTTTTACAAATCGAAGAACTAAGCTAGATTTCCCAACTGATGATTCACCTAATAAAACTAGCTTAAATTGACATATTTTTCCTGGAGTCTGACCATTAGGTCTCTGTGGGACAGCTCTGTTAGCCATTATAAATTGGTTATTAACTGAAAATAGAATTATAAAATAGTTTTTTCTTTCTATTGTAACCATTCAATTTTTTCACAATCTTATTTATTTATATAATGATAACTGGGTTTTAATCCAAAAACAATAACAAGAAATACATTTTTTTCATAAATAATAAATAACTAGGTATTACGCTAAATGTATTCATTATATAGGTACATAAAATTAATAAGACAATTAAAAATTAATATTTTAATACTTAATAAAATTCTTAAGAAATGAAATCACAAGAAAAATATGCTTTAATATATCTCAAACTGCTATATTTGAATTATTATCATAAAAAAATCCCCAATTTTCTCACAATATTATGTTTAAATTGTGACTGCAGAATTGGTCAACAATTATATTCTGAGTTCCCAATAATACCTAGTCTTATCCCATACCTTATTATAGCTACAACCCAGTTGTACCCATACAAATAGTACAAATTTTCTTATACGAAATAAGTCCTAGTTGCATCCGCAATAATAGTTATATTCCCCAGTATTGTTGATACATTAAGAAGCCACCATAGTAAAAAATAATGTGTTCACGTAAAACTAACTAAAATATCCTTAAATTGGTTGGTATATAATTTATATAATTAATAAATGACTACATTTTGAAAACTATGTTATTTTGTAGTAACTTATAAAATACTAATTATTTAAAAAGTTACAAATCATACAAACAATATAATAAAAAAATGTAAAACACAAATTCTTGTATCTACAATAATGAGTTGAAAATTTGGAGAATTGTAAAATGTTGTCTACAAATTGTTATTATCTAAAAATTATATAATACGTGTTTTATAATTTTCATTTTAAAGATCTTTCATGTTTTATATGCGAACACTTTATTTGATATATTAAAAAGTGAGGTCTTTACCACAAAAAGTAATCCTTAACAGTAAATTACCTACTTATATGCATTCAAAATTCGCCATACACAAATATATGATAGACATTAAGGAAATAAAATTGAATATATTTTATCCATAAAAATATGAATTTCATCTGCTAACAAATAATATATATCAATGGATTGAATTATTATGACAACTTGCCAAAACAATACCAACATATTAAAATAATATGTTTCTTATTATAAAGTACCTACTTGATTTTTTTTTTTTTTATAGTTAATAATTATATAAAATAATACTATACTACATATAAATAATTTATGATGAAATTAAGATATATATATATATATAAAAAACATTAAAATCTTTTTTTTTCTTAATGAATTATATTTAAGTATGATACCATAAATATATAAATAATTAAGTACAGTAAATTTATTAATATTTATATGATAGGTACAAAGTAATATAATACCTAGTTAATATCAAACCTATCAAATGTTGGTATAATATATCCATAATATAATACATGAAAATACATGCCTCATATTATTTTAACCATACCATTAATACAAATGATTAGGCAGTAATAGTCTGAAATAGTGGTAAAAATAATATAATCAAATATATTACATTTTTTAATTATTATCAGGAGAAGTGGTGATCAAATGATTTAATCATAAGGGGGATAGATGAATCTAATTTTTTAACATTATATATAAATAAATAGGTAATTTAGTATTATAAATTATAAATATTTAAAAGGAACTGGTCATATAAGAATATGACTAATATAAAAATTTTACTCTTATACATACTGCACTCTATATAGTAAAAGGGCTAGTCCCGTTGAATTATTATAAATAGATATATATATCCCCTTTTCATTGTACCACCCATGTTAGAAAAACAAAATTTAGATCTGATATTGAAAACTACTTCATGTGAAACAATATAAATATAATATAACAATCATCCCAAAATTTAATATAGTGTAATTTACATAATCCCACATAACAATTTGTTGTTGATGTAAAAAAACCTGCTAAGTCAGTGGTTTTCAACTTTCTGGGGTCCACGGCTCTTTTGATTTTAAAAACTAAATTAGCGGCTCCATTACTAATAATGATAATAATAAAAATAAAAATAAACAAATTTACTGTGTTACTGTACTATATTTTATTAATAGACGAGGCTCACTTAATAATAAACCTGGGACCCACGGTTGAAAACTGTGCTATGTGATAAAACCTAATTTTACAGGTGATATGAAAAACGTTTTAAAAAAATCGAAAATTGTAAAACCATAAAAATATTACTTGTGATTTCACCAAAAACTTCTTTATGTTATTACACACCAAATGAAAAACAAAAAGTTCAAACAATCAATTTTGAGTTACTTTAATATGCAAATGATTGAAATAACATTATAATTATGTTTTTCATGGTTTATTAACAATAACATAAAAAGTAAGTAGGATAGGTGAATTCTGATTTCACCAAAATTTAAGCATATATTTCCAATTCCAATTTTGATTCCTGCCATTTCTAAAAAAAATTACATTGTTGGAATTTTTTTGAAAAATTTAGTATTTTAAAGATTTTTAACCATAACTTACAGATGAAGTTTGGGTAACTTTTTTAAAGAACCATCAAATTAATTAAGCATGCAAAAACATACGTTTTGGAAAAAAATTGCTTGGGAGCTAAACTGCATTTGTTCCTTGTTTTTTGCTTTTCATTAATTATTTCATGAAGATAGCACATAGGACATATTATCACAAGATAGCTTATTTTTTTTTAATTCAGGGATACCAAAACCTCAAAATTGGAAATTGTGCATGTACTTTTTTTTTTGTCAACAACGATTTGTCAAAATGTTGTTTGAACATTCTATTCAATATTCCAAAAATAATTATAATGAAAAAAAAAATCTTAAAGTAGAACAAATGTCTAGTAGGACATTTTGTTACCACAAGGGACTATTTGTTACTTTTAAAAAAATAATAGAGGAACAAAAAATTCTAAAGTGAAGGAAAAAATAGAAAATATATTTAAGTTATTTTTTTGATTGTTATAAAAATTGCTTAGATTTTTTAGCTTGATAAGTTTAATTTTTCTCAAAACTGTAGTGTACTATAAATTTGAATTTTAAATTATTGATTGGTAAAATGTAAGAGAGGGCCCCAAAATATCCCATTACTTTGAGCTCCCAAATATACATCTTACCTGCACCAATAGTGAGGTTTATGAAGTTTAAACCCAGCCTCCCTCCATAACTGACTACTCAGAGTTTAAATTCATAATATGATGTAATTTTTTAGTCAAAATAAAAAATGTTAATGAACCTCTTACTTACCACCAATAGTATACTCCTAAGCAAGCCTAGGGTACTAGATTGTTTGTTTTTCATTATTATTTTTTTTGAAAGGTCCTCTTTTATTTTTGTACAAATATTAAAAAAGATCAAAACTTTCCATTAGAAACAAAATGTCCCAAATAGGAATAGATTGACCCCGTGGATCAACATACTCTTGGAACCAAATGACATAGTACAATCAAAATACATTCAATAGAAGGCCTTTTTAATCCATTATTCAAGCCAAAATAATTTATACCTTATACTTATTATTCATTATATAATATAATTGAATTTGAATAAGAAAAAAAAATGTAAAACTTATTTCTATGCATATTATTTTAATTGCAAGTAGAGATATTAAAAATGAGCACGATTTTCATAATAAATATTAAACGAGATATTAATACATTATAGATTCTAAACTAAGTGAGTCTTTTTAAAATTCAAATAATGTACAGTATTTGTTTTTCTAGTATTAATTTGTATTTAGACAATATGAATCCTTCAAAGGTTTAATTTTACAAATCTCTCTCATAGATTTAAATTTTTGAAAACAATTTATTCATAATCAATTGTTTGTTTACCAAATATATATTTTATCAATCTAGATTTTAAGTAGGTATGCTTTGAAAACCTTAATAATCATACCTTATGAGTAGTATGACTATTAATATTATTTATATTTTGTTAGTTTTGAAATATTAGGTAACATTTTTTGGTTAAAATTAAAATATTAGAAAAACTGAGATTATGGCATCTCAGTTTAAAATGTTTTCTTTAAATTTGTTTATACAATTATAATGAAAACTTTATTATGAAGGATATAGAGAATACGGTTATTGTTATAACTGTTAGGTATAAAATATTATCTGAAATAAAAAAAATATTACTTAATAATTTTGTTAACTAGTTCAGTGGATAATCTAGGTAGGTATTAGTCAAATAATATATATTTGGATAGTAAATTATTTTAAACGAATACTTTTATGAGGTGGAATATGATATAGGCTATATCAATTTAGATCACTTTAAGTTTTAGTTATCTTAATAGATAAACTAAATTTGAAATACCTAACTCCTTTTCCTAAATTATGTAATTATGGTATGTATTTATAGGTATGTTAAGATAAGATAATTATATTTAATCTTCATCAAGATATTCAACAATATGCAATAGTTTAAGTAGAACGTTAATTGATGTTGCATAAAATACAAGATATTTTGCATGTATGACAACTCAAAATATATTTAATTTAAAAAATAGGTTAATAAATATTATTATTATTGACTGTTATCAGTTAATAATCTTCAATATTGTTAATTTTTTAAAAATAATTATGATAATAATACTCTTATCTAATAATAGGAGTAAGAACCTACTGAGTATTTTTTTTTATTTTTATTTTTATTATTCATATAATAATGGTAGGTCAGTAACTAGATCTTAAAAATAATATAAATTTAAAATCTCTATAATAATAAAAATACCAAATACTTATTGTAGTATATTGGTACTAACAAACCAAGTAAAAATATTAAAATTAAAATATAAATGTTTACACCTAAATACTCAGCAATTTGCCCTAGTTTAATAATTTGTTTTTGTAAAAATATTATTTAAAAAATTATAAGAATGCAACTGTACCCAACTATAATATTACCAAATGTTGTTGAAAAGTTGTAATTTATAGTTAATTCATTTTTATTTCTGAAATATTGATTTTTTTTTTTATCAACATTCATAGGTAGGTATATGAAAACTAAAAAAAAACTAAAAAACTAAAAAAAAAAAAACGAACATCCGCTAAAATATTTACCACTGAAAATTACTTATAACACTCCACTATTAAACAACATTTGTTCAATTTAAATAAATACTGCAATGAGTACGCCTGAAACATATTTTTATTGAGCAAATAATTTAATTGAATAGACTTGCTTGAATGACCCTCACATATTATATTATTAACTGACAGATAACAATATTGTAGTGTTGTTGATGGTTAAACCGACCTTGTTGTCAATGCTGTTAATTATCAGCGATGTGAACATCTCCCCAGAGAAATGAGTTATAAATATTGTAGAAATAGAAAAATTGGGTGTATAAATTGTGCGACTACTGATAAGATATAAATGTTAAATAAAAAAAAGCCGATTTTGATGGCCTAAAATAAAGATTATAAAAAAAATGAATTTACCTATACATAGCTAGGTGGGTATTTAAGAAAACTTACATATTTCGTGTGGGAAATAACAAAACGCAAAATTGATATACCTATGACAAGAAACCTTTTTTTGCAGATCGTTAAGGTAGGTAACGAACTTAGGTGTCTAAAATGACTCGAAACGCAAGACCTCCTATTATTATTGGGATGAGTCGTTTAATGGGTGGACTAGTATGCGATATATTTTCATCGTTAGCAAGAATTTTACTTACTTGATTTTGGTGTTTTCAATTACGATGTCTGTTCGCCGCGGTCCGTGATTGTAAACGTAATATCGTTGCGAAACGTAACTGTAATGTACCTATAGGGAATTCTCTTGCGAAATTAACGTAGTAAAAAAATTAAAAAAATTGACTAAAAGAAACGAAAAAATCGGATATTCTAAATGACGTACGAAAAATTAATTGTAATAAAATAATAGCAAGTAATAAAAATAATAATAATAATAATAATAATAATAACAAAATAATTTACATTTATGATATTATAATTCAGGTATAATATTATGACTCTCTCTTTGTCACTCACTCTCTAATCACTAGCCAAATAATATATGTATTATTATGTGTGTGTGTGTGTGTGGTGTGTGGTGATACGTAAAGAGCGGAATACTGTCGCGCAGTGTTTAACTTTGTGAAAATTCTTTGAATGTTTTACGTCGATTGATTATCACATAATTAACGGTGACGGTGGTGGTGGTTGGCGTAGTGGTAGACTGGCGGCGGGTGTCGGCAACAAAGTACAACAACAACGGCGGATACGAAACGGGAGAGTCGTACTAAATTGGATAATAATATCGTCATACGCCGAATAAATTCGAGATAAAGAGCGCTGAATGCTCGACTACCGACTGGTACTGACGTGCATCCGCTAGACGTCGTCGGCCCCGTGTGCCTGCGAGTTTTATTTAATTTTTTAATTTTTTTATTTTGTTCATCTATTGATAATGATAATAAATTATATATATATATATATATACACGGGAATAATATCATATTATTAAAAGGCATGTGTCATCGACGGTGATAATATTATACGCAATCACTGTTCGTTAAAATGAAAAAAAAAGTAGGAACCAGGCTCTCTGGGCGGAGGAGAAAGGGACGGAGGACGTCCTTGAACGGGTAGGTACCTACCTACGTACCACTGTACCTACTGCTGCGATCATTATTATATTATAGTCTACCTACCTACCTACCTATACCTACCTACCGCGATAATCAATTGACAATGAAATATTAATTCGATACCTATTTTACGAATATTTTCTTTCCGAAATTATTATTGCTTATATTGAATATGATATTAATTTAAATAAAAATGAAATATCTTCAGGAAAAACCGTCGTGGTTTTCGATTATCTACACGATCGGTGGGAAATTTCGCACCGCGAACGTTTCGTTACACTCGACTGTGGAAACGAAACGGGGCGTTTTCGCTCGGTGACCCGTACGTCCGTCTGTCTCGTCTGGTAATAAAGTGACAATGGAGGTCGTTTCGCGCAGTCGCGTCTGCGCACCGTTACCGTGATAAAATTGACTGCGATGGTAAAATATTTACTTACCTAAATACTTAAATCATACGAGTCGGTATTACTCAAAAACCACTGGATATAAACGACAGTTTTTACGGGTACCTGGCAAATAATATTATTGCAGGTTCATTGATGATAACGTCTAATAGAGCAACTGTGAATATTAAAAGCAATGAAAAACTCGGAAACAAAAAAATTGTTAAAACCACAAAAAGTGACTAACGACGCATAATATTTTAAAATACCTAGGTACCCACCAAACTATATACAAGTGAAATAAATTAAGAAAAAATATTTGACGAAGGTACCTGTGTTTTCAAAACAAACATCGGAATGCAGTAAAATGCAATAAATATTTTGTGATTATAATAAGCTAACTCATTCATATTATTGACCAATGACCGTATTATGTACGCATACTATTACTAATTATTAGGTATATATTTTAAACACTATACGTTATTGCGTTTACAAAAAAAAAATAAATAATACCTGTACTGTAGATAAAAAAAATCACTGCAAATCTATCTACTTATAATTTTTAGTGTGAAACTTGATTAAACAATAATTGTTTGGTAAATATAAATTTAAAATTGTATTTATTTCTATCCAATTATTATAATAATATGTATAGATATACCTACAAAATAATGTATAATTATTCTGAAATTGTTCGTTTTTTTTAACTAATTTGATTATAAATTTAATTTTAATACGCTATACAGAAAGATATTAGTAGTTTATTAGGTACTTAAAAGAAAATAAGATAATAACGTTAAATTTTTTTTCTGAATAAGAAAGAATAAAATAGTGATGGCCACATTGTATCAAATTTTCAAGCTTTTTTCACCAAGTCAAAAACGTTTCATTCACACAAATGGAAAATATTTGAGTATCCATTCGTAGGCACTCAATAACTTACTCAAAATAATTGTGATTTTTTACGAATTTCAAAACGCTTATATAAAAACAAATTTTGGTATTACGCTTATTTTTTAAAATTCTTTTTTTGAAAATCGAGAACAAGCTTGAACAGATTTTAGATTCCGAGCGTAGCGAGGGAGTTATTGGTTTTACTAAGATGTTTATTTTTTTTCCTTTTTCTTTCTTCTAGTCTGTGGACACGGTTTTTTCTAATAAACTTGCTCCGAACTTTACGTGTAGCAACTTTTGTAGCAACATCTCTATTGTTCTTTTCGACCGTTTTCATAAGATATTTACACTCTATTAAATGGTCAGGTCATACATCATTTGCACATCAAAATTTTTAACTATAGAAGGGTTGAAAGTACTAAATTGTTTCCGAACTTTCAGTAGTAGATACTTGTTTGTTATCGCCCCTCCAGTATGCCGTAATAAATTTATCGCCCCACCTAACAATACAAAAAATAAAAGTATAAATAATTAAATTGTATATTATTATAGTAAAAATATAAAAAAATTGAATTGTATTTAAAAATGTAAAATTGTAAAAAAAATATTATTACATTTTATCATTATGTTTAAATTAGGATGAAGGCCAAAACTCAGAAATATGTTACTGAAGTAATTTTTTGGGCCTAGTACTATATGAAATAAACAATTGGATGTATTGGTAGTCTAGAACCAGTTATCTATTTATTGTGAACTCTTAAACTCTTTTCCTTTCGGCAACTTCTCTTCTGGCATTTCCATCGTGATCCCTTAATAGAAATATGTGACCATTTTCACACATTTCACTAACTTTGACTATATTTTTCTTTTGTCAAAATATGATTGCCTGGATCATCATTGAAAACTACCAAGAATAAATCATTGAAATTTATTTCATTGTGCTTCGTAATTTTTCGTATCTAGGTAAAGTATGTAAGTAATAACGATAACGAATGTCGACAACGCACTAGGTAACATCTAATATGAAGTAAAATGTTATCTTCTAAGTACCTACCTAAAATAGATCACCTATCACGAGATAAATATCCTAAAAAATAAGACTGAAAATTCCCATGTTTAAGGAATATATTTATTATTAAAAATTTTTTAGATTTTAAGGGGAGTGAAGAAGCTCATGGTTTTACAATAAAGTTTATTTTTGTTTATTTTTATCTATGAACAACTTTTTTACCAGAAATATTACTTCGATTTACAGTAATAAAACTTTTTCTGAAAGGAAATTTGACTGGAGAGGTACTTTTTTTGATTTTCTCAGTAGTTTTCTCAATATATTGGGAAAAAACGAGAAAATAGGTACAATATTAAACAAATATTATTATAGAAAATGTTTAATGCATGTGCAATTACTTTACCATAATTTATATATATTTGATATATATTAACAAAGCAACACTATCAACTGAACTCCGGTCAGAATAAGTTTTTCATTAGCAATGGTTTATCGTTGCTTACAGATGTACATTAAATTCCCAACTGTATCCTACCTTCCCAACTTCCTACCTACAAGGCTACAAAAGTGGTTGCAACCACGTGCGAAGTATGTAACTTAACTTAACCGTCTTTTTTTATTTTTCTTATTTATTTATTTTGTATTGTTTGGCGGGGAAATATATTTATTACGGCGTACTGACGGGACGATAACAAACAAGTACCCTTTCAGCTTAATAACCAATAAATAATAGGTATATTTTAGATATAAAAGGTGTATTTCTGTTTTAGAAATATAATATATACGATATAGTATACGGTATTATACCTATTACGACGATAACCGTAGGTGAGTTGTAACAACGACCCAATCCAATTAGATATAACTTTATAAATAATATAACTTTTAATTTTATAGATATATCTAGTTGATAAGCCAAATGACATATGTATTTTAAAGTAGGTAACTATTATATAAGTAATTGATAACTAAGACTAAAACTATAATAAATTATGTATATGACTTTTGTATTTTTTAATTATTAGGTATGTACAATGTACTAATATATTGGTCCGAGATAAATGGACGGTGTGCAAATGATAATTGCTGACGCATAGACATAATATTATAATATATTATTATATTATTATATTTTATATATTATTATAATATTATGTCTATGGGTATTCAGCTAAGTAAAAAAAAAGAGCTCGTCCATCGACCGTAGTATATTACTCAAGACGGCCAACTCCTATTTAACCTGTGTAATTTTACGACAAATAGTCCAACCTCTCTGTAGTCTAAACTTATGGACTGATTGTTTTGAAATTTACTCGGATTGGTCATTATGTTAAGTAAATGGTACTTTTGTAAATTTCAAATTAATCGGATGATTTCAACCTGAGTAATATGCAAAAGTATTAGCATAGCGTTTACTCAAAACGCTATTTTTTTCAACAATTCAACAATGTACGCATTTTTACCACCTGTTTGCAACGGTGGCCATTTGGTGGCGTTGTTTTTTATCCAAATCGGTGTGTGTGCCAAATGATGTCTGAGAGTCATCTAAGGTACCGTTTTCCAGTTTAGATGTATGCCGTCATAAGTATTAATGTTATTTAAGCTGTTTAAGGCCCATATATATATTTAAATAAATTCTTTAGCCGTCGAAGACACATATATATTTATGTTAAGATTGTTGTTTAAGCCATCAAAGGCACATGTTCCTAAGTTAATTGCTCATAGCCATCGAGGGCACGTTTTTTATTCTTAGTTATTAAGTTGTTAAAGACATACGTTATACTTATTTGTTATATATACTTGTTAGTTATTATATTTGCTAAATAGGCACAGAATTGTTATATATTAAGTTAAATGATTACTAAGCAATGTCGTGATTATAACCTATACTAATTATACTATTATTTTTTAAGTCCATGAAATTGGTACACCTACTTCGTCTGATTTCTTTGAAACCAGTGTCAACATTTTGGGAGTTATTTGCGAGAATTTGCGTGTTCACTCCTAGAATTTTTAAGTAGCATTAACGCCCTCCACGGGCGGGTGGGCCAACTTCTGGTGGCCCACTCACTTCACTCGATTTCTGCAAAACCCGTATCAAAATCTTCGTATTAATTTACTAATTTGCGAGAATTTGACAGTCCACTCCCGGAATTTGTGAGTCATCGTAAGTTCAGATACGAGCTATCAAAGTTCTGAAGTTGGCTCATTTACTTCGTCCGATTTTGTCGAAACCCATAGTTTTTCTAATTGATTGTTATTAACGTAATAATTCCGTCCGTATTAATAAATAAATAAATAAATAAATAAATAAATAAATAAATAAATAAAATTTATAAGTTTCCTCAAGAATATAAAATTAATTTTTTTACCGAGTCTTCATTTTATTATCGGAGATTAGTTTATATAATGGTACAATGCAATCATTACACTAATTAGAGTGCCTTCAACAATCAAGTATGCTTCATATTTTTGGAAGTTATTGGTGACGAAAGATCATTTTATTAATATTATCATTACCTAAATCCTGACTGATTTCTTCAAATTATACCAACATCTGTCACCTGAAGTACTGAAATAAATTTCAATAACACATAAGGAAAAAACTCGGTAAAAAAATGAATTTTATATTCTTAAGGAAACTTATAAATTATTACATTAATAACAATCATTTAGGAAAACTATGGGTTTTGACAAAATCGGACGAAGTAGATGAGCCAACGTCAGAACTTTGATAGCTCGTATATGAACTTACGGTGACTCGCAAATTCCGGGAGTGGACTCGTAAATTCTCACAAACTATTAAATTAATACGAAGATTTTGATATGAGTTTCGATAAAATCGGACGAAGTGGGTGGGCTATCTAAAGTTGGCCCATCCTCCTGTGGAGGACGTAAATGCTACTCGTAAATTCTCGCAAATAACTCACAAAATTTTGACACCGGTTTCATAGAAATCGGACGAAGTGGGTGGGCCAACTTCATGGACGTATCATTTTTATACAGTTCACTAAAATTTTTTTTGTAATTTATATTAAAGGTAAAGTTGCCTACTGTTAGCAATTCCTTATAATAGACTGTTCCGATCATTTTTCACTGGTTAAAAAAAAAACTTATGTTAACTATATTCAAAATTTTAATAAAAAAAGACACCCAAAGATAATGGGGACGGGTGAAGCCATTTTTGTAGGTAATTTAATGTACCATATATCTGTTAGCAACGATTAACCATTGCTAACGAAAAGACGATTCTGAGTGGAGTTCAGTTTATAGTAATGCTTTGTCAACAATATATATATCATATAATGGTAAAATAATTAAAAAGACATTATATATTAATTATATTTAATAATATTTGTTTAATGTACCGATTTTCCCGTTTTTTTTT